GTTATGTTGAGTGACACATAGTTACATGTTACATGAAGATATTTTAGTTGGATTTTTTATATTGGTGTAGGAGAACACGGATTTATTACCGCCTTTTCCCTCCCCAGACTCTCTCGGCTAGCCTTGCTTGCCCAATTTTTTCTCCATTTTCCCACGATGCGGAGCCGGGTCCCAGGGTAGTAATAATAAAGCTGTAGTAATTTGTAATAATAAGCATTGTTTAAACCGCTTTTCAATCATTAGGCTTGGTCTTCGTTGATCGTTTAATAAGGGGACAGTACAAGGTTGATCTCGGAGAGGACATCATAATGATTTCATCTCTTTTTTGGGAACAACCTGCTAACTTTTTGAAATAAAAATTTTGCATGAAAAACGAATAAGGTTAATCTGAGCTAGCTATCCAAGACTCCTGTAAGAAGTCTCAAATTTTAGTGCAAGTTTACAAAAATGAACAATCATTAGGTCTTGTATACCCTGCTGTGGTAGAAAACAGGTGATAAATAAATTTATACGCCAAAGTTAATAATAGGTATGGTATGATGATTATAGGAATAAATAAATAAATCCTCCATTTGTCTTTTATGCTGTTTTACGTCGTGTAGGGCTACCCCGATGGAAGGGTCAGAGGAAAAATTTTGGACCAACTACCCTCCTTCTGTCGGTGTTTGTTTCTTACAATTTACATGTTCAGTGCAAATATTTAAACCCGGGGGGGGGGCTGTGGTGTTGGAGAGGGTGTGATTGCGAAATCCCTGCTGCAAAACACTGAAAAGACACCTGAATGCATAAAAGAAACCATTAGAAAACATTGTTAAATTTAATTGTTGTTCAGTGGATAAGACCTAAAAAATGAGATACTAACTTAAACTACTAAAAATTGGACAGTTTACAATTTTATAGGAACTCATTTTCAAAGAGATCAAAATTTCTCGAAACAAAATACTGAAACAACTTTAAACAAATAAACAATAATTCACCACAACTAAACAAATGCCAATTAGTTAACTTCAATAGGACATGACAGATTTTTTAAAATTACAGTTAGCTTAATTCAAATCCGTTCCGACTGTAAGAAAACAAGTCTATTTTCTGCAACTCATCTAGTTCCCTAGTTACAAATTACGACAAAATTGAATATCCATCATTGAACCGCCGTGTGATTGCTTTTGTCTTAATTCCCTCAACCTTGACACAAATATTGGTCTAGATATTATTTACATGCCAGAACTAAAGTTTGCCTAGCATAACATACATGCTATTGACATATCGAATTAACATATCGATTAACATACCCGACGCTCGTAACATGAAAAGAAAGGGGTGTGAAGTATTAAACAGGGGCAACTTGATCAAGCAATAACACTGAGGCAAGTGCTCCACAACAACTCAGCGACAGGGGTAGGGCTTTTTTGTATATATTTTCTACGTATACATTTTAAATGTCTAATTCACAGGTCCATTTAATGAAATGCACTCAGTGAATCAGTCAAGTTCCACTGGGACATTATACAGTTCGAACTGAACTGGAACTTTCGCTAACCCTACTTCTGTTTCCAGCTTTAAAAAATCTGCGGGTTGTTTTTTTTCCTACCCACTTTTCTTTGCGCCGTCGAGGCTACTCTCTTACTACAAAAATTCAGAGCCATTCGGCCTTTGGAGGCTGTTCTGCTAAATTTCCTTGCCGCTGAAAACACGTATTTCTGGCTATACAGTAAGTGGTTTTATCAGAAATTATTCAATGAGCACATAAACGGCAGATTTGATTGCAAATTTTTTGCCTTTGTAACATTTCTTATCGACTCTGGAAGAGTGCGAAGTATAATAATGGTACAACGAGATTGATAGTGCTATACTATGTATCATCGGTCAAATTAAAGCTTCAATACCCACCCCTATACGTGGCATACCCCGGTTATTTGACACATTTGCCGTGCCGGGGAGAAGGTAGCCTGCGTGGCAGGCGTTCGAAAGAGAAAGAGAAGGGAATTAGGGCGCGAGACCCCGGAGGCTAGGGAGAAGGGAATTCGATAATCAGAGCCCTCCCTGGAGGGGTGGACATAAGGGGGATAGCTAGGGAATAGCGCTGCGCGCAGTCACTAATTATAGACCCGGAACTCAGACAAACAAACTGAAATTGACATTAGCGAATTCCTCACTTTTGTCTGTCTTTTGCCATTAAAATGCGAAAAATGTCAAAACTCAGACAAAAACTGCAAATTAGTCACTCTGACGTCATTCGCGCACTAGCAAAGGTCTGGGTAAGCTTTGCGTTTTACTTGATGGTATTTTTTTAAAATGTTTCTTTTGTCCTATAATGATTAAGTTGTATTTGCAACAAATACAATACGGGTGATTCGTTTTTAAAATTGATAGAGGTAAACTTACTTTGAGTGTCTGCGTGTAATGTTTATCTGTTAAATTCAGCCACTCTGAAAGTTTTGTTCATATTAAAAATGTCCACAATGTTTTCTTAGCTTTCTTTCTACATGATGCCAATCATTTGCTGTATTTATAACATATGTGTTCGACAACTCTAGGTTTTTCCATCTATGTGGGTGTGAAACTTGAGCTACTTTCTAAACACAGTGGCGCGGCTCTCCCGTAATGTCCATTGAAACCGATCCGCAGACTTGGCTTCAAGAGCATTAGGAAGCTACTACATAGTTAAAAAAATAATATGAACACTTTTTATTTTCCCTGGGGACGGGGGCATTTGATCAGCTAGAATTCACGTACGATTTGGCATTTGGACGGCTTTGTGGCCCGGAGAGGGGGAATTTGAACAAATATTTTCAAAAACTTCAAATGCCCTGGGTTATCCATGGGTGATGTTAAAGCTTCGATTTGACCGATACATTATTTAAAATAATTTATCTGAAGTGGAGTAAAGCAGTGCTGCGTCCTCGCACCGACCTTATTTGAGATTTTTCGTCGCTGTCCTGCTGAAACAAGCCTTTGGAGATGCAACAGAGGGCATCTACCTCTGGGCCAGGTTGGACGGAAAGCTCTTCAACATCAGTCCACACTAAACGCAAATTCCAAAGTCCAAATGAAATATCTGCGTAATCTCCTCTTTGCCGACGATGCAGCCGTCACCGCCCACTCAGCCGAGGCCTTCAGCGGCTCATGGACAAGGCCTGCTAAAACTTTGGACTAACCATATAGTCTAAAAAAGAACAAAACACATGTCATGGCTCAGGACTTGGATTCACCTCACAGCATTACAATCTCGAAGCACGTGCACGAAAAGGAGGTTGTCCATGACTTCGAGTACCTTGGCTCGACGATCTAAGACACTTCTTCTCTGGACTCCGAGCCAAACAGCAAGGCAAGGCAGTCACTGCCATTTCCAGCCTGACCAAGAGAGTATGGTCCAGCAAGAAGCTGACGGAAGATAACCAGATCCAGGTCTACAGAACCTGTGTTTTGAGCACACCGTTGTACGGCACTGAGTCCTGGACTCTTCTCGTATGACAGGAGAGGAAGCTTAACATTTTCCACGTGCGCTGTCTCTGCCGCATGCTCAGTATCACCTGGCAGGAAAAAGTTTCAGACAATATAGTCCTGGTGCAAGCTGCAAGATTGAGCGACGGCCGGATCCCAGAAAGATCTCTTTCACTGAGAATAAGCTCTGGGAAAGCGCCCAATTGCAGGCCTCAATGATTACGCTGTAAAGATGTCTGCAAGAGGGACCTGAAGCTCTTGAGCATTGACATTAACAAATGGGAAACCGTGGATTCGGAACGATCAGCTTGAAGGCAGGCACTGCAACAAGGCCTTTCCGAGTTTGAAGAGACACTTGCCGAACAGGCTGGGACAAAGAGATAAACGAGGAAAGCCTGGAACCAGGGAGACCTCATCCGTTCACCACATCTGCTCACTGTGCAGAAGGGACTGTCATTCCCGAATTGGTCTTTCCAGCCACACAAGGCGCTCTTCGAGTACAATTAATCAGAGCGCGATACCATAGTCTTTCGAGACTAAAGCATGCCAAGGGACAATTAAAACAGTCACCAACACGGCCTATCTGATCAGATCACGATTGAACCACACACGAGATCGATAATTCCACTGAAATTAAACCTTAAATTCAAACAACCGCCGAAAGTTGGGGTTTTGTTGGTTTGAAAACACATAAAATGTTGTCATCAGATTAATCATAAAGTGCAGAATAATTTGTCCAAATGTGAGGGTAATGTCACCTGGCCAGCAGAACCTTTCTTTCGCTTACTCGATTTTGACGCAATAGAGACAGACTCAGTCCATGAATCGAGTAAGATCGTTGTTGAGCATGCGTTGGATGTTGCTTGGATACAGCTTCGAATCCGGACCTAATATCCGTGCGCTTGGAACAGCAGGATCTTGAACATCGGTTTATCAATAAACGGAAGCTCGCACTCGAGAAACCAGTTTGATAAGAGAAAACAAGATTGACTAGTCCAGAAGTTCGGGCTGCGTTTACTTCTTCTCCTTTTCCCTTTGATGAAGAAGAAGGCAAAAGGAGGCTCTCCCTACATGGTGGGGAAATATATTCTGTAGCTAGGGCAGCAAAGGCAATCCAGGCTTTATTTTCTGCCCACGACGTATTACCCTTTACATACAAGAAAAGACAGATAAAATAAAGAAACGGTGAAACATGATAAGACACAACAACATCCATACAAATATTACAATTATAATGTTTACAATGGCATTGAGATGACATGTTGAAAAGAAGGAGATATTTATTAAATTCTTTCAAGTTACAATGGTGTTGAACGGTCACCTTCGAATCCAGTCTCGTACTTCTGACTTTTTGGTCAGCGAGACGACACCATGCTGATGAAAAATTCCAGACGACTCTGGCAACTAGATTGTTTCGCGTCATTCTTGTTCGTAGAGGCCACGATCCTTTTGGTCAGCGCCAATAAATCTTTGGCGCTGAACAAAACAATCGCAGCCTCTGGGACCGAGAATGTTGCCAAAACTGTTCGTTTTTTGTTCTTTGCAGAGTCAAAACCATGGGCAACAAAATTGATTGTTGTTACAACACGCGTTGGTCCTACCAATGTATCTTCCCATGCATTCGTTTTTGCACATACACTGGGCGCCGAGTTTGGTACAACTACGACGGATCGGAGATGGTCCAGCCCCTCGTGCATCTCTACCATCCCCAAGCCACGCGCGTTAACAGTTTGCCGGAAGCTTTTCACGGAATTGATGACGACGAAGATATTATGCATCAAATGGAGCAGTCCGGTGGTTTGTAGCCATAAACAAAATTTATAATAATTACGTCTAAACGAAAAATGACTGACTGGAGGAACGGGGAAGTTGGCGAATAAATGAAACAAGGAAAGCTGTTCTGTGTAAATTGTAAGGGAGTGGTCAAGTGGAAGCCATCAAAGCCCCAAATAACCCCGAGTGTCATTTTCTCCCCTTTCATCGAACCAGCAACCGAGGATCACTATTAAGTTTATTTGGATTGTCACTATTTTCGTCACTCTTTAAATAAAGGTTGACCAATTGATCAGCCAAGGGCGCTGTCGAGGTGTGCTGAGCCCTTTCACACATCGCTTTAAATTTAGATTAAAACCCAATTTCCAAACCAACTCAGAATTTTCACTCATTCGCTTGCCACCCAATAAACGCATGCAAATTTACACCCCCAACGTCAGGACTATGTCAAACAGCAGTCGAACCACAGTGACAAGAGAAAACTGCAAATGGTTAATTTTTGCTGATATTTTGTTTACTCAGGCCTTGACGCCCCCGGTCAGATTGCCGCTGTATGCAAGTATGCGTCGGACCATGGCTACACCATTCGTGCTGTTGGCACAGGCTCGTCGTGGTCTCGTCTGACGCACACCAAAGACATACTTGTAGTCATGACAGATTTGAACAGGATACTGACAAAACCGGGGTCGTACAGGGCTAATGAGGAATGCGTTGACATCGAAGTCGAGGCGGGAAAGCTCGTTGTTGATTTTGTTGAGGAACTAGACGAGAAACATGACCGGGCGCTTAATATGATGGGGAATTACGCTGGCCAAACAGTGGGAGGTGTGGCGAACACTTCTACTCACGGATCAGGGATATTCAGTGGAACCTTGGTAAGGATATTCAGCTTGTGGATAGACAACGGATAGTCGGGAATAGGGCTATCAGCATTAGTGCCTGTGGCTACACCCTCGCGCAGAGGGGTTTCGTCTCGGGAGAGAAAAGCTTCCATGGATTCAACCTCGTTCCCAGGGTTCTCTCCTACCCTGGAACGAGGTTGCCGTGGATTGTACAAACGGGAGCGCTGAACTTGTAATCCGCAGGCCTTGAGTTTAAGTCCCGCCCTAATCACTCGCTGGATTAGTTCTCGGTAGTCCCCAGTTCAAATCTTCGATCAAGCTCGTAAATAGCCAACTGGTTTGGCTCCGTCTAGTCAGGATTTTTAACCCCGTTAAGTTTGATTTGAATTATTTGTTTCAGACATTTTGTCCGCCCCACAAGCATTAGTGCTATAAGCACTGTCGAGGGCAAACAAAGAACATTATTATCATTATTATTATTAAAAACTCTGCTGAGAATATGTCTATGGCTTCCGAGATACAAGACACAAGTGTTTCAACGGTGACAGCGTTGTAGTCGAGTTTCTTCCCCACCCTTGTTCCCAAGGTCTCTTTCCCTGGAGAGAGAGTGGACGTGAAGAAGAGAGGCCCTGGGAATAAGGTTTTCACGGCCCGTCCAGTCCTCCCTCCCCCATCTTGCAAAGGCTAGCTCATGTCATAGTTTGCCAGTAATTTCCAGCTATAAAGATAACGACAATCAACCTTGTATGTCTCGATTCTAGTCCACTTTAGTAGTGGGCCTTCATTTAATCATATCTGGCGGAATCCAAGTGAAGGTGCGTGGCGGAAACGAAACCATACAAGCTTGCAAAGAAAAGGTTGACAACGCCAAATATGGGGATGACCCCATCGAGATAAACAGTGATGACGTCCTGAAGGCCTGTGCAGTGGGACTTGGTTCTATGGGAATAATTTACTCCTTAACATACTGTTGTGTTCCCGTGTACAATCTGGAGGAGATCAGAACCTTGCATCAACAAACCTGGACTTCAATAGAGGATTTCGAGGTCCCTCAATCCTTTGCTGATATGTATACAAACCAAGAGGACGGAGAATACTTCTCGTTTTTTGTAAATCCATACCCAATAGGACAAGGGTAAGTCACAGCTGTTATTCACCCGGGGTTTACTCCTAGAAAATTTAGGTGGGTTGTTCGGCATGTTTCCTGGCATGCTTATCCAGTTTCAAACCAAAATATACGATTGCTGTCCCTACCCTATTTAAGGCCCGAACCGCCACTGCAAAAAGAAAAATGATTAAAAAAACACATCCGTTCGTAGAAACGTTTTACACAGAACACAAAGCCTCACCCTTTTTCAAAAATCTGTACCCAATTTCAGACCAAAGAAGTCAAAAGCTGAAACCTATGGGGTGGCAGTGATATAAATCTAGCGTGTATAAGGAGAACCCCCCTGGGAGTAGCCTCAGGAGGGAATTTATTGTCCTTTTGTCTTGTTTTCCCCTAGGATAAACAAGCAGATCCACATGGCCTACTTGAAAGCGAAGAGAACAGACAGTTCGCCCACGTGTTCTGCTTGCTGCTCATGCTGTTGCAATTGTTGTGGAGGTAGAGGAATAGCTGATATAGGCTGCATGCAGACAGACTGCACTGCTTCTTGTCTCCAGGGGTGCGCCAATTGTTGCCCGACCTGCATTCCACGAATCACCAATTTTGGACTGTCACAGTTCTCGCTCAAAAAGCCGTATGTGCAAAAGTGGTACAATGTGTTACAGTTCACGAAAGGCAATATTCAGTAAGTTACCCGCATGGATACTCTACGGTCACAAACTTATTATATCCCATTAAATATTATGTTTAGATGAGACTGTATTAACAATGTCACGAGTCGAAATTAAGGCTGGAGAATACCCGGTGATATCTTGAAATTAACATTTTCCTCTGTGGTTTTAATTTGCATGATTTGCTTGCAAGTCAATTTTCCTCCTCAAATAAACTGGACAACGAGAGCTGAGTATTGAGATCAGCAAATAAAAACACTTTTCAAATGCCAACACTTTTGTTTTAAATGTCTGACTAAATAGCCAATATTTGAATTAGTACCCACTACAGCCAGCTGGAGCCTCCCTGTGACTCAAAATTTTGCACGGATAATATCTGCGAATAAGAGTAGTACATTGTCCAGCTAACAATACGTTTTTTGGAGAGGGAATCTAATTAACTTGTGGGATTTTGTAATGATGCAAAAACGAAGATAACGTCATAGCCTTTTAGTTTTACAAATGCGAAAGCAAGAAGACATAAAAAGGACAAATTAAATTAGTTATACGTAACTAGTAGTACAGCTTGTATGTTAAACGAGAGATCTATGTGTTAGAAGACTGCGGAGTATTGTATATAAAAATTGTCCTCAGAAGCCTTTTTTAATTACTCAGGTACGGTTGTTCATCGTTATTTCTTGTTCTTATTTTTGCTGTTGTTGTTGTTATTTCTAATTTACTTGATTTTGAGCGGTATAAAATATTCTATCTAAGTTCTTAGGCTTACTTATTTGATTTGAAATCTACTTAGATTTCAGCGTTTCTCATACTTTGAGAAAGCTTAATCCTTTGGGATGCAGGATTCTAATTCTAATTCTAATCGTATAATCTGCAAAGGGTATATCCCATCACGGGAGATATTCAAGTAGTTTTAAAAATCTTGTTCCTTCTTTTGTTTCAGTGTGGCCACCGCGGAATGGTGTTTGCCGCTGGAGCACCTGAATAGTGCCTTGGGTACGGTCATACAGTTGGCTCAAGATTACGCAGTTAAGCACAAGCAGTACACTTTGCTGCCTATATATGTGAGACTAGTGAAGACGGATGATCTGTTTTTGAGCCCAGCTAGCATGTTTAGACCTGACGGAAGCAGTACCAGTGAACATAACTGCTATATTGAGGTGAGAGCACAGGAAGGCCATACACTTCACATGTGTAACCACATAGAAACCGTACTGGATGATTAATGGTAGAGCAATGCGCTGCTTCAGAAGTGATATTTTGAGCGATTTTAAGGGATCCAGCGTTTGTCGTGACTGCACATATATCAAAAGTTCTCGTAGCACAGTCCAGTCTTTCATGACGGACATCTCTATAAGACGGACACCTCTCTAAAACGGACACCAGGAGTTGGTCCCTGCCCGTTCTTTGCTCCTTCCATGCAGTTCACTCTCTGAGGGAAGACACTTCGTTCAAACAAACACTTAGTACCTCCTGTCTTGTCCATTGTTGAGAGATTTTACTGTATTCGATCTATATTCTGATCGGCTAACGGTAGAGTTTGACAAAACGAAAAGGATGGGATTCCCGTCGGGGCCGGGTATTTGGAACGTTACGATCCGGCGACGCGATGGCAGCGAAAACTTACTCGATGGACGCCTTTTGAGTTCTCCGTAAATATTTTCTCCGCATGGCCAGCCACTTAACGCAGCTGGCATTTGCTATCTCTAAGTAGCTGCGCTCTCTTTTTTGCTAATTTTCAACCCGTAATTTACTTCTCTGTGTGTCCCGAGAGCATTTATATAGATTCATTAATTGATTGAATCGAAGTAGCTTTGAAAGTGGATCCTGGGCGTATCTCCTCGTTACTTTGAATAACAGTTAACTGTTACAGGTAATTAGATTAAAAGTTGTTACACTATTAAGCTCAGACATCTTTCAAGACCCTCCACCCCCTCAAAGAGCCTTGAAAAGAAAGAAACCTCTGGTGGTTTAATAAAACTTTTACTGTGCGTTCGCTTTAGGTACCATTCCTCCCCGGAGCTTTCGGAACTGAAGAGTTTCAAGAGGTGGTGGAAAACAAACTCTTCGAAGAATTCAAGGCAAGACCACACTGGGGAAAGAATAACCGGCTTAACGAAATGAAGATCCGCGCTCTCTACGACAATGAGAAGTTGCAAAAGTGGAAAGACGTGTACAGAATGTTTAACAAGGGAGGGCACTTTGACAATCAGTTTACCAACAAAATGGGTTTTAATTTGTTTCCTACTATCGACGAACAGCCAACTGCTTAGAGACAAACGTTAACTTTCTTTCGCGTCTTTCGTAGGTATCGCTGATCTTTTTTTCTGACAAGTGACTCCAGGGAACTAGGCAGTTGAACGTTTTTGTTGGGACCTTAGTCTGATCTGCTCATACTAGTACTGTAGAGCAACTCTGCAGTATTTGAAGTTGTGGTGGTTAATATAAAAAATGTTAAATTGTAGAACTAAACTGTTTACAAGCGGGGTGAAATCCTGATTTGTTGTATGGAATTTGCTCGTATGTATTCGAGAGTGTTTCTTAAAAGGGGAGATAAGTAAGTAATGATAACGCGAACGTTTATTAAGTGAGGCTAATTTAAGTGAAGTAGTACACGACGTTAATCCTCAAAACGACTTGCTTCTAGCTCGAGAAACATGACAGCGTTTAATTAACAAACAAATTCATCGAAATTCAAGTATGTAATCAAATGGTAATATGGCAAAGACATTGTAAAGAAACAAAATAAATAAACTTGTTTGGTGAAACTCGCAGCGTCGCTTTTCAACTTGTTTAGCAGCAATGAATGAAAACAAGTTTACGTTTTTGTTGCCGTTTCAGCGTAGCTCATACGCTTTAACATAAAGTAGTTATAGCATGAATTTAGATAGTGATAATGAATATGATTTCTCTTCTTATTTTACCGTTTTCGTCTTGCCAAAAAATGTAGATAGCATTTGACTGGGTGAGTGAGAGAAGAACAAGACTACTCAATGGCTACAATCTTCTACTCGAATTTTGCACTCTGAACTTTTTGTTGGTTTAGGTAACTTGTTGGACTTGTTATCTCAATTTTGTTTATGTAAATGCTCGTGATCTTATCTATAGAAACCAGTCTGGGTTCAGGAAGCTGCACAGCACAGAGACGGCGATCGCATATATAGTTATTTAATCTAGACAAAAACAAGATTAACGGTATGGTCTTTGTTGATTATAAGAAGGCCTTTGACATGGTTGATCATGCTACTTTGCTAAGCAAGCTTGAAGCCTACAATCTTGATAAAAACGCTTTACTCTGGTTCAAGTCATATTCAATTGGTTTCATTCATGGGACAGTCATCGTCCATTGGGACCGTAACAGCAGGTGTGCCACAGGGTTCCATGTCGGGAACCCTTGCTTTTTGTTGTATTATCAATGATCTACCCTAACATGTCCATTCTCAGGTCGACATATTTGCTGATTGCACCACTCTTCTGGCGGCTTCCGATTTTGCTTTTTTGTTTGGTGTATATGTTGTGGTTCAATTTTATCCTTGATTCAAGTTTTATTTCCCTTTTTTTTTTGGGGGGGGGGGCATGGTATTATTATTTGTAATGTATGATAATGAGTTTAAAACAATAAAGGGAAATAAAATTTAAACCAAGGATCACCCTATGGAAACGAGTTTGGTAGAGTGCTATTAATTTTTGATTTATGCAGCAGACACCAAACAGTCACGCGATCAGGTCATATGTCAAACACAAGATTCTTGGTCGACGATAACTGCTAGAAAATCATGAAACCTTGCAAGGTTTTCTCCTAACCATCGGTCGAAAGTCCAGGCTCTAAAGACTGGTATATATCCTGAACCCAGTATAATCATTTTAATCTACGTTTTCATTAGCTGTTTCGAAAATACCTGAAATTGAGGGTCATTTATTGTAGAGGGCACCACCGAAACTCACTTGAGTATCACCTCAGTACTTATTGCACATACGAACAACAAGAAAAGAAAGAAAAAAAATAAAGCTAAGGCCCGGTTCAAACGTCGAATTTCAGCTGTGACGAACTTAACGCGAGAGTTAAATGCATGTGAAGTGCGACGTTTGAATCATTCGACTCCTTAAATTTCCTTAAATTAAATGCGACTTTTGCCGTATCGCGACTGAAACTGTCGAAGATTCAAGCTGACTTTTGATTCAAACGTCGCATTTCACATGTGCCGAACTAGCCTGCGTGGCAGGCGTTTGAAAGGGAAGGAAAAGGGAGTTTTAGGCGCGAGAGAAACGCGCACCCCTCGCGCCTAAAAGTTCCTTTCCCTACTATACCCTTTCACGCAGGCTAGTGCTGCTAATGGGAATATTGACAAATAACGGAGTTAAATTTAGCCTCACACGCAGGCGTTTTCAGGGGAGCTCGTTTTTCATCCCTCCCCAAGTTGAATTCGACATTTGAATCAAATGCCGTATTTGACTATTTTAGTCGACTAAATAGGAATATAGTTCGGCACATATTATATTTGACTTTTGAACTGGGCCTAAGCTCAAATCGGAGGCATGATAAGATACAGTTCTGCAGATAGCAATGAAACGGCATGTCGACAGAAAGGATGTTGCCATTATATTACACAATTGATGGTAGACGTTCTTTCTTGTACTTCCTGAATTCAGTAATCAGCTCTTGCTGAATTGTGATGCCCCAGTTTACGTTCTTTACAGGACCAAAACCATGGGAAACAGAATTGATTGTTGTTACAACTTGCGTTGGTCCTATCAATGTATCTTCCCCAGCATTCGTTTTTGCACATATACCGGGCGCCGAGTCTGGTACAACTACGACGGATCGGAAATGGTCCAGCCCCTCGTGTATCTATTCCTCCCCCAGGCCACGCGCGTTAACACTTTGCCGGAAGAACTTCACGGAATTAACGACGACAAAGATATTATGTATCAAGTGGAACATCATGGTGGTATGTAGCCGGCGATAAAAAAATATTGATTAAATGAACAAAAAATACTGAATGAAGGTGTGACGAGAGCCAATGCGTATATTGTTGTATTTGGTATTAATAGGATTACGTTATGCGTCGATGTGAATTTTTAAGTATGTAGGCCATGTAAGTTACTTCCTGGTTTATTAAAGTGTCTCGAGCGCTCACTTTAATAAAACAAGAAGTAACTTACTTAGCCGAACATATTTCCCTTATGTACGCGGTCTCTCAAAAGTGTTTCAACAGGAAAGAACGACTTAACGAGTAAATAAAACAAGCAAAGCGTTCCTTAAGCTTTCCTTCGATGTTCCGCTGAAGACATTTTAGCATGCAGGAGCTCACATGAAAGCGCCAAATTGTAGTAAAAACTTCGGGCGATTTCCTTGTGTCAATCCCTTCTTTTCATCAACCAATGCAACTGCGCCCGCAGCTTTATTTGTGATGTCAACTTACTACTATATATTTACTCTTATGAAATAAAGTTTGATTTATCACCGACAACCACACAGCCTAAAAAGCTTGACTAAGCCCTAAGAACGGCTGGGTGAAAGGCTACTACTAAGAGCGCTGTCAAGGCTGACCTAACACATAGTTTAAAGCTCTAGATTCATTCCCAAGTTCAAAATTTATACTTCCTTGTTCCAGGCCTATTAAATCCGCTTTGCCCTAAGAACTCATGGTAAAATATGGATGGCCTTCGTTTTAGATCGCCACCGGCAGAGAAAAAATATTGCGGTAAAAGACTCGTGAAAAAGAACTGTTGACTACGGTGAGAAGAGAAAGCTGCAATTAGTTATTAATTTTTTTTACTTAGGCCTTGACAGCCCTGGTCAGATTGCCGCTGTATGCAAGTATGCCGCGGATAACGACTACACTATTCGCGCTGTTGGCACAGGCTCGTCATGGTCTCGTTTGACGCACACTCGAGACATACTCGTAGTCATGACAAATTTGAACAAGATTCTAGAACTTCAGCCAGTAACGGGATCGTATAATGCAAACGAGGAATGTGTTGACGTCGAAGTCGAGGCTGGGAAGCTCGTTGTTGATTTTGTTGAGGAACTGGACAAGAAACATGGCCTGGCGCTTAATATGATGGGGAATTACGCTGGCCAAACCGTGGGAGGTGTAGCGAACACTTCCACTCACGGATCAGGGATTTTCAGTGGAACCATGGTAAGGTGTTTCAGCTCTTAGATAAACAATGAAAAGTTGGAATGAGGTTTTAAGCATTAGTGCCTGTGGCTGCTCCCTGGTGCTGTGGAATGGTTGGTGTCTCGGGAGACAAAAGCATCCATGCTGTCTCCTCCGCACAGGTTCCCGCAACGATTCCAAAAATAGTAAGCGCGCGTGGGAGCCTCCCTTTGACACAAAGAAGACTTTGCGGAGGACTGAGAGAGATGGATAGTATAAAATTGCAGGGCCCCGCTGAAAACCACTAAGGAGAGTGGGTTCCCTGAATAAATATTATTATTATTATTATTATTATTATTATTATTATTATTATTATTATTATTATTATTGATATAATTTGGCTGAAAATATCTCTGCGTCTGCCGAGATATGATGATCGTAAGTGTGCCTACGGTGACGGCATTCATAACTGCCCCAACCACCTTGCCATGCAAGATCTCTAGTCTGCTAGTTGGGCGAATGAGGACAGGAAAATTTCCGTGGAAAAAGGGTTGTAATTGCGCCTCCATTCCCCCACTACATACCACCACCACTTAAAGGCTAGCACACTGTCAGACGTCAGACTCAAATGTCTTTTTTCAGTCAACTTTAGTAGTGGGCCTTCATTTAATCATTTCTGGTGGAATCCAAGTGAAGGTGCGTGGCGGAAACGAAACCATACAAGACTGCCAAGAAAAGGTTGACAATGCCAAGTATGGAGATGACCCTATCCAGATAAACAGTGACGATGTACTGAAGGCCTGTGTAGTGGGACTTGGCTCTTTGGGGATAATTTACTCTATTACATACCGCTGTGTTCCCGTGTACAATCTGGAGGAGATCAGAACCGTGGTATATCTACCCTGGACTGCAATAGAGGATTTCGAGGTCCCTCAATCCTTTGCTGAAATGTATAGGAAAGAAGAGAAAGGAGAATACTTCTCGTTTTTTGTAAATCCATACCCAATAGGACAAGGGTAAGTCACTGGTGTCATTAACTCGGGGATTACCTCTGGAAAATTTAATCGGGATGTGCGGCATTTGTCCAATTTTGAACCAAAATATTAGGGCGTTTTCCTACCCTCTTTCAGGCCAGGACCACTGTTTTCAAGGGACGAAATGATAAAAAATGTTCCCATTTCTAGACCCTTTTCACACAGAGCACAAAACCTTACCCTATTTCAAAAATCTGATCCGAATTTCAGACCGAAGAGATGGAAAACTTTAGCCTTTAAACCGCACTTACCTACGGTATAGACCTTGAATAATGGAGCACCCTAGGGGAAAATTTTATTATCCTCTTGCCTTTTTTTCCTCAGGATTAACAAGCAGATCCACATGGCCTACTTGAAAGCCAAGAGAACAGACAGGTCTCCCACGTGTTCTGCTTGCTGCTCATGCTGTTGCAATTGTTGTGGAGGTAGAGGAATAGCTGATATAGGCTGCATGCAGACAGACTGCACTGCTTCTTGTCTCCAGACATGCGCCGATTGCTGCCCGACCTGCATTCCACGAATCACCAATTTTGGACTGTCACAGTTTTCGCTCAAAAAGCCGTATGTGCAAAAGTGGTACAACGTGCCACAGTTTACGAAAGGCAATATTCAGTAAGTTACCGTGCATAGACACCCGTGAATACTATATCGTCATGTATCCAATAAACCTATTTGGCCCTCCAATAGACCATTTTCGATATATTAAAATTCATACTTGGCTCCAAGGCTTGCGGGAATAAAGCAAAAGAAATGTATTATTCATTGCTGAGCCTTAAGGTGATTTCTTTTGTTTTATTCCCCTATGCCTCACAGCTAAGTTTGAATTAAAAAATTGCGGAATTGGTCTATTCTTGGACGAGAGTGTCTAAACATCCCACGTGTTGCAATCAAAATTGCAGATTACGCTCTGGTGCAGGTGGTGTATTTCCCCGTTTTTTAAATTGCTTGTAACGCTAGCAAATTTAGTTTCCTCCCCAATGTATTGTAAACTGAGAACTGAGTATTGAACGCGGACAGTTTAGTTCTTGTTTTTAGAGATATAACCACTTTAGCCAGCTACAGCCTCCTTAATCTACTCAGTATGTACATACCGGTATTTATTTTCACATTGTTTCAACACGTAATCATCGGTGAGTTTCAAAACTCATCAAAGAAATGTTCGAGTACCTCAAGTATGCTTTCTCGTTGAAGATCAAAGTAGGGTTAAAAATCCAAAAGAAAGAAGACAGACTAAAATAATTAGACAAGTCAATTAACTAGTAAGACATATATTTTAACCGAGGGATATAAGATACGTGGTAGTAGCCAGCAGACATTTGTATACGAAAATTGTCCTCAGAAACCTTTTAAAATTTCTCACGTACGGATGTTCGCCGTTTTTTCTCGTTGTTGTTGTTGGTTTTGCAGGCTTGCTTTTTTGATGTCTCCATCAAACGCGTTCCTCGTGTTTTGCGAAAGCATCATTCGTTGGACATGAAGAAACAGTATGTTTATATGTATATTCTTGTTCCTCCTTCTATTTTAATAAGCGTGGCCACCGCAGAATGGTGTTTGCCGCTGGAGCACCTGAATCGTGCCTTGGCTATGGTAATGCAGTTGGCTCAAGATTACGCAGTTAAGCACAAGCAGTACTCTTTGCTGCCGATATATGTGAGACTAGTGAAGACGGATGATCTGTTTTTGAGCCCAGCTAGCAAGTTTAGACCTGACGGAAGCAGTAACAGTGAATATAACTGTTATATTGAGGTGAGAGCACAGGAAGGCCATAGAATATGTATACATGTTTAACTGCAAAATGACGTAGTAACTAATCTGTGCTGCTTCAGAAGGGATATTTTGAGCGATTTTAAGGGATTAGAGTTTGTCATGATCATTGGCTCATTGTAACGTTAGTAAAATCACAGTCAACTATCTTTCAGTGGACACCTCCCTAAAACCGACACCAAGATTTGGGCCCCTGCCGTTCCTTTGTCCTTTTCTCTGATTCTGTACAAGACAGATAGATCCCTTTCTTTTGTTTTTGAAATAATTGAATGTATTCAAGCTATAGCAAATCCCACACTCTGATTGGCCGACGCAAGAGACAGCAATGAAATGAAAAGGGGGGCATTCAGGACCGTGCCACCATTGTCGGTGGGTGGGTAGGAAGGAAACGAGGTGGCATTAAAAGTTGAGTCTGGGCCCCATCCTCGACAGTTATTTCGCTTTTTAAGTTTAAACATCCACGCCCCCAAATAATGTTGAAAGAAGTCTCCGCTGGCTTAATAGAGCCTTTTCACTCACGTAACCAGAGGCTATGCAAATTTTTTGGAACCAAAGAAAGTTTTTACGTAAGGAAAGGTTCAACATTCAAAGGATTGGTCTGGGGCATCAACACGACCGCTGTTTTTTAGGGACATCAATATGGCGGACGTGACGTCATGTGAAACACTCTAAAAACTCTTTTACTGTGCGTCACTTTAGGTACCATTCCTCCCCGGAGCTTTCGGAACTGAAGAGTTTCAAGAGGTGGTGGAAAACAAACTCTTTGAAAAATTCAAGGCAAGACCACACTGGGGAAAGAATAACCGGCTTAACGAAATGAAGATCCGCGCTCTCTACGACAATGAGAAGTTGCGCAAGTGGAGAGACGTGTACAGAATGTTTAACAAGGGAGGGCAGTTTGACAATCAGTTTACAAACAAAATGGGTTTTAATTTGTTTCATTCTATCGACGAGCAGCCTACTTCCTAGAGACAAACGTTCAACTTCTTTTGGCGACTTTCTTGGGTTAACGACAAGGGAATTTTGAAAAACAGTTGAACGTTTTTGTTGGGAACCTTATCTCCTCTGCCCATGTATACTAGTACTAAAGTAGTAGCAGCGACTTCGCATCTAGTATTTGAGGATGTGGTAGTTTGAGAAGGTGTGCATGGCATTTTCTTGCATGTATTCCAAATTTGTTTAAAATGGAGAAACTTAAGTTGATGGCGCGAAACTTAGTCAAGTAAGGCCAATTTAACTGAAGTACTGTAGAATACCTCAAATGATCCCCAATAGCAAATGATCCTTAGACCGCAAATGATCCTCCACCGCAAGTGATCTCGTGAAAAGTAGAGGAATGGATTGGATTTTAGGTATGGATGGTGAATGTGCCGAGAACTTGGACAACGCGTAGCTAGAGCAATGAATTGAATAAAACTATAAATATCCGAACTGTTTCTTTTGTGCATTTTTTTTTCTCCTATCTTTCAAGCATTTGATGTTTTGTTGCTGTGAAAATTAAGGACAGGAAAGACGTTAAAAAGGAAACTTGTCTTTCATTTTAACGCCTAGGAATAGGGAAATAAGACCACTGTATTTATCACTCTGTAGAGGTTTCCGGTTTATTTCGAAACGAGTTTACCACCCACAACAAGCAAACCTGTCTTGCAGTGTTTGTTGAAAAAAAGAACTACTCTCTGCAACAAGTTTTCGCAACCTGCAAGAGCCTGATTTGTTTGGATCATTACACGTTTCTGGGAAACTGCCCACCTACCCCTCCCCTAAGACAAGGTATCAACACTTGCGTGGTAACACGCGCAACATCGCTTTTCAACTCGTTTAGCAGCAATGTTGCAACACAAGGTGCACGCTTTTGTGGCCCGTTTCACTGTAAGCTTAAGGTATATTCGAAAAAGAAAACCAGATATGCATATTTCATCATTTGAACTTACTGAAGAAAGATTTTGAGGGCAAAATAACATGTTGAAAATTTACCGGTGCAGATACTTTGAGTGTTGTAGCACAAAACAGTGATTGTGAATGTTTCTTCTTCTTCTTTGCACGTTCTTGTCTTGCAAAACAATTTAGACAGGGTTTGATGGGTGAGTGAGAGATTAACAATGGAACACAAATAGTCTCTCCAATCATCTACTCGAGCACCGCACTCGGAAATTTTTGTCTACATATTCCAATAAAATCGGGCGAAAATAAAGTGACTTGAATGCCTGGACAAACGATTTTGTTTATTCGTATTTCCTCTACAACAGAGAAGGTCGACCGAAAGAAAACAGTTATATTTCTTTTATTACAACCAAAACATTCCAAGATTGAGTCAGCTTTCCAAGATTGAGTCAGCTGACACCTCTCAGTTTATTTTGCCAGTTTAATTGCTCAGCTTTTCAATGTTGTTTTTTGTAAAAATGATTCATTTACTACAAGTACACTTACCAAAACAGTCTTCTACCTTAATTTTTAACTATGTTTCCACCAACCGACAATAGTAAGGCCATCCATAAAGGATCAAGCGAAAAAAAAAGAGCTGACCACAATTAGTGACTCGTGGGTAGGTTACGACCACGCCTGCAGAACTGGAAACAACGGAATATTAATTCTGAAATTTTAACGCTACATAACAAATCTCAAGAGGTATTAAAGTGGTTCTTCTCAAAATTTACAGTAGCCAAACTGAGGAAGCTTACCGAATTTCTAAATAAGAAACTCAGAAACTGAGCCCCTACTGCTAATAACTATGAAAACATCCGTCGCATTTATATACAAGAAATAACTTATAGTCAATAGCAGAGAACAGAGATTGATGCTATACAAATAAATAATCTGTTGTCTTGATTGTGTAACAAAGCGGAACAAGACAGTCACGAAGAAAAGCTAAGGTCTATGCCCAACACATTTCATTAATAACACAGAAATGTTTTAAATTTCATGTACACAAGTGGACAAAACGTAGAAACACAAGACAAGTTATCACTTTCATGCTAAGAGCCTATTCTACAGTTCGCACAAAACTTTAAGTGAGACATCGATACACCAGCTTCTCTTGTGTCTGGGTTTATCTTTTGAGTTCGCAATTTTACAATTTTTTTACTTGCGGTTTTCTTGCTTGTTTGATACTACTGACAAAAACATTAATGCGCTACGGTGCGCCCATACAGTCAATTCATAGCCGCGGCATGCTGTCGCTCAAGTTCTTCAACAGATAACACTTTCCTTGCCAAGTCAGGGGTAGCTGACCGCTGACCAGGTTGAACCTGCTGAAGGACGTCTTCTCCGAACCATTTGGACAGGACGTTACCTCCTCCCGCTGGGGAATGACTTTGTGGGGGAAGATTCATAACTGGACTGTTACCTGAAAAAAGGAGTTCAATACACAAGGTAAAGTACACTTCCCAAGTTTGTCAAGTCGCTATCGAAAACGACTACAAACTACAAGGTGATAACGATAGTACATGTGGCCCTGTAATGCTCCTGATGCCGGCACACTCATCTGAAAGGTTATAAGTACCTCGGAATGGGGTACTGAAATCGTGCGGGAAAATTTTACAACATTCACTAATACCACTCTAGTCAATTGGAACGCAAAAGAACGTACAAGAAATAGAACCTACACTCTTCTCTTCGTTGGATTGTGGTTTGCACCGTTTAAGTGATTTAAAAGGGATTTTGAAGTCTCTGGAATGACGTAACACACGCAACGTCTTTACACAACGCCCTTCAGTCGTCCACGCTCGTAACATCGTTGTGTAAGCTTTATCAAATTAATGAAAATGCAACGGCACAGCACGCAAGTAAAAAAGAACAAACTTTTTAAGAGGGTTGAGCCTGAGGACTGAGAGCGGACGCATGAATCCCTAGGATTAACACTTTTCCCAAAACGCATAATCCCTGGCTCTGAGCATACCGGTACTTTACGCAATGGTCGAGCGAATTTTGAGCATTACGGTTAGTGTTAAATGCTGTAGGAACTTTCAGCTCACTGTCTTTAACCGGACAACGAGGGAATTAGATCCTTACAGCCCCGTTTGACCCTTGCAGGACACTAGTTAATGTAAGAACTAAGAAAAACACATAAATCAATTTTTATTTTACATGTGCTGACTACTTAGTCTCAATCTAGCTTATTTTAAAGCTCGAAGTTCCACCGACAAAGAACCCACTTCCATCATCACCGCAAAATAACCTCTTTCATCCCTACTTTCGCGACACAAGGAATGCTTTGTTTGTTTAACTCAGGCTATCATGAAAAGAACGAAAATAACTCACCTCGTCTACCTTGCTGCAGGCCAGACTGAGGGGGGATATGAGGGGAGGAGCGTGCACCCATCATGGCTGCCGCTGCCGCTGCTGCTGCAGGGTTCACGGCTGGGTAACCTGGTGAGGGGCGCCCCCCATACAACATGGCTGGATGGTGTCCTGACATCATAGGGTACCTTCCAGCTGACTGTGGAGGCATCTGCTGCATCCTCATGGCTAATGGGCTCATTCCTGGTGAGGGCACTGCCACCGGGGGCGACCCTGCGGAAGACATCATCCTCAAGTAGGCTGGGTGGATATGCGGTGGCATCATCCCAGGAAGTATAGCGGATCTAGGGGGCATTCCCATACCCGGCATGGGGGAGTTAAACGGGGTTTGCCCCGGATGTCCGTGCATCACTTGCATGCCAGACGGAGACATTCTTCCATTTAGTAAATGTGGGGATGGACGTGGACCATGAAATTGTCTTGGGGCCTGATGAATTGGTGTGGGCCTTGTCCCTCCTCCATGAATCCTATGTGATGGATGGTTAAGAGGCAAACCTTCGTGCCGAGTGGTCACTTCATCGCTGTTCATCCTCCGGACACTCATGTTATTTGGACCGTTTTGAGACATAAGGTGAGCGCCTAATAAACTCTCACCCCTCTTTGCATCTTCAAAGGAAGCTACACTGTCTGTAGAACCGTGTGCATGCTGCTCAAATGAATGAGTAAGTGGCCTTCCGTCATTGATGCCTACCAGTTTTGTGATGCCACCTCGAACACTTTTAGAGGGGCTTTCAATGGAGCTGCCGCTTTGCCCGAATAGCCCCGTTAAAGCCTTATTGCCATCATCTCTTGTCATCATTCCTTTTGACACCAACTGCTGAGGTGACAACAAAGCTGTTTTGTCGACTAACGGATGCCTCTGAGGCGTGCAAGGCGCTGAATGAGGAAGCGTCTTTGACGGTCTTGCAGGTGATCCCGCATTCTGGTTAAATAAATGCAGAGGGAATGCAGGGTCAGAGTTAACGCCACTTTTGAGGCTAGAAAACGGTATTTGGGGAGATCCTGGCAAAGGTTTGAAGGCAGTTGGCTTCTGCAACACGGGTGAACCATCCTGGGTCAAGAGGGCCTCACTTGACTTAATTGACCTGGGTGAGGCAAGAAGGTCTTGTTGCAGTGACGCCTGGTTTACCTCTTGGTGCCTTTGAAACAGCGCACCTTTAATGGGATCACCAGCAATTTCAGATTGTACAAGTGGCCTTGATCGAGGCGAATATCCAACTGGCAGCGTGCTGTCAGTTCCTGGAGCACTCAAATCGTTCCTGTTTACAGAGTTCTGTTCCTCTGGTATTATATACTTTTCCCTAGAATGAACCGGGTTCGATGTTTTCGCCTCGCTCTTTGGCGTCTTTTGGTCCATGCGATCTTGCTGGATCTTTCTCATGACAGAGGTTGGCATAAAGGAGCGATCAATGATGCGTGGGCTAGCAGACTGAGAAGACACTGTCTTAGGATTCACTACCGTGTGGCCACGCTGTTCAGGCGGGCCTCCCGGAGTAACATGCCTATCTTGCTGTCTCCTTACTGTTTGTGGATTGACCCTGGGTGGCACACTACTCGGCTGACGTCGCGTTTGATACACCGGTTTTACTTGATGTGGTACCATCTGCAAGTTAACAGCGCCAAACCCCAGGGGAGGACTCTGCCGCTGTTGAGCCAGCATGGAAAGAGGAGAGGGGGATCTACGGAGCATTGGAGATGAAAACAGTTCTTGGGGAGAGGCAACTAGAAAGAAAAATAAAAAGCAAATTGATCACCAAGGGGAGGATGGCTAAACAGTCATTTGAAGTCATAAAATGTCAAAAGAAGTACTCTAAAACATTAAAGGCCATCTATTAGCTTGGTCAAATAACTTCATCACAACAGAACCAATTTGACTTATTATTCAGCTGTTAAACCATTACAAGACTCACCAACAGAATTATTGATCTTGTGGAACATTTCAAGAGGAGAAGGGGGTCTGTTCATCTGTGGCACTACTTGAGGTGGCGACGGCGGTCTAGGGTCAGACAATGGTGCAGTCATGGTCATCATTTTAAGCAGCTCAGTAGGAGATGGTGATCTCCTCAAATCAACAAGTGGAGATGGAGAATGCCTGGGAGTCTTCCTCTTGGGAGATGGAGGTCTTGGAAGTAAACGGGCTGGCAGACCAGAGATCTTTTAGTTCAATAAAAAAAGAACTGAATTAGTGCGATGGTCTGGCCGTCTCTGTGATTTTGAGCGACCATGCAGCTCTCAGAGGACCTCACAGGATTGGTTAAGAAGACAATGACCAACCAAATTGGAACAAAAAAATGGAACCTAGACCGAAAAGAAAGGAGCTGCGACCCATAGGGGTCCAATTAAATTAGAGGTTAACCTCAGCTTTAAAGTAAATTGCGGTTTGACCGTAATGAAAGACTTTCTCGTGTTGAGTATAGTACAAGAAATCCTACTCACTGCAGGTTGAGGTTTCTCTGGGAGAGTCCCTGATGACTTCATCTTCTCAACAAGCATGTTAAATGCCACCATTTGCTCAGGTTTGTTGGACGTTTCACCGCCCTTACTAATATTCTCCTTGTTGTGCTCTGCATCACTAATCTCTTTCTTCTTCACAGAGCTTTTACTGTCTTTGTTGATATCAGCTTCGATATCCTCAGCTCGAACTGAGCCCATCACCTTGTTTGCATCCTTTTCCGATGACATGACTTCATCTAGCAAAGGCTGGACATTAACCTGAGATTTCTGAAGCATGGCTGCCAGGCTTTGAGATTCGATGCTGTCGTCTGCTAAAGGTGTAATGGGAGTGAACAGGTAGTTTGGCGCTGGTGACGGTGTACGAGGAGTGTTAGCACCACCACTCGAGAGTCCTGGCAGACACACACAAACAATAAAGATCAGTTACGGTAGTAAGGTTCACAGTCAAGTCGCCCGAAATGCTGAGTTATGTCGCCTGAAATTTTGTCATGCTCAACAACATCCTAACACCCCTATGAAACCTTTACAACGCTTGTTTCGTCTCCTCACAGATAAAGGACGAGATTTTTCCTTACTTCCAAATTTATTTGCAGAATTTAACTAACATGTATTTTGGACATGATAAAAGACAGAACTTTCTTCAACATGAAGTCTGAGGTCTCCTCGCCTGATGAAATGTAGCTGTAAACTTGGTGCAAAAAATCGCAATTTAAATGGTGATGATGATGATGATGATGCTAGTCTGTTTGTTGGTCCAGCTGGGAAAAGTAGCTTTTTAATTACCTTGAGTTGAACCATGACTCGTGTTTGCTGTGTTATTAAAACTTGCCTCTGTTTTAAGTGTTTATTTTTAGGTTTCGCTTAATTTGCTGGCTGGGTCCTTGTGGCTCCTCGGGATTAGGACTAATGAATTTTTTACTGACACAGCTCCTTAGTAACCCTTTCACTCCTTGAGTGATTGCTGGAGTCTTGTACGGTGGTTCTAACTTTCGAGTCTGTTGACAAAATCCTGTGGTATGAACATGTAAATGAAACCACATTGGCAGATCTTTGACTTTCAAATGGTACTATTTGTTTTGGGAATTTTACAAAATGAAAATTTGAAATTTTTGTCAAATTTTTGCCAATTGTAAAGGAGAAAGGGTTTAACACCAACCTGCACTTCCACTTCTGCTGCTACTATAGTTACTCCCCGGTTGACCAAAAAACTGACAGAATCTACTACTGGTTTGGTCTACCTGAAATCACATAGTACACAAAGAGCTGTCAAAATCAAATAAACGTCACAATTCAAACAATAAAAAAACAGTTTACATTGAAGCCATCTATGTACAAAAATAGCTGAAATAAAATAAATGAGTAAATTATATTGAATAACAAATGCTTTTTGTCAAAAGTAATCCATCATTAATCAATACTGGGTAGTTCTAGAAATTATCCATACCCTCTCCCAGAAAGGGCAATATAATTTTTGAGGGGAAGGGGGAGGGGGCACTCCAAATGGAGGCACTTTAATAGGGGAAGGTGGATGGCTTCTAGTGGTCTTTTTTTCTGAGGGGTTTCAAGTAAGATGTAGAGGGCATGTTCTACTTGAAAGATCACTCAGTGTGTTTAGTTTGAATGCCGCTGCTTCTTTTAAGATGGGATCATTATAATGTAGTCTAACGTAATGCCTCAGTATGTTTCCCAGAGATTGACCATTATTAGCTAAGAAAGCAAAATTGAAGAGGTCAAGCAACGAGACTACTATTAGACACTATATTAATTGGAACAAAAATGTTTTTCTCAGTTGATTGCAAAAATATTAATCTTTTGCATTGAAGTATAGTGAAACTGCATTTTTGATGGAAATATTTTTTTAAGGGTTACCAACCACGTAGGAAAATCACAGAAATTCCAGGGAGAGGGGTATGACAAGCACCCCCTAGAATGGAAATTATGGGGGGTGCAGGGTTTTAAAAAAGTGCTCTCTGTGGAGGGTGGGACCATGGATATTTTCTGGAACTACACATTACAAAAGTTCTCTTAAAAATAATAATGTATTGATCACAGGAAGCCCTAATCACATGCCAGGGGATTCCCAAGAAAACATAATTATTATCCACTACGATGATCAATGAAGAGAAGTAGATAAAAATATTCAACTTATCTATTATTACTCATTCCTGAAAATATTTTGCCAATTCTGATTGGCTCAAATCCCCTCGCTTATTCTTCACAACCAGTTGGCATGGAATAATACAACAATTAAGAAATTAGACTCGTATGCTTTGAAGAATTATGATGAACTATTCTTGACCTGCACAATTCTTCACGTCATACTCAGCTTCTCCCATTCAATAATTTAAATTGTTGAATAACTTACTCCGCCGGTGAAAGGAATAAGACTGTCACTCATAAAGAAATCATTAATGTCAAAAGGTTTGGTTGCCGGTTGTTTGCTGTCATCACAAGAAGCTGGACTAGCCTTTGTCTTTGTCTCTGTCCGTGTCTTATCTGTTGCACTGCCTTGAGATAGACTACCAGCTGTTTCAGGTGATGATCTGTTTAATTCACCATTAACTGGGCAATTCTTCCCCACTGAAACAAAACAAATGCATAAGTCAGATAGTTTGAATTTCTCTGATTTGCAAGTGGAAGCTGTTTTCTATTAGTCCATGAAAGATGACGTTACTTGTGCAATGGCCCCTGAACAGGTAAGGTCTTATTGTTTTTTGGTTCCATAATTTACACAGGGTTTTCATTAAGAATTCTAGTAGCAGGAGAAAGGTGTAACACCACACGGGAATATTTTGAAAGAGGCTCCATGTCTGAGTAAAAAATAGTCAGAGGCTACCAAATGTTAGCTGGAGAATTATGTGTAGTAAACAGAGAATTCTCCAATCTCCAATATCCAATGAACACCCTGTTTACAGTGTAACATCCCATCGTTTAGTGTTATTACAACTGTTGCTTCTGTGAATGGAATCTGTAGCAGTGTGCTTATATGTCTGTTTATTAATGTTTCTTTTGTAGTGTCTTACTTTGGTTCTTGTTGATTTGGAAAATGTAAGGTTTTAATTAGCAATTTTTATTTTCTCTAAAAACTGTTCTTAAATATTGGGGACTTTCTGAACGTTTTTTGTAGTGCTTAACAGGAAACATCTTAGGAGTTTTCTTTCGACATACTTCTTCAAAAATGTACCAACCTTTTAGCTTTTTCAAATCCAGAACAATAAAAACATAGAACAGTCAGTCTAACAGATTAAGGGAATGGCAAGTATAGGAGTCTGCCTCATTTTGTTTTTCATGCCCAAAGTATCTTCAACTTCCTGTGGCCTTAATTCTTTAAGTTATTTGGAAGAAAAATCCTGTAATGCACTTCCGACACATTAACAAACTACCCTTTATGACTATTCCACTGGTTAATGTTGCTGCACATTACTGTACGAATGTGTCCGTTTGGGGTAATTTCTTTTGTCCCTTATGTTATTCATTTTGTAACATTAGGTAGGTTCAAGACATTCAAGCAGCAATGCTACTCCATAAAGTCAATATTAAATAATTTGACATTATCTTCTTAATGCTTGTTTTACCTGACAAAATTGCTTTGATCTCTTCAGACGCAGATTTGCGTCTTTTTTGACCTAGATAAAGTATATTATATGATAATGTAAAAGTTTTGTTCTTATAAAGAACGGTTTTCACTACAAAATAATAATAGAAGAATACCATTACTTATGCTATCATAGATAAATAACAAAACACTGAAGCAACATTTTACAGGGACAATAAAACCAATATGCCGTTGGAATGTTCAGCTTATAATTTACAACATTTTTAAAATCTTTTCCCGGCAAAATATCAAAGTACATTTTGTTATGTGGGCAAATCAATGGAAAGTTTAGTCCACTGCTTTCATAAACACATTTCAAGTGAAAACCGGGTTTTGGTTTTTTCTTTCATTTTTTTAGGGCAAAAATTTGACATATTCTTTTGTTTTCTGTTTGTGGTAAGCAACCACCAGGTATATCACGTATGATTGTAAGAACTGCTTGAATGTCACAAAAGTTCAGTTTTTTGAAATAGGGCCAACCAAGGGTGCTGACAGATTTTAGCAGTTGACTTTTGGCAGTAATATGGTCTATGCAGGGCAGAAAAGTGAATTGTTACATTGATGAGAAACGTTATGTACAAAGTTTCCACAGTTCCAAGCGCTATCCGATGTGAAACATTGCCAGTTGTCCATTTACCTAATTTGTAAGTAAATTTTTAAGTAATTAATTAACTATTATTTATTTTGTAAAGACACAACTTTACATAATAATTTACGTTAATCAGTTCAGTTTGAGCATATTTTCTTGTTTTTTTCCGTTGACAACAACTCAGAACTAAAAAGTCCTGAAGGCACTCCAACATAAAAAACATAAAGTCTACAAAGACTGTCTGTATTCAAGGGACAACTCCCATATTTCATGGTCAGGATTCTTATCTCTTTAATTTCCAATTAGGTCTTTGCCCTTACTTTTCTTAAGATTTTCCAAGTCATCAAATCCCTTTAGCTCCATGGTTTCAAACTGACTTGATGGACCAAATGTGAACCACTCAGGTTCTTCATTAGCTTCCTCCTTGGTTGGCTTCCTTCTGACTGTTTGTGTGCAACAAGAGAGCAAACATTTTAAGTTAAAACTTGTACTTCTTACCACACTTGAAATCTGTTAGTGCAGTGTTTAAAGGGCTAATAAACTGTAAATTGTCTAAATGGCTGTTTCCTGAGAGGTCAAGTAAGTTCAAACAGTTCGTACGTTTTCAGCCATTGCATAGTTGAACCTTAAATTTTATTAGTCCCTTTGCAAAAACACTTGAGAAGCTTTTGTTTCCAAGAAATGTTGTGACTGGATAATCTTCTTCCAAGTGCCCCGGTTCAAGTAGTCACACCAAGATATTATTAGTCATAAACATTATGACCTCTATCAATCCCAATACAAGACAACTGGGAATTATTCAAGGGGAGGGAACTCAAGGCAAAGGGAAGTTGCATAACTCAGTAGAAACGGAAGCTTTATTATTCTAGAAGAAATCTGAATGTTGCTTATTTACCTTGGATATTTCGTCCTCGCGCATTTTCTTCTCTACTTCTCTTCCTTTCCTTTTCTCTAAACCCCCTATCTTTATCTTTCCCATAACCCCTGTCTCTATCAGGTCTTTCATCTCCTTCTCTGTATTTTCCAGATGCTTCATCTGAATCCTGAGAGAGGTGAAAACATGCTGAATAGTAAAATTATTATTGATATACAACTGTCAAGGAAGCTTATTGAGAGCCTTCATATAGGGTTCAAGTGAAGTTCATACACTGCAAACATCAAAATTAGTTCACGCACTTTGGAAGTGAGTGGCAGAGTAAATACGGATACCAGTGCACTCTTACAAATGACAAGGATTGTTCAGGACAAAATAATTATAAATAAATATATAAGCAAATAGAAATACAGTAGACTCCTGATAACTTGAACCCCCACTTAGACTTGAACCTTGCGTTAACACAAACCAAAATCGATTTCCCCAGCATTTCCTTCATAAGTTTACAGTCGAACCACACTTTATGGACACCCGATTATCACTAACTTGATTAAAATAAAAGACAAATACAAAATAATGATGATATGATGATACTAATAATAAATCAGGGTTCTCATAAGGTTTCAAAGTAGACAGCTACAATGTAAAAGTAAGCGGCTTGGCAATCAAGTGCTGAAGACAATTTCAGGCTTTCACTGCCTCACTTTACCCATTCCCCCAAAAGTAGATGGCTCAGGACTCAAACTAACCAGTTTTTTTAGCTGGTTGCCTGCACTTAATGAGAACCCAGTTAATAAAAACAAAACGTCCACTGTCTAGCTCTACAAACTGAGGATAAACAAGCATAAAGTGACTACAAATAACAGCAAAAATGCACCTTGTTTCTTTCTTGAAGAGGTGGACGTTCTTTATAATCTAATCTGCTCTTGCCCACCCGTCCAGTGAGCCTGCTTCTGCCCTCCCTCTCACGATCACTTTTTCTGCTCAGACCACTCTTTCCTCTCTCCTGTGGCAGAATTCTCTCAGGAGCACTCTGAGGAATGTGACAGCCTTGAACAAAGCTTTGACGTTGGGGACTCAGCACGATACCATCCTCAATCCTGAAGAGAACATAGCATTATACAAAAAAGATCACAAAACTGACTTTCCTACTCGGAATGACATACAAATCCTAAGCAATAATATTGAAATAATACTATATAAAAGCACACAAAAGTGTCAAAGTTGAGGAGAAAAGGGGAGCAATTCATTTTTTGCCATAATAGTTTGATCTAGAGGCTGTAAGCAGAGAAGAAATAATTAACTATTCACTTACAGCAATTGTTTTTTTAGTTCATCTGCAGGGGATGCACATCTTTTTTCACTTGCAAAGGACTGGTGCCAAGCCTCAGGATCCCAAATACCATTTCTAATAAACAGTAGGAATGCAATCGCATTAGAAAAATATGAACATTATTACTAATACAGCCTGACAAGACCAATTCTAAATCTTTACTTTTCTCTGAGAGTGAGAGGGATAGAGCTAGATTTTGCTGTGTTCATGGATGTTTGCTATTTTAGTGTTGTTCAGTACTGGTACTGCACACATATAAATTCAAACCAGCTTTCAACAAATAATTACAAGTCACCTGGTTTTCTGGGCAGGTTTGTTCAAAGCTAGGTTAAGATAACCCAGGGTTAGTGCTAACTTTGATTTTTTTCAGATATGAAAGCTTAAAAAGCAAATTCAGTTTAATTCCTCATCTACATTTAGATGATTGGATGTTCTAAAAAGAATAAAGAAAATTATACAAGAAAAGAAAAAGAAACCCGCATTAAAATATAACCCAGGGTTAGCGCTAATAAGCCTTTGAACAACTGGGCCCTGTTAAGTAAAACAATAAGCATATTATTTTGGACTTAGCATACCCAACCCTGAGACACCAATAAGCCACTTCTGAGTTCCAAAAATTCTCACTTTCAAAATGAGGCTAAATGCAAAACCTTTCTTGCAAAAAAGAAAAGAGCTTCATTTGCATAAGAATATAAAATCATTTTCATATTAATGGCTTTGTAATTAGCCTCACTTTGAAACAAGGACTAAGTGCAACATAAGACTGGTCTATTGCTGTAGATTACTGGTTTTAAAAGCAAGAGGTTGTGGGTTTGAACCCTGGATACAGGTGAGTGATAACAGTTTGAACACTACTAATAACCAAAGATTACGCAGTGCCTTCAACTCAAAGGCGTATGGGCAATCTTTTGCCAGAGGGGACAGTAAACGGTTTGGCCAAAAAATTATCGCAATAGTCTATGAAACGAAAAGAGGGCCATACGATGCAACAACATAGGGCATACTGGCATAATTATGAGGGTGGCTTGATATAGTTTTTCAGAGTCAACACCTCCCAAGTTTGAGCACAAACTATGTCGCCATAAACAAACATTTGGAAAAATTACCACCACAGTTGTATTATTTGTCATGATCAGGGATGCAATGACATTGGATTGGAGTTGTCATAGCAACAAAATAACGCCATTGCTGATGCTATCTGCCATACATTGTTGAAAATTCCTTCACTTCGACACTAGCATAGGGTCTGAATGGTCATGTCGGCATTTCTACGAGTGGAAATGATTCTAGAAAGTTATGCGGAAGTTTTTTTGGAAAATAGCCCATACTACCAATAAAAAGCTTTAAATATATAAATCAACATAAGATACCCATCCCTAATAACCAGAAACTCATCACGTGGTATGCAACCACTGTCTTGTGTGAATGTAACTGGATTATTAAGCCAACTTCAGGTTAAAATAGAAAACATTTATCTCTTCAAAATAACAAAATAACATGGAAGTGTCTTAAAAAACTGACTTTGCCCAAATTTTCTCTTGCTACCCAAAAAATCCGAGTTGCCCAAAATTTGGGGGGACTGCAGCCCCCGTTGCTACCCCGGCCTGTATGCCTATGGTTCAACTGATCTCAATCCCAGATCCTCTCTCATCTCCTTTTGATGATGATGTCATGACCCAGTAAAATCTGTGGGGATTCCAGACTCCCATCCCAAGTATCAAAAAGGGTCTCTACAGATTTTTTAATCCAAAATTCAAGACTTTTTCCAGACTTTCTACCAAAACATTAATTTCTTTTTCCAAATTAAATTCTTATTGTCTAATATCATTATAGTGTACAACATGTATATTCAGACATGCTGGTCATAAGAAATTGAAAGCGAGAAGATTTGTCCAAATTTAATAATAAAATAATATTAAAAAACATTTAAAAACTAAATGTTCATTTTTTTTTCATAGAGAAGTTCACGAGAACATAGTAGATTTCAATGAACACTTTGTATTATTTTTTATGCCCTTTAAATAGGTAAACAATTATTATATTATTAACTATCATTATCAAAATTTGCATTGATTTATAGCAGGGAAAAAGATTCTTGTGAAAATCATGACAATTTTTTGGGCAAATAACAATACAAAAAAGATCTGAATATACCACCAATCAAACAATCTAAATAAGCAAATTTAGAAAAAGAAATTTCCAGTACAGACAAAAATAATTCTTTTAACCGAGGGGCATCTTTCATTCTGGGAGTTAACATTTCGGCATGGTTTATAAAGATAAGTTTATCAAACCTGGCATGTTCATTAGAAAGAACACTGGGCCATAGTTTTGAGGCTGGAGATTCCCTTAAATTGAGTAATTCTTCCTGTAAAAAAATCAAACATCGCATTACAAATAAGCACGGTGATGAGGCTTATATCAACGTCGCTTGTGTATTGTACATGAAATGCACTCTTAGGCTTCGTACATTTCAAGGTTTCAGAATTATTTATCCTTCAATTAAATACAACAAAAAATAGAGCAATTTGTGAGGTTTTACACATGTCTGTCGGATCGGGTATAATTTCTAGACTACAAGAAGGAATTTTAAGTTCAAAATTATAACCCTTAAAAATCTCTTAATTTCCTCGATCAGTACACAACTTGTCACCTTTGAGTACGTAACACGTGGCTTGTTTTTCACTTTTTCCTGCTCCTCCTTTTCCTTTGTCACTGCCAGGTCTTCGATAGTTTTGCTGGTTTTTCCTAGAATTAAGAAACCCCAAGTAAAATTTGACAATAAGTTAAACGTCCTTCTATTTATGGAAGCATAACCAGATACGACATATTCGCACTTCTAGAGGTGAAGTCGCAGTGTTTACAGTGTAGTTTTTTTCACAAACACACAGAGAAGCCAACACTTTCGAGCCTTTGGCAAAATTAAATCACGGAAAGGAACAATCCAAAAGCTTTGTTTCACAAAAGATTAACTCATTTATACTGTATCGAATTATGAACAATTTAAATAAACGCGTACCTTTACCCCACGACCCTTCTTTGGTAACGACATTATCCTCTGCTGACAATTCAGCAACCTCCATCTAGGAACTCAGCGTCGACAGTTATAAACGTTAGGACAGTAACTTCCTTGAGACGAAGTTAATCTGTTTGTGAATTTAACCTCAAAGAAAGGCTGTATCATTACAAAAAAAAAGCTTCACAAATCTCAGTCCCTGTCACCGTCAACGTCCATTTTGAACCAAAGGAAACTGCAACGAGCTGCGCTTGCGTACTAGTACCTGACTTAAACAGAAGAGCATTTCCGTTTCCTGAGGGGTGGAGAGCGATATTTGTTTTGCGACTTTCTCTACTTTCAATGTCCGTTCATTGAGCAAGCAAAAAGGTTAAGAGAAATGCTTTGTTATTATCTAGCGTCCCTGGAACAGGGTAGTTTTCTAGAGCCTTAGCTATCAGCAGGGCACTACTTAGCATGCAACGTCGTGGGTGTAGGGTCCCAATTTGCCCTCGCCATTTTGGTGGGATTCGCAACTTTTCACTGTACTACATGTATGTAAATTCTGCCATGCTAGTAAACTTTAGTTGTGGTAATAGTTGTGCCCAATATATATATATTTTAATTCCCTCATTTTCTTTTTGTGAGTAATCTCCACAAACAATATTTTAACTTGAACAGCAAGTGTTCGAAAGCGAATTTTAATTTTAAAAAGGGTGAGCAGTGGGCACGCTGCAGGCGGCTCGCGTATGGCGTTCCATTTCCGCCAAAATTCAATGTTTCATTTTACATTGTACTTTGCACAATCTATCCTACACTTTGTGTTTGTCATTTGAGTTTGCACTCGCGATTCAACTTTTTTGCATTCAACATTCAACTTTGATTTATGCAACATTCAAGTTTTCGCTTTCGACATTCAACTTTTCATAAGCAACAGTCAGGTTTTGGAATTCTACCTTCAAGTTCAGTGGAATGTACATTCATTTTTTCTCATCCAACATTTAGCATTTGTCCTTTAAGTTTTCGCTTCCGACATCCGACTTTGAGCATTGTACTTGCAAGTTTCCGCATTCGACATTCAACTTTTCGACTTTGACTTTTACCCGCTGGTCAGCGACCGATTAAGATCGTGGGCTCAATTGACCTGACCTACCCCCGCTCAAATGGTGGTCGAGAGACTTCCCAGTCGAGTGGACTCGGGAGACCTTCTCCACTCCCGACAAACCAGACGTCGACAACAACATGGCCGATCGCCGGGATGCGGAACCGTCAGCTGCTAGCTTATGAAGTGAGAGCCACCCTGTTGAGGGTGGCTGACCGTCTGTCCTCGTTGGAAGAGACACCATCTCCAAGTAAGTATCGGGCAATCTTTGTCAAGTATGAAGAAGTTATGTGTTCAATAAAGTTCGCGCGTAAGCGCCGACACAAGCTTACATGTACGCATAAATAGCGGCAGCATCATTTTGATCACTTCACGCGCGCTGCGTAATGGACGGCATCGATCGTAGAATGAAATATTTCCGAAAGGTTTTGCTTGCAATACTCTTGTCTTTATGTTTTTACTCATTTCTTTATTGTGTGAGAATTAAGGAATGAATTTTGATTTGTTGCCCAGAAATCAAGAATCGGTCTGCATAAAACGCCACAGGCACCCCAATCTCTGGCCTCCCATGCAGACTACACAAGCTCTTGTGTCTGAGCAATTCAAGTAATGTAAGCAATGGGTAATACAGAAAAAGCTACAGTGCTCGCACACCGTACATGTATTTATTTAATAATTATGTCAGAGCTCTCTGTAGTTAAATTTGTTTGGATTGGCTGTTGAGAAGGTTCTGCTTGAATATATTTATTATTATAATTTTTTTATTTTTAGACAGCACCAGAAAGGTACAACAGAATACAAATCCTTCTCCAGTTGCTTGTCTGTCTGCTTCTGTTGCTGCTGAACAGCGCAGGCTGTTTAGCCATGGAAACAATGCAAAACGAGCACGTTCTTCTGGCAGCTCTCTTCCAAAGTCCAAACGAAATGCTACATGTACTGTAAAGTTTGTGTGTCTAGCTGCCAAGGAAGAGGCAGACCGTCCACCAATGTCTGTGAAAGAAAGAACGGCACTGGCAAATGCTGGCTTGGGTGATGCTAGTATTTCCTTTGGGTATAACAAGAGCTCTGTGTACAATGGAATCATCCAACGATTTCCTCAATTGAGTGAGGTTGGGGGTTTTGACCTGCTGTTGTTTCAGAGAGGTAATGGGGAGGGTGCAGGGTTCCACAGAATTCTTCCCCCACACACACCTCAAAGGCTGAAGGAGTTATGTGGCCAAGCAAAAATTTTGATACGACCTCTCCAAAAGGACATTGAACTTGATGACAAAGGTGGAGAAGATAAAGAAGATGTAAGTTGGATAGCAGAAATTAACAAGCTACAATAGTAGTTTCAGTGACTCTTTTCGCTTTATTTCTTGTTCAATTGGTTTTGTATTGTAATTAGCTGTGTTTTGGATTAATTAGGAGGAGAGCATTGTTGGTAATATTTATAATAAAACAAATTATTTGTTGAATTTACTGATGAGAGTATGTGTACATGTATGCTTATTTAAGTTAAATTTATAACCTTGTTCTTTTAACCTGCCCATGGGTTTGTTATATATATGTACAGTATATTAAATTCAGTCTGGAATATACATTATATCAAGCTTCATTATTTTCTTACTGTGAAAGTAGTGGATTTTTTGTAATATCAAATGGAAATGATGTTAAAGTTTAAGATGTAGGCGCTATAAGTTAAATGAAATTCAGGGGCACCCAACGACAATTTTCGGAAGAATATCTGTTCGGAAGGCGATTTGAGACCTAGAATTTTCGAGACATTTGTTGTAAAATTTCTTGCTTGCCTGCATCTCCTAGGATTTTCGAACATGTAAAAAATGGTATAATTGCCTATTTTTAACGGATTTTTGCCCTAAAAAGGTCACCTAGAATTTTCGGGAGCCTTTTTTCTGGCTGAAATTTTCGAAAAAGTAAGTTTTGATCCCTATTATTTTCGGATCACTAGACTTTCAGCTAGGAAATCCGAACAGATGAAAAATTTTTAGGGGATAAAAATATGCCTATATCTACCGTTTAAATACTAAAATACGTTTAACAATGCTATGTTTAAGTGGTTTTGAACTATATGCTCGTTGGGTGCCCCTAGAAATTCAGATTACAGTGGTTTCAGTCTTTGTATTTCTTTTCTTTTTTAATTTTATTTGTCTCATGTTCATAAACATTTTTCAGAACAAAGGAAATCCTAAAACAAACTGTAGCTGAAGAACATTTTGACATGATTTACATTGTTTATACGCTTCAATTATGTGTGTATTTTTAACTACTGCTTACATGTATGTTTGTTGATTTGCCTACCCTTCTAAATGATTATTTAGGTTGACAGTGATGTTCCTATGATTGACTGTTTTACCTATTTCATAAACATTTTTTTCAGAACAAAGGAAATGGTGCTGCTATTATCATGACAGATATGCAGGAGCACCAGGAGACTCACCAGCAAGGAGAGACCAAGCAGCCTGAAGATGACTTTGAATTCAGTGCTGGTCAGTACATTAAGCTTGCTGAGTATCATGATCCATACTCTTTGTATCTTCTTTATGTCATAAATAATGTGCAAATGTAACTAGGGCTTGAAAGTACAATTCAGTGAATACTTGAACAGCTGAAGAACTTTCTTCTTTGTGATATGACGTTATGACACCTTTAAATTACAATCATGTTTAACTGAGGAGAAAGCCTCTTCAAATCTTACATCACAAAGTTCACCTCCTTCCTGGGGGGAGGGGAGGATACTTTAGGAATTTCTGGGTAGGGATGTGCTACTGGGACCCTGGGACCCTTAGCCTATACCAGAGCTAGTTCAGCTGAATTTTGCTACTCTATTCTAGACTACTATCCTATAGTAGTTTTGTAGGCTGAGTTTTGTAAAGTTAAACGTGCTGATTTGATTTTTTTATATATTTTTGAGTGTCAATTCCCAGTTTCTCTATTGTAGACTAAAACTTTCAACCAATTCCTGGAAAATAATACCCTATTCTAGACCCAAACTCTCTGATTGATATACCCTATCCCAGAGTAAACTGCTTAAAAACCATTACCCTTTACAGTGGCACATACTTATTTGTGGCAAACATACATGCCAGTACCACCCCCAGGACCTCCTCCCTTAGTGGATGTATTTTCTGTTATCTTATATTTGAAGTAGAGTGCTGTAAATCAAAGGAACTCAAAACCCACTCAGTAACATTATGTTTTTTATAGACAATGACAGTAACTGGGAACCTCCCCCAATGCTCCAGCCTTCTCAGTCACAGAAGCAGCAGCAGGATGAAGGTGTGTATTGCAAGGGGACAAGATCCAGCAGAGTAGTATTCATCATAACTTCATAAGGCGTGTCATAATAAAGCTTTCCCTGTATTGGAAGTAAATTACAAGGATCATATGGCATGCCATTGGTGCCAAAATTATGATGCAAATTTTTAATATAAAATTTGTTTTTTCACATTTTTTTTCCTATTTTGGGGTACACATTGTCTTTTAGTTTGCACAGACTTCCTTTTTGGGTTGATTTTTCTTTATTAGACTTGACATTGGGTTGGTATAGTTTTCAGTTTTGGTCAGCTTTTTATAATGTGTAGACTTTTCATTCGGGTGAACTTTTCATTGTCATTGCATCAATTCAAGTCACGCAATACTGGTGACATCTCCTAAGGGATCATGGGAAATGCATTTCCTGTGCTGCCAGTCTGTTGTTTATGCACTGCCATAAAAAAATAGCAGGGCAGACTGTGCATACCTACCCTCCCAACCATGGGGTAAAACATTGACAGCCACCACATTTTTGGGGGATCATTTAAATCAATCTAGAAATGGGGTGAAATTCAACTCCTGCAGAAAAATGAAGAATGAACATCTTTCAGCTGGAACCAACAAGTAAAACAGCCAAAGGTATATTAAATATACCTTTGGCTATTCTCTAACCTTGTCTGTTAGATGTTAAATTATGCAACACACAAATTTTCATTATGTAACATTACTTTACTTGTGACTGTCTCTGCATAGCTGTTCAGTCTTCAATAAAATTGCCTTTATTGAGTTATTTTTATTACTTTGTGAAAAGGCAAAGAAATAAGCATTACATGATATATTCAGTTTATTCAGCAGCAGCCTGACTTCAAGGTCGTGAATACTCTGAGCCACAAAAAGAGAGGGGGGGTTGTGCATTGGCTAATAGCAATTTACATGTATTATTGTGGTTGTGACATAACCTGCATTTGCACTGCTATTTAAAATAATGCTAGTACATATTAAGATTTCGTTTGTTATTGCAGGTGAAGTACCATTACACATAGATGACAATGGAGGAGAACCACAGCCTGGTCCATCTAGACAAACAACAGAGGAGGAAACCCTGCAACAACTAATGGAGATGTTTCCGGACAAAAGTCGAGATGACTTGGTGCGAGCCCTCAGTCTACACGGGACTGTTGGTGCTGTGGCTCTTTCTCTTTCCAGTAATTTACCTGAAGATGATTTTAGCAGTGATGATGACAGCCTGTTACAGCCTTCTTTTCCCCCTTCAAAAGAAAATAGATTCCTTGCAGTCATTGTTAAAGGAGCTTGGGAAGAATATGAGTGAAGAGAGAGTAAAAGTAAAAATTGAGGAGGAGGACATACTGAACGATGCATTGGCCCATGACAAAAGTCCTGAGTTTGATGTTAAGAAGAAGCTAAGAATCCAGTTTAAAGGCCAACCAGCAGTGGACACAGGTGGTGTTACAAGAGAATTTTACACAAAGTTGTTCCAAGTCATTTGCAAGATGTTCTTTCAAGGCTGCTAATACAAGAGTCCTGTGTACAGTGCAGATATTGTAGCCTCCGGACTAATGCGATACTTTGGCACCATGATTGTTCACAGTATTTTACAAGGTGGCCCAGGCTTCCCAGTGTTGAGTCCTTCAGTATACTGTTACATTGCTTCTGGTAATATTGATGCAGCAATGGCCAAGATGAATTATGGAGATTGTTCAGAGCCTGTTAAGCATTTCATTGACAAGGTACAAACTGGACATTTGAGTGCATTCTAAAATTACTGACTGAAAGGGAGCTTGTAATCAATTGAGTAGAATACAGTACTTTGATTGTGACTCGAACATCTTTCAATTCACCTATGAGTATACAATCACTACAATGTCAAGTAACATCATAATCATGACCATGGCATTACAGTTCTGTTTGTAAAAATTATCTCAAATTTGTGCCTACTTCTTACTATTGCTTCTAATAACATATGCAAATATGCATTACAGATGAAATATACATGTAATGATGATATTGCCAACAATCAGCACACAATAGCAATAAAATTACTATGTTTATTTACAGAACAAAGTTTACAGTCAACAATTGAAAACCACTCACATCAGATTTTATTTTTTATCAATACTAGGTTGCACAAGCTGAAGATGTGTGTAGTCTTGACAAAGAAGAATGCTCAAGTATGTTGTCTGAGTGTGGCCTTGCTGTTGCATTAACAGTAAGACAAAGTTAAACAAAACTCCTTACACTCAATACACCATATTCACAAATGGCGGACACGCGGGAAAAAACTGGTGCCTAGTCATGAAAGCGAGGCGTTGGAGGGTAAACAAAAACTGCAAATGAAGACTTTCAGTGAACTTGCAGAGTGTTTAGCACTGATTCCACCTAAAATAACTTTGTACGGACTTCTTTTAAAATACAATTACGTGGGATGTCTTCTGCTTTTAATGTTTAGTATTGATTTGCTGTTTGCAATCAAAAGGGACGCGTATATCTTCAAGGAAACAAGATGATTTTGTAGGTTTCCGAAGCATCAGAAGCTAGAGAAGTGGGCGATGGCTGGAGAAAAGCGGCAAACATGTTGGCCCAAACTTCACATTGAAACCGAGTTCGAAAGCCAGCTCACTGCAATTCGGTAAAACAGAAATATAAACAATGCAAATCTTGGGGGCAAGAAAAAAAGGAATAAGCGATGGATATATGGCCTACTTGTTAACGCAAGAGACGTGTGCCATTGAACAAAACAGTTCAAATCGAGATGGAAAAAAGGAAGACAGGAAAGAAGCGGTGACTTAGGTTTCGATGAAGTTATGTTTGGTGTTTATTTGACAGGACGCTATTCTCTGGTCTTTATCGATGAAGGACATCAATTAGAACTATCTTTTTGGTATAAATGCAGGAACGATCGAGTGGAGTACGCTCAAAATTTCGACTTGTCACTCGGCAGACTCGGTAAGCCGGCCACATTTCATTTCAGCGAGTAATTTTCCTATTTCGTATCTTTGGCTGTTATGAGTTTTAACTTCATGTTCCATAATGTTTTAAAAGTGAAGAATACATAAATAAGTAAAATGATGGTCTTCTTAAACGGATCCAGACTCGCATTTAATGATTCGAAACAGAAGCTTGCCGTGTTCAGTCCTGACACAAACATTGCCTTAAAAGTTTAACCTAGTAAAATGTGAGCTTTATACCACTTTTTTACAAAGAGCTCTCTGAGATAATGCCGTAAAGGAGACCAGGCAAATAGCAAGCCATAAGATTCACACACTAGAGCTTCTAGTTTTGATAAAATTATTTTATTTCGCAATGCAAAGAAATCAAAAGATTTTAGATTTGCACTGAATTTGCTAAGCTCTGCCAACGTACCTCTAACAATTCACTCCAAAGCGACGGAATTGATATCATCCAAAGGAAGTTGTAAATACAGACATACATAGATATGTGTAAAATGACACTGACATGAATGAATGAGTCTCGTGAATGAATCTTTCACCCGCTCTCGACTTGACCAGTTTTGAGTAATGGCGGAGGTCTCTTCCGTTGACAAGTAGGCCATCTATCCGTCGCTTTTTTCTTTTTTTCTTGCCACCAATATCTGTTTTTACTTCTGTTTTACAGAATTGCAGTGAGCTGGCTTTCGTATTCGGTTTCAGCGTGAAGTTTGGGCCAACATGTTTGCCGCTTTTCTCCAGCCATCACCCACTTGTCGAGCTTCTGAGGCTTCGGCAACCTACAAAATCATCCTGTTTCCTTGAAGATATACGCGTCCCTTGTGATTGCAAACAGCAAATCAGTACTAAACATTAAAAGCAGAAGACGTTCCACGTCATTGTATTTAAAAAGACGTCCATACAAAGTTATTTTAGGTGGAATCCGTGCTAAACACTCTGCAAGTTCACTGAAAGTCTTCATTTGCAATTTTTGTTTACCCTGCAACGCCTCGCTTTCATGACTAGGCCCCAGTTTTTTCCCGCGTGTCCGCCATTTGTGAATACGGTGTATACAACGTATTTCTCCTATTTCAAACATTTTGTGGAACAAAAGCAACTGTTGAAAGTTTAGGTACATTGGTTTAAAACAACGAGGATGACCGTCATGACGTAGCCTCCCCGCAGACGTCCTTTGGGGTTCGTTTGTCACGCATTCATTTCTCCCCCACGGAGGAGAAATGAATGCGTGACAAACGAACCCCAAAGGACGTCTGCGGGGAGGCTACGTCATGATGATGATGATGATAAATATAATTTTTTCGTGTCGACCGATCAGCCTCGCAGTTCTTTCCAGAGAAATAATAGGGCCATTTATACGAGAAAAATAAGACGCTAACTGTACCATTTATAGGAGCATGTCTTATCTGATAAGACGCGTCTTAGCTAAGCCGCGTCTTATTTTAGACGAAATGTGCCGTCTATACGGAAAGTTCGCGTCTGATTTAAGACGCGTCTTATGTAAGACGCGTCTTATTTTTCCTCGTATAAATGGCCCTAATTAGAATTTAAAGTGAGAAATCATAACCAGATCTCTAAATCGAATAAATGCGGTGATTGCACCTCACTCCCGCAACCACAGCGAGGTTGGCAGAGCCGCTTTAAAGTTCTAAAGAGGCGGGAAAGTTGATTGCATGTACTTTTTACAGTTTGCAGTTTGCACTGTAGCAACCAGCTTACTTGGATTCCCCAGGGATAGAAAGCCAACGATTTAGAATAAAACATAGAATTAATGAAGATGATCATATCTTCATTTAGAAAAGATAAGAACTGTTTACCATTTCCAAAAAGGTTTCCGGAAAATACAGTTGAAAAGTAGAAGGAACACGACTTTTTAGATCGTTTGAGCGGAAAATTTCCGAGCGGAATGGAACATCTCAGAAGGTATTCCTGTTTTTCCGGACGGAGTGTTCGACACGAAAATTCGTGTTCCATTTCTTCAAAGCCAAGTTTTCAGGCTTTCGCGATTCCGGTAAGAAATTTATCGCTCCTAAATCTAGATTACCATTTGCCCAAACCGTGAACCGACTGTCTCTGCGCAAAATCTTGCATTAGACTCCATTTATTTGTTTTGCGACACGAGTTGCAGGTGACGCTAGGGCCAACACACCCTGAAACTGAAGTAAAACATTTACATCGTGAAACTTGAACTTGTGTCGCAAAACAGATGCGACGCAAATGTCAAGAAGGGGCCTCAATTGGATTTGAATTATTCAGGGAGATTAAATAGCTCGACTCATGTTTCGATTCCGAGACCAGTTGAGACTCTTACATCCTTCGTGAAAAGTAAAACTTTTACCTCGCCTCGAAAAACTTGTGTCACAAACAAGATGCAAGACAAGTGACAAAACATTGCCCAGTATAAAGGGCTTTCAGTTTGAATGTCATTATGATTATTCACAAAGGGAGATAAAATAGTTCAACTCATGTTTCGAAGCTGAGAATAGCTCAGACTGTTGCATCCTTCATGGAGGTTTTGGGCGGAGCACGACATATGAGCATTAAAAGTCCTGTTCTGGTAGACCTTTCCAAATACTTTGTCTAAGACAGACTAAAAGTAGAGGAACACGCGAAATTTTCTCTATTTCGCCTAAGAGTCCTTGTACCTTCTCGCAAGAAGCACTGTTGGTGTGATCACTCACTCTTACATGTACACGAAAAATAACTTTAAGGTCGTTTCGCCTATACGAGTCGTTTCGCCAACGTCTCAAGTCGTTTCGATTATTAAGTTTTAGGTTAATTCCTTTACTTCTTTCGCCTAATCAATGGCTTCAACAACGAGATATGCACCTGTGGATCGCACTTTTTCGAGTCATGGCTAAAAGAACGAGGTATATACTTGCTTAGTGTTCATTTCGTTTCGTAAAGTGACAGAGCGAGACGTTAGCGAAAAGACGCGTAGGCGCAACGGCCGGTCACAGGAAAATAGGAACGAGTCGCCACCTGCATAGTTAGTAGCTATGCTTCTTGTCTGGGTACGTAAAGGTGAATAGGGAGGAAAAATTAAGTGGTTGGATAATATTCAGAAACTGAGGATCGATGCGTTTCATCGAAACTGAGTTTTGTGTACAAAGTTGACAGGTAACTGAGGTAAATTGACAGCGCAGAGGGACTGAAAGCTGAACATTTAAAGCGATAGCACTTCGACTGAGACAAGGATGAATATTCTTCTTTGAAACTCTATATGGTGACTAAAACAAGTCAACCTAAAAGCCAAAATTAAATAACGAAACAGACCAAATGAACGTACAGAAACACTTGTTTTAAAAGTAACTCTGAGTTTGCACATTCTTTCCATAAATCAAACTACCACTAATTTACATGGTACTATTGAAATAAGCTAAAATAGCTGTAGCGAGTCGAACTTCACGCTGTGCAGAACACGTCATTCACTTTCCTAAAACAAACTCTTCACCCTTCTTGATGTTCTTCTTCAGCTCAGGTATCAACTGCAAATCAGAGAAAGAGAAATGTCGCGTGAATATGATGCATGATCTAATTTTATATCCATATTTAGTCATTTCTCTCCACGTGCGACCACCACTCGTAAGCGACCACCTCCCATAAGGGAACATCTATCCAAAACACCAACATTTCCCCACTCAAAAGCCTGTAGTTTGAACCTGTCATAAACGACCACCTATAGCAAGCCACCACGATCAATTTTTGGATTAACGAGTTGATAATTTTCCGTACGTTTTAACCTGTAGTGGGCGACCATTTGACGAATGGTCTGCATGATATCCATGTTCTTCAACTACCTCTTCATGGACAACTCTGCAAGCTGGACAAAAGGCAAAAACGGAAACCTAGAGTTGGTCCCTCCTTTTTCTTTGCCCATTCCTTTGATTTTATACAAGATGGACATTCTCTCAGACGGTCCCACAGCTGTATGGCTTAAAGAAAGTTCATAATACAGTCAATTCTGAATTTCGTGCAGTAGTTCCGGTCCTAAGATACCAAACTTCACACAATCCCTACCTCCACAACATGGCCACCTCTGTACACAAGGAATGACCAGTGGGTGACATGAAGCCTTTCTCCTTTCTCTTGTATTATTCAATTTATATGCATAGCAATTTTTCCACAAATTCTTTAACAACATGTTTTCTCTTTCTCACATTTGTACTAGAAAAATGATTATCCCCAAATGTTTGCTAGGCTCCCAACTTACAAAAACCAACCACATTTTCAAGTTTGCAAGTGTTAATTGTTAGCACTGTCAGCCTTTCCTAGTATGCCCAAAAAAGAAAGTGCAAAAAGCAAAAGGAATAGTAAAGTTGAATGGCTTAAATAAAGGGTTTTGATATAAAGAGGCTATGTGACGAGGTTAGAACTGTTTCAGGTCAATTCTGTACTGAAGTCATTTACTGCTCCTGTAGAGTAAGAGAGCATTATCTATAATAATTTTTTTGGTGATTTTTGCAGGCATAGTATTGAAACTTGAAAAAGTTAGCCAGCTTTTTCAAGTTTCAATCCAATGTCTATGCTTGCCATCTGTCGCAACAGATGACAGGAATTAGTTTCAGTGCCTTAATATAGCCTTAAATAACAAAGCTGGACCATTATTTTTGGAATTCAATTGACCTGAAGACAAGTTTCAGCATTTTTAAAGATAGCAAATTGCATCACAGAGCCCTTTAAAATACCCAAGTGAAAACCACACTGACAATCAGCTTCCATGTACCTCTTGCAGCTTTGTTTCTTCATAGGCAGAAAGCGTTCCATAACCTAGGGCACTCTTTACACCATTTGGCTATTTGAAAGCAGATACAAAAAGAATATTTAACAATTATTCCTCGAACCCTAAGGGGCTCTAAGTCAATAGTCCTTGAGGCCGAAAGCCGAATGGGCTATTGAGTCAGAGGCCATGAGGGCGAGAGGAATAAATTATTGTTTAAGTAAAATCCAACTAGTTAGTCAAAAATATCGAGCAAAACAACTTTAGCTAGCAAAACGCGATTCATCCACCAGTGACCACTAGTTGGATTTTACTAACAGATATTATAATAACATTGGATAGTTAAAGAAAGCAATTCTAGATAATGCTACCAATTCCAAGTGCCTATTATATCAAAAAAATCAATCCACCTGACCAAATCATAACTCCCTTTTCAACAAAGCAAAGCAAATAAGTCAGGATAAAATAACAGACACCTACAAAGAGACATCCACCTGTTGCTTCTGCACCCCTCTCTCTAAGAGAGTAGCAACCTGATCCACTTATTCCACCCCAACCCCACCCCCTCTGACTGCCACTTGTTTCTGTAGCCCTCTCCCCTAAGATGCCCACCCCGCCCCCTCCCACTCCCTAAAGAAAAAGGATGGAAACAGAATGCAATAATTATTAAAAAGAGCAATCATGAAAAGGCACAATCACCTACCCCAAGCTCTACAGGTTGTGCAAAGTAACCAGTGCCACAGACATCTGACTGGACAAATGCACACTCAGTAACTCCCTGCTTGCCATTCAAAGCATCAAGGACCTGAATATTGCCAATAATTCCATTTTTAAACTTTGTAATAACTTTAGTCTTGACTTATAATTACTATACTCAATAACTGAGTTCCACAAGGGAAGAAAACAAAAATAATAAATTAATGATAAGGAAATAAAATATTACTATAATCACTTGTGTTTGCAGTTCAGCTCTATTATCAATGAGGAAGAAACTACATGTAGTGAAAGGGGAGAGATCGCCATGATAGCCTGTGAACAGGCTCCCAAGAGGAGTGGGGCCAAAAAGAAAATCAGCAAGAGAAGTGAGCCGAGCATGGAATGGGGCAGAAAAAAGGCCGGGGAGCCTGTAGAATTTGTTTTGATGCTGCCCATCGTCAGGTCCCTGACTGTTGACAAGTGACTGATGAATAATACTCACGTGCGTATGAATGTCATTCGAGAGGAGGTATAATTACCATATTGACATGTTAATGACATATGTGTTACAAGTGGGAGGATGGGCTGCATCAAAACAAAGTCTACAGGTTCCTCTTTCTTTTTCTCCTGCAGGCCCTGCTCGGCTTGCTTAGCTTGACAATTTTCTTTTTTTCCCCACTCCACTTGAGAGCTTATTAGCACACTATTACCATGATGGTGATTGACTGTGATTAATTTTGCAGTCATTATTCTCAGAAGAAAGAAGTTGCTTTCCTTTGCTAAGATAATTTCTAGGTGTTTATATTGTGTGTTGTTTGCTTTTCACTCATCCACTGTTGTCAACGATGACCAAGAACATCACAAGAAAGGGGAAGTGATGTTTTGACTTGCATGTGAATTGGATGAAAGTGAAGGAGAGTTGCCCTGTGTCTCAATCTCAGTCTCTTGTCCTGAGTTATCTGGGTCCAGAAGCAGGACAAGTGAGACAGCTGGAAATACAACAGGTTGAGTCTGTTAAATTGTACCCTTCTTGCTCCACAGCACCAGTAGCATGCTGGTGGTTGGCTCACATGGAGCTCATTCACCCTTTCACAGGTTTTGTTTTTTCTCCTGCTGGGTGACATGCCACCCTCTTCACTAGCATAGTGCTGACGGAAGACCAGTCGTCCATGTGGCAGGTTGTACTGGGTTACAGTACATGTATCACCAGTAGCAGAGTCCAACACCTGGGAAACCTAGACATGCTACCTAATGTTAAAATAGCTTATAACTAGTAATTTACAAACTTTACTTACAGAGTTAACAAACTTTGTCCCAGCATATGCCATTGAGAGTGTTGCAGATCCCTAAAGTAACAGTTGACAGTCATGAATTAGTGCTAAATTATGATATCGTCATTCTGAATGATATGCATTTTATGTAAATCAACATTATTGCATTACTTAAATAGCCTATTAATGCAGCCACCTGTCCTTGCTTGTCACTGATAGGGATGTTTCACAGAAGAGATGTCTGCATTAACAGCCAATAAATCAATGTTTACATAATCAATCAGCATTCAAAGATTGTTATTATTTATGGATAAATAATATTGTTCTTTACATGAAATGTAACAATATTATTTATCCATAAACCTTTATTGTGCTACATGAAACAAAGAAGGAAACAGGTTGAAGAAAAACAATCATCTTACAGATCCTGCTTTGGCATTCACTACTTCTGTCCCAGCATTCTGGATTCTGTCAGTGAGCTTGTCAACTTCCTCATCAGTAAATGACACACCAGGAGATGTCTTGAAAACAAAATCAAAACAGATTCAAATGCAATTTTATCCATCAATAAAAATAATGCTTCTGAGTCCTCTGACTCTATTGTTTTTTAATTGTAGCAAAAATTGGTGCAACATCTAGATTCTGTCAGTCTGTGGCAAACAATAGAGGAAAAGTGGATCTCGTGGCAAATTTTATCTTTGAAAATGTGTTGTGAGAGAAGCTGCAAATACTAAGATGTTGTAAGGTTCGACTCTGAAAATCCCTGACTGAAAACAAAGTAGTGTATGCTTAGTACGGTGTAGGTTGGTGTAATGGGTGTAACCTATATCAAAATTAATGTGATGTCAGTTTTACTAGTTAAAGCCAAGGCTATGAATTACAATAATAAAACTGTATTTTCAGCACAAAAATTCTAAAGTAGGGATTTCAGTGCAAGCCATTTCCGGCAGATTGTCACTGTTTAAAGGCTCCTCTACTGCTGTATATTAAAGCTTTCTGAGCGTTAATAGAAGATTAATTTATCAACTAAAGAGAAAAAGGACAACCATTATTAATAAGACCAATTCTCTGATGTCCATTACATGCCGAAAATTACAGTTTGGAGTTTCTTTTTTCCAGTTTCTTAAAAGTTACTGAGCCAAGTTGCTAAGACTTAATACACATATGACTGGAGCACAAGCTAAATACATTACCTGGGATAAAAGAGGCAGAATTGTGATACCAGAATGACCACCAATAACAGGTACTTTAACATCTTCCACATTAAGCCCCTAGAACGAAGTACATGGAAATATAGGCAATGACATCACAAGTGACCTGTGTCACTGATTGGAGAGAATAACATTAACATTCTCAAACAATCTGTATGTAAATGGTTAATTGTATGTGACAATGACCTTCCCCAACAATTCAGTTATTGCTGCAAGTGGGTGAAATAAACAGAATATCTATCTATCTATTCGACAAAAAAAATCTGTACCCCTCTCTTGAAAAATTGTAGCATTGAAGATAATTACTTTGCATGCTTTTGTCAGTACTCAGCCCCTCAGAAGAGACTATTTTCAAGCTGCTCTTAGAGCCTCTTCTGCGAAAAAATAGTCCTCTGAGGGGAGGACACAAGCTTACGGGTGATGAATAGTCTGCACTAAAGTAACCATAAAAAAAGAAGGAAAAAGAAATCTATTTAAAAAAATATGGATGATGCCAGGTTTCGAACCCAGTAACACTACTCTGAACACTAACGCTTTGTACTATGGGGACGTTTTTTTCCAAACGGAAAATTAAAATTATTTAATGGTTTGTTTTACTCAGTGTACCTTGTTTTTTCACTACATTATTTTGTTTTCTATTGGCTGTATTTTATATCTTTCTAGTAATTGTTTGGCTTAAGAAAAAAAGAAGAAGAAAAAAAGAATTCTATTCTATTCTCACTATAAAGGGCTATGGCAGGTATCGCACCCCGTATTTTTTGGTCCAAAGGTTATGCATTAATGCCGTCTGCTACAAAAACAATAGATATGGCCTTACCATCATTCATTAAACAAGTATTACTGTTAAATTCTTTTTCTTGCCTATTTCTTTATTCTTATTTAATATGTAAACTCCTTTTTTACATAAAACGTTTTACACTTTTTGGCTTTACACTGAAAGGTGGACGGGGAATGGTCAAGACAAATACCTTTAAATGATAATGATATTAGGATATTGATATTATTGACTCCAAAGTAAACCATTGTTCAATATTAACCTTAGTTTCTGCAACAAATGTGTGTGCCCTGACAACATCCAAAGTGGTGACACCAAGAATTCTAGGAAGAAATAAAAGAATAAAAACTTAATGAATGCATTGTAAAAATTATATGGCAAACTGCAATCCCCAGTGCCTCCTCGATCTATGTAATGTGGCTTTTTCCGTCTTTTTTATATCAGGATCATTCTCGCGGTTATATACACACAAAATACATGTAACAGTACATGATGAAAAGTAGCCCCAGAGTTCACAATAATTAAATTAATTCCCTCCCACTCCATCTTCCAGGCAAGCCTTGGTTGTTCTTACAATGGATACCACTGTATACCAGATAAATCACTACACAGTGGATAGGTAAATTAGGGAAACCAATATGGTGTTATGCACTGGATAGAATATTCACCATTATTTTGAACAACTGGGGCCAGAAGAAGGAGTAACTACAAGTAGTCAAATACAGTGTAGTTAAGAACTTGGACAAACAATATTAGAAACTGGCCATCACTACAGCACTGATATGCAACAAAAGAGGTGCTGAAGGTACCTGGCTGGATCAAAAACTCCTGCTTTCTTATATACTTCACAGGCAATTGGAACAGTAGAATTAACCTGCAAAAATGTTCAAAAAGGCACACATTAATTCAGATTGTTTACCCATGTTTATACCACTTCAGAACAGTTACTTATAAAAGCCTCGAAACCCTAATTCATGAATAAGACTATAAATTAATGTAGGGCTAGGAGACAAAAGAAAATTGATAATTGACCTATGTTCAAAAAACAAATTTGACATGAATTTAATATTAATTTTGACCTACAACATAATACTTACAGGATTAGAGATGATACAAATTATGGCTTTTGGGCAAAACCTAAAAGAAAAAAGAGCATCAAAATAAATCTGGCAACCTGCTCACTAAGACTAAAATCTTACAATGAAAAAAAAATCCAGACTGAAGGAAATAATAAATTAGGAAATTCTTACTGCGCACAAGCTTCGGTGAGGGTCTGTACAATAGAGGCATTAGTATTAAACAGATCATCCCGGGTCATTCCTGATGAAGCAACAGCCACAAACAAAAGTGGATCATTAAAAACAGCAAAAATCAGAAATTCATAATATTATTTTACTCAGCTACAATATTTTACCTATATGCTGCAATTTTTTCAAGTTAAGATATTTAAGGGTGGGGACTGTCTATTAGAAACATTACCTACCTTCAGTAGAAACAAGGCATATTGACAAGAAAATGTCAAATCCCTCACAATGTTTCCCATTTTTTCTCTTACTTTGAAACTTAGTGACAGCCTTTGCTGCTTCCTTCATAAAAAATGGGTTTCAAAGTAAGAACAGCCAGGTTTTTTATATATGTACTAACTTCAAGCAGTTATCATACCTTACAATATAGTATGACAACCATTTGCTGCAACAATTCAGCTGCCAGATCATAATATTTTAGCCATTTTAACCTTGCTAATATTTTTTTTCAATATTATCAGGACTATCTATCCCAATCCTGACAGAACCAGATTAATTATTGAGGTTTAACTGTACCTGGCTTTCTTGGAACACCAGCAGGTATAACAACAGCAGCACAGCCTTCTAGAGCCCCTTTAAGATCATCAGGTCCTTGGTGGCTTGTTACCTAATATATTCAAACAAAATAAGTAAACTCCAAATCCTGAACCAAACTTGGTCCTGTCTAGGGAATCGAACCAGCGACCTCCCGTTCCACAATCAAGTGCTCTACCGACTGACCTAATTCTGCTGCAGTACTTAGTGTACTCACTTAATACTTACTTTCGCAGGTGTACAGATGTGGCTAATGTCAGCTACAACACCTACAATGAATAAAACAAAACCACATGTCAATTAAATATTAATGTAAAGAGAGGAAATGTCACTATATGTTGCTATCCAACATCTCAAGCTTCAGAAATTGCTTGCATTTTGAATCCTCTCACCCACAACTAGAAAGTAGAACTCTCACCCAGGGCTTGAAAAAAAAAACCTAAATCCAACACTTCCTTTGAGCGTGCAGCTCTTGCATTTTCCTTGCCTGGGGGAACTACTCGCTTGTTTTAGTTAATGATTTAGTTAGAGGATGACTTGCCTGAACCCTCGCCCATTAGGGAAGTGAGCTTCAGTTGATATTATCTTTCCACGCAAGAAAATCTTCTCATACTCAGGGGCAGATCTAAGGGTAAGTTGCAGGGGGAGCACCTCCCCCCCGCCCTCTGAGAAGACCTGTAGGTTTCTATTACAACTGGTATTCTGTATTAAAATTTGTTTACATCACCAGTCAGTTATGCTATTCCTTAAGTGGTGCAACCCCCTCTAAGAAAAATTCTGGATCTGCACCTGTACTGGACTACTGGAAGGGACTTTTTTCAAGCCCTGTCATCTGCATCCCCTGAACCCCTCTTAATACCATGGCTAACGATGACAATTTCGGTAAGATCAATTCTAGGCAGACACCACTTCAAAAGCATTCAAATTCTGACATTTCATGTGCTGGCGTTTCTTTGTCATCATTATAGTGGGTTTCGCTTATTAAGGTAAAGTCAAAAATCACCAACTATCCATCATGGTTGAGCTTAAACTGCTTTTTGTGTACAAACAAAATCACCAAGGAATAAAATTGCTGCTTCTCTTCCCTCCTTCCTTCACTAGGCGCAAGTTCATAGTGAGGTTATAGTACAGATGTAAGCCACTATGAAATAATTTATCCATTCTTAGAGATCCAGGAGCAGCTACCGTAACTGGCATAAAAATGTATGGGTAACATTGAAAAAAATTACAGTTGAAAACAAAAAGAAAACAAATTCCTGGTCAATAAAAAGTAAGGAATTCAGATGATTCTGGAACCATATCAGTGAGAGTAAGTAGCCAGGGGCTTTATTACTCTTCTAGTAAATTTGCCCTCAATGATCAGGATACTACCTATAGTTTGAATAACTTTTGCAGTAACAGCAATGAATTGAGAAATGATGTAACCAACATGTCACAGCCACGGGACAAAGAAAAAAATCTGAATCTCCAACAGGAATTGAACCTATGACCTTCCCTACGCTGGTCACACACTGTAGCCACTGAGCTACCAAGGACTCATGGTATCTGCAATGAATTGGTTGTTAAAACATTGGAAAGGAGACCAACAGCTGACGCTGCTTCAAAAAACGTAGTCTCTATCAGCTGTTGCCTGTGAGTACAGCTGTCTCTCCTTACTCCTCAAGGGATGGACATTCTGAGAGAGAGATATCTGCAATTTGGACCCAAAAAAGTTCCATACTGATGACATGATTCAATGTGTACATAATACATCTGGTAGTCATGAGGTTACAAAATTAATGTAAAAATTTGTTCTAATATATTTTTCTCCCAGTATATCATCATAAAGTTTTGAGTTCTTCGGTGAATGAGCAGGAGCAAAACTCAAACGCTTCTTGTAAAAAAGAATGACTGTTTTAAGTAGAATCATGGCTTTTATATTTGATCTTTGTGACCTTCTGTCTTTTGTCTGCATTCATAAACAATAGCTAAAAGATGAAAATTACTATGTTGACCAATCAGTACTTGATGACCAGATTGCGGACAAATCTATGCCATCAGTATGGAATTTTGGGGGCCAAAAAAGTCAGTATGGAATTTTCTGCTGGGGCTGAATGCCAGGGACTCCCACTTCCTTTGCCTAAGGTAAAAGTTTTGGGAATCAAAAAAGTTGCAGACTGGCTGTATTCACTTGAGGATTTAATCCCAAATTTGCTGTTTAGTCAGGTGGAAACCTGTTGCTTTGATTCAAGGATAGTGCCCCGCTAAATCACATTCCCCATTGGGATTGGACAGTTACTTCATAATTTGCCTGTGATCTCTTTTGGAGTGGGGACTTGGGCTCTGCTTGAAGATTTTACGACTCCCTTCAAACAGACCCCTTCTCCCAGCTCCAAACAGATCCTTTTGGAAAAAAATAATATTTTTTCCCAAGGTCTCAATTAAGTTTTCAAACAGTTCTGTCTCTGTATTCCCCATTATTCCAGTGCAAAAGACTTGAGATTTCGGCAAAAGCTGGTTTGAACTGCCTACCTGGGGTGTTGACGATATCGTACAAGGCCAAATGGCTGATGGCTGGTGACTCCTTCATTAACAATGACATAGGCTGACCAATTCCCCCAGCAGCACCAAGAACAGCAACTTTCTGTTGGTGCTGCAAAGAAATATACCAGAGGAAAGTCATTACACAACCTGCCTAAATATATAGACCAAGTGTGACCAACCGATACTAGGAATCTTCATCAGAACGAGAAATGATCCTTGTACATACCTGGGAAGCCACTGAAAAGTTTCTTAGTGCCTTGCTAGCTCCCCTTAAACAGAATGCTGACCTCGAAAACATGTTGAAAGTCACAAAATGAGTAGAAACCCTCGCTCATCCACTGTAATTTTTGGGGGTACAGCTCGATATCGAAGTGCAATTGTGCATGCCTTTGTTTCCAGTCCCTTGCACGGCCATAGCAGCCTAAGTACTAAGTATGAGGGAGGGGAGGGTGTTGGAAATTTTGTCGATTCTTTCCTACAGTTTTAACTTCGTTTCTTTTTTAAGTGGCTTAAAAAATGAGAGAACATATGAAAGTTGTATTGAGAGTAAAATAAAGTTACAGCGTTGCTGTCCAGAGTGATAAAGCATCTGTCTCAGGGTTAGACCTGATCGGCTATCCCATGATTCCTGATTCTCGTTTGTGCCTTTCTAGACATTCTAAAGCAAAAGCCCTGAGGAAGAGCTTGCGTTTTGAAAAACCACAAAAACTAATAAAAACATTTTTAAAAAACGATCAATGAAATTTTAAAATTAATAGATAAATTATTGCTAATCTATTTTAGAAAAATAAATAAGAATCGATCAGATTTCCATGAGGGCGCAATGGGGTTAACTGTCCGCCGTCGGAAAAGGTTATTTTTTATCCTCAACCGTCAAGAATGCGAAAAATATTAACCGTCAAATCACTGTCAAAAAGTTTCAAGGTATTCCAAATCTCACTATTTCAGCTGATCTTTACGGACATTTGGCTCCTGAAGAATCTCTAAACTGGAAAAACCAGTTCCCATGTTCTCAAAAACACTCTCTTTAGACATTACAAGACGTTACAACTTGCTTATATCTGAAAATATTTCGAAGTTTCATAAGTGAAAGGCCCAGACAACCTCAAAAACACAACAGTTAATATTAATACAGAAGTTGAAATTTTCTTACAAGTAAACTCGCGGACTAAATTTCCTCTTAATAACCATTAACCGTCAAAAGCTCTAAAATTTAACCGTCAACAAAGCCACTATCACATTGAGACGCTCTTTCATCCTCGTCGGCAAGTTTCTGAGGGCGGAACAGGAAACAAAAGGCCCAGTTCTCTCTTTTTTCATTTCCTTCCCGATCACGAGGAAAGAGTGAAGTGCTTAAATTAAATGAACAAAATAATATAGCCAGGGGATAGTCCACTACAAAAACGACGGGAGTGCTGGGCGTACTTTTTAGGGATTAAAATTTGTGTTCTGGTAGGAAACATGGGAAAAAACACTAAGGGAAAAAACCGCATTTTCCTTCCCTCTCATCCATGCACTTCTGACACCTCCTCCTCCTTCTCTACTTTCTGCTGAATAACGTCTTTTAAGTCCGCGAAAGTCGAGAAAAAAGATCCAGGGGCAGTCAAGGGTAGCGAGAAAAGACGCGACGAAAGTTTTGAAGCAAACTCACAGGCGCCACAATCGGGTACGTACGGGAGTGTATGAACGTATTTTTCGTTTCAATTCCAAATGAATATGAACGAAGCAGAAATATGCGAATTCGAGATGCATTTGAACAAACTTTTTGTTTGCGCTTTAATATAAGCCATGATAACATAATTTCTGCCTAAGGGCCAGGTCTGAAAACGGGTATGGATTTTAGAGGTCTGCGGTCTTGAAACGGGTGTGGAAAATAACAGTTTTTGGTCTGAAATAGCGTCAGGATTTGTAGAACCAAGCGGCACACCTCCACCCTCCCCGGGCGCCAGATACGCAGACTACATAACAGTCAAAACACCAAGTGGGGGAATTCCACACTCGTATAGATAAAAAAGACAAGCCTTTTGATTTTACTTCGCGTGTCCTTTTGTTTTACTACTGACGATGGCAAAATTTTCTCTTTGACAGTAAAATTGAGAGATGGCGTTCGAATGGAATAAATATATTAATATTTACAGCAAATTGCCAATAAAATGCCATTTTTAAACTATATATACAGTTCACAGTTACGTTCAAAACTCAGTATTCTGGTTCACTAATGTCGGTGACAAGTGAACCGAACATCTTTTCTTCCCAGCACGACAACTGTTCGATAAATCCTCTTGTTGGCTGCATGTTTTCTCGGCATTTTTTCAAGTGGTTGTAGGCATCCTACAAAATAAAATACAAAACACAATGAATACGTTTGCTAAGAAGGAAGAACTTCCTATAACTTTCTTTAAGACGCCTTGACTTTTTCCCTGACCTTGAAAAAAGTTCTTTTGACCTTGAAAATATTCCAATTATTAGTTCTTTTCTGCTGCCCACCGCCCTTGCCAACATTTTGACCTAATTAGTTCGTATAATGATCCAAAAACGTATAATTCATCATCCAAACATTAATAATGATCCCAATTTTTATTGGTTTTTGTGCGTATTCTATGGTGTCAAGAAACGTACTCTGGGTTGGAAATAACTGAAATTACCTTCAACGAAACTTTTTTATTCCACATGTAATAAGCTATGGCAACAGTCACACTGCGACTTATTCCCAGTGAAGAACTCAGAAGAACTGTTCGGCCATCTTTTGTTTGGTGATCATCTACAGAAAAAAAGAAGACTTTGCATGCTTTTGCACACACAAAACAAGACTATAGCCTGAGAAAGGAGCCTACATTTTGCGATGCCACTTCTGGTTTGCCCGCCAAATTACAGCTGATGAACGAGCGCATAAATACCACACTGATGACGTATCACTACTTGGATCTGGGTAGCGCTTCTGATTGGTTGCAGCAAATCAATCAGAAGCACAAGGTATGTTAGATTTGGTAGCGACACTTCATTTCGCGGGAAAATCAGTGGTGACGTCATGAGATGTTGGTTTAGTTTTTAGACTATTCCCTGGGTGCCAGGTTTTCGTGCGCGGTTTCCGGTTTCGGTCAAGACTATACCCGCGGCTCGTCTCTTCGGCCTTTGGACGAAGATGTGTCTCTTCCGAAATACTTAAGATGGAATAACCCATATGGTACCCAGGGTTAGACTCACCCTGGCTCCAAAAATCCCTCTGAATACCCAAGATGGAAAGACCCATATGAAATGAAAAAGAAAAAAAAAACCCTCTGGTACCGTTCTAGCCTAACAACAAATGCCACTATCACACTAGTGAAAATATCGTTTCTTACCTATAAAATTAACAATGTCTGACAGGTGTGAAAAGAGATCCTCTTCACCATTATCATCAATTGGTACTCTTAGAATCTGCTTGACTCTTTTGTCCTCTCGACCAAGTGTTGTGCTTTCTGGAGCAAACCTATATTCACACAAGAAAATTTAACTACTGAATTCCGTACCCTTTGGCCTGCGAGCAAGCCTCTCCATTTAATTATCCCTTTCTTTTCCCGCCCCTCGCACTCCCATCTCCTTTCGCCTGCTGTTCTCGTGTGACTTCTTGCGACTCCCCCTCCAAATGGAGAGCTTGCTCACAGGGTATGTACCTTCAAAAAGCCACTGCATAAAATATTCTACAACTAAGAGCACAAATGGGAAAATTAGCTGCCTCGAAAGCGACTGTGTCTATTCCTATATTTTCTTTGAGGCTATTCCCTACATATGTCCCTATATTTCATATGTTGTAGTTAAAGGCCGTTCTTAGGTAAGACCAGTGATTCACCCTAGGTTACCAGGTTAAACTGGTAAATAGAATTAACTTAACACAGTATACATATACCTTCAATGCACTTGGTCTCAGTACCCAGTACTCGTTTAGTTACTATAAGCTGAAGTTGCTAGCCTGTGGACCACATCTTGACCGAGTGGATTATAAATTTATCCCCGGGGGTACGCGTAGGAAATCTTGCTAGGGGTGTGCCGCCCTGTTCTCCAAATCTTGACCCTATTCCTGGACCAAAAATGTCATTTTCCACACCCATATTCAGAAAACAAACAAGGGTCATAAACATGACATACACGCCAACAAAAAGATGTCTTAAAATCCGTTTGGAATTTGCATTAATTGCTCTTTTTTTCTCATTCATTTGGAATTGAAGTGACTACAGTAAATCCTCTATTAAGCACCCCCTCTCAAATAAGAACCCCACCTATAGATCAACCATGACATACACCTGGCTTCTTCTCCCTGCAAATAACAAGGAACAGAAAAAAGTGACTTACACTGTGTCATTCTCTTTTCCAACAATAACATTTGCCTTGACTTTAAGGTCCTTTATGATTCTTCTGTCTTGGGATTGTTGAAATGTTGCCACAAACAGGAAACCAGGAATTATCTCCAGTGGATAAGTACTGATCACATCCAACTCCTGTTATCAAGAAATTAGCTGATATGATACAGGTGAACATGCACATGTTAGTGTAATGAAAAGTCAACACTTGAAGGGCCCTGTTCAAAACAATTGCACAGTGGAATTTGGATATAATGAAGGAATAAGGGAATGACAAACAATGCTTGCTATTTGAAGGTTTCGATATATTATATCATAGGCATATTCAGGACCTGACATTAACAGCTGCTTGCTTGCCCGGGGCAACAAAAAAATTTATCAGGGCAACTGAGTTTTGGAGCCTTAAGTTGCCGGATTGGGCAACTGAAATTTCTGTGAAAGTTGTAGGTTAACATGAATAATCCAGAAACTTTCTATTGTGATCTAGCAAAGTTACCTTACAGGGAGAAAAACTCACAGCAAAACAGCCTTCCTTGAATAGAAAACTGCTTCAATTTGCTGAAAACAACTTTTATTCTCAAAGAAATATCAGCAGAATGAATTTGGTTTCCAATTAAAAAAAATAAAAAATAAAAAGCTTATTTCTACTTTTTGCAACTACTTTTGGCAACCTGCAACACCCAAATTTGTTGCAAGACAGGTTTGATTGATCATGGGTGCTAAAATGCGCAACATTGCCTTTCAACTCATTTTGCAGCAATGTTGTAAAACATGTTGCTCTTTTTTGACTGTTGCCCTTTTTACTGTACCCTTAGTTTATCAAGCAACAAGTTTAGTTTAGCCAATTTTACAATATAAACTATATAAAAAATAAAAAAAACTTTTGATATATATCGTGCATTGTTTAGATTAAAATTCTGTTTAATATTTTATCTTATCATATAAATTATTTGTTGATATTCATTGAATAACACACAACAAAAGTGATTAAAATAATGTACCCCAGTAGTAATGATTAGTCTAACCATTCTTTAGCTGCCATGGATGGCTTATTGTTTTGTTCAAGCATGAAAAGTGTCAGTTCGCTTAGTCTACATGGCTAGATAAGCCGTTATAGGAAAAATATTCCTGTTTTGCAGACATACCGTCATTTAATTTGTCTGTACCGAATATTTTGGGCAACTAGATTGTGAGGCTTTGATGCCCAAAGGGAAACCAACTTAAAATGCAAATGTCAACCCCTGATATTGTTCGTTATACCGAGGACTTTGTTATATGGACACTAATTAAATTGAGGTTCCACTGTATGTGATGTTGTTTTATCCCTAAGGAAAATGAGGGATAAGAATATTCTTAACATGTAACAGTTTTGAGGATGGCAAAACAAATAGAAGTTAGCGAAAACAGGCAAAAAGTGAAGGACGTCTATCCGCACGTGTTACGCATGACGCCATGTTTTTACGGCAACCTTCCAAACTCAGTGCGGATTTATTTTTTTATGATGAAACATAATTTCCCACCTTTATCAGAAAATAATCTTTGATATACCTCTGATTATCGAGGAAAGTCTCAAATGCATTCAATAATTGTGCGCCGAGATATTCAAATAATATATTTTATGCAGAGCGGTGCATTTTTCTTGTGATCATGACTACCATGCTACTGATCATTGTTACTGTCTAAAAAGTGTCATAAGTGATAAGAAGCATCTAAAGGTGGCTTTATATATCTAAGTTGTGAAGCTGTGAGTTGCTTCTCAGAGAACTGTTCAAATAACAGAATTATATAACATGTATCAAAAGTGGCCAGTTGAAAGATTTGGAAGTCTCTTGATGACTTACAACTTAAAAAATGTTCATATTTGCAAGCTTACCCTTGGCATGTAGATGATCTTTTGTGTGCGAAGAAATGGGTACAGTGCTGAAAATTCCTCATATCCACCTAAAACATTATTAAAAAGGTAAAACTTATTAAATAGCTGATGTTGTAGAAATTAAGGTCCTTATACTGTCCTTCACCCCATTTACAAGCAGTCTTTATATTATGGCTCCTGTAAGAGATTATAAATAAATTTCTTGCCTTTGATAACTTTTACAGAATTTTTGCTTCCCATATCCCACATCAGCTTGGCACATGAAAGAGCAGGGCTATCTGAAATATAATAATGAAATATTATTCTCAGGATATTTATAAACTGTTTGTGATTTGTGCGACTTTGAATTTCTTGATGGTGTTAAATATTATTATTATTGTTTCTAATATAAATTTAGTGAATAATGTCAAAGCATGACTTACTTTTGTCCTTCAGTGAACTTGTGTTACTGTCATAAATAACAACATGTTCCTTTGTTTCCAGCTCAGCATCATTTGGAACTGTAAAAGCACCAATGTCATTCTGAAAATAAACAAAACATAGCAACTTTAACATTGAATCACTGAAAACAGCTCAATAAAATTAATCTTACCCTTGGAGCAAATTTTGCAGTTATTACATGGCTTTCACTGTAGTCATGGTTTTCTCTTGTATCTGAAAAACATACAAGCAAGAAAATTGTTACAGAAATTCTTTATACTCACTTCTGCTGTTAAAAAAGATCTGAATAAAATGAGTCTGCTCAAGATGAAGAGTATACAAACTATCACACCACATAATGCATGGAAGATGTAGAATATTCCTGGTAAAAGCTGTCTCTTACAGGACAAAATTAATAACTCAGTAATTTTTGCTATTGCCATTTCATCCAACAAGATTTTAAATATACGTATATTTTCAATAGGTGGTTTTCACGTTACGTCATCGCCGCCATGCTGGTGGACGGTAAACAAAAGATCGCTCATTAGCTCGCTTTGTTTGTCCACCAGCATTTGTTCATTTCACCATTGTTATTTGTGTCTCCCGACATTGCATGAAAACCACCTATAGCTGCAGGAGTTGTGCAGTTTCCAAGCCTTTTGTTACACCATTAAGTATACGTTAATCATTAATAATATTATGATGACCCTTTTGTCTGGGTTAAGGACTAATCCCTTTTACATTACTTATGGTAAAAAATTAGTAATCATGAAAAAAATACATAACTTATTATTCTCTCCCCTTATGGGACTTTTTAGGGATAAGGAAGCAATTATAAATGTAACATAACAAGGTTAAAAATCCAAACTGGTAGGAGGCGAATTTAAGTTGGCTACTTTACAAGTGTGGCCAAGGATTTGAACTTGGGATTACCAAGAACAAATCCAGAAAGTGGTTAGGTCGGGCCTTGAACTCAGGGTGTCCAGTTTACAAGTCCAGTGCTCTAACCACTACGCCACCCTGCCTTCATTTGTCTGTGATGCATCTATTTCCTCTTCCCAATCCACTACACAGGCTTCTTACCTAAAAGGAGGAGATAATTAGGATCACTCAGCCTTGGATACTGGGAAGCCTGTACAAACAGAAATTAAATGAGTTGTTAGTAGAATAATAAAAAAAAACACAGCCCTGGAGAAGCATCAAAAAAGCCTCCTTGAAAGTGAGACAAATTGCTTCTTGTAAAAACTAATATTGTTTCTTGATAGGTCCCTTTAACCAGGGATTTCCCCAGCTACTACAAGCATGACCCCCGTCTATTTTCATAAAAAAAGCAAAAAAACAAACAAGCAAGTTCCCCGCCTACTAATTGCACTTTTAATACCCAGCTACTAGTAAACCTGATGACATGCAGCCCTGCTCTGGGGAGTTGTGATTTTGGGTTTATTGAAAATGTCAGGTTTTTTCCTTAGTTCACACTTGCTTAAAAAACTATATCTTAAGGGCAGAATTAATAAAGCTTACAGATCTATTATGTTATTCTGATACATTACACACTTCGTTTCTGCACTTGTGCTAGCTAGCACATACTCAAGCAGACAGCCAAACAAACCTGATTTAGAACGTTATAAACCTCTGTGCATTCACATAAAATAATTCCAGCTGAAGACATCTTGCTATTATTTTCAAAATATTTGTCACGAGATAACGTTTCAAGCTCGAAACCAGCAACGATGCATAAACTACTCAAAGTCGTCCATCACGACCGCCATGTTTGTTCTGGTTGCCATTGGTAAAGCTGCTGGGTTCAAATTTGCTGGCTCAACAAAAGGGATCTGCAAGACAACTTTTGTGTCTTACGCATGTCTTGTCTTGAGCTCTTGCGGGTAATGTATCCCCAATATTTAAAATATATTGTTCGTGTTTGTCGTTGTCAATACCCTACGCTGACAAAGAAATTCTAGGCTTCCATACAAAAGGGACCCTTAGATAAATATCGCTAAATTTTTAAATGTCTTCATTAGGCAGGCAAAGAGGTCTACTGATGATACACAAGACCAAGGTGGTTTCGCTGCACTGGTCGGCCGTGTTTTCGCCAGATGCAGTGCAACTCCATGGTAACAGGTTTACTGTCTCTACTCGATCTGGAGGATTTGTAGGCCTGTCATTATTTTTTTCGTCTCGCGGTACGCGCTCGTCTCGTTCTCCTCGCTTGGCTCATTCATGATTTGAATTTTATTTGTTCTATTTCATTTTGCTTGACATCAGATATATAATAGAGGGGGTGAAAGGAGTTTTTGCGTGATACGGGATTAAGAGTTTTTAATTTTCGTGAAAGGTGAAAATACGAAATTAAAATTCGTGAACTGTGAATGGTTTCCTTGTCGTCATACGTTGCCTGCGTGCAGACGTCTCCTATTTCCTTTGTTGCGTGACATAGGAGACGTCTGCACGCAGGCAACGTCATACGTGATCTTTAAAATCTTTTATCCGATATTCGTGATTTTAAACTATTTTTTTCGTGAAAATAGATGGCAAGTTGCAACTGAAGAAAAATTTTACACTGAAGCCAGTGGACCTTCAAATAAACTTGTTTAAAAGGTCCTAAAGGATTTTAAGTCAAGTTCGTGAGAGGAGACGCCTTTTCAACTTTGGGAATAACTAAAAATTGGGCACTTTAATATTTCAATTTAATCCCCTCGTTCACAAGTAAATGACTGACAAATTGAACATAACAGATATTGGAAATTAGTTTGTTTCAGCATCAAATGACAGGCAAAATCGCTTGAAAATTGAAAGCTGAGTCCGAAAAGCGTGATCAACTGAGGATTCCCGATTAAAATAAAACTCTGTTAGGAAAGTCCGCAGAAGGGAGCTTAGAGTATGCGATAAACAACGACGACAATATAGATGAATGAATTTTCGAAAATAGCCTTGAAACGTGAACGCGAACACGGATTTTTATTCACCGTGATGCGTTATTTTTACTTTTTAAATTCTGTGATACGTGCGTAGGACCCCCTTTTTACCCCCCCCCCCCCCCCCCTCATAATACCTTATACTACCTGTAAAAGAGATCGAACTGCATAGGATCTGCTAGGGATTGGCTCCTGATCTCATTTCTGAGACTGCTGTTTTTTGTTATGAGAATTTTTACTTTTAGTTTCACAGTAGAATTTTTACTGTTAAAAATTTAGATTTTCCAAAAAATTGGACTCTTCGTTTTGCTCTCTAAGAGTGTGCTTATTTGAGCATTAGCCATGAACTTTGAACTTGACCTTGCTATCATCAATAATTTTAGACATCTTTTTCTAATAATGCGTGACAGCGACTACGTAAATATTTGTCTAAAAAAACACCCACGTTCAATTTCTTAATATCCTCTTTCCCTTCGGACCTACTCGTCACGTTAATGTTGCATTGGACTTGTACTGTTTCTGCGTTGTTTGAAAACTAGGAAAGCATTGCCTGTACTCTCATTGGAGGAAAAGTTGTGATACATTTCTCTACAAACTCAGGAAAAGATTGCCAAGATAATACCAAGATCGTTTTCACCATGAAGTGTTGCTGCCTAAAAGGAAAAGCTAACGAACAAACAAATTCAGCAAGTGAGTCAAAAGGTCCCTATTTATTTGAAATATAATTTGACTTATTAGTGTGTGTTTTCAGAATTTTCTTTCAACAATAACAAAGACCTACCTGTTAAAAATTGCAACTAACACGTTTAATTATAAAAAATAACATGGAATGAAATGTGTTGCCAGCGATGATAGCCGAATCACCCACTTGGTGAGTGCATCATCACGAGAAAACATTTATTAAGTGCCTCGTTATTTGTTGTTGTCCTTAAGTCACTCCAAATTCTACCTAAATAGAAATCGAGATGTTAATATAAATTTTCTTGTTTGTTATTCCGCGTTCGCTACGCTATACACGGCTCAACAATGCAAGCTCTTCACTTCTATGGAATGCCAAATATTGCCGACCACCTGATTTGGTCGATGTCTGCATCAGTTTAATCACGAGTCGTAAACACTCCTGTTTTTGAGAAAAAGCTTCAAGAAAGTTTCCAAATCCGAAGTGTAAATGCACAAAACGGTTTGAAGATGTCGATCAGAAATGATTATGTACGTGAATAATTCCCAAAATATAATGAGATGATACCAAAGGTCACATACAAGTCAGATATTCAAGCTTGATATTGTGCCAATGTAGAGCTAATAGCTTCTTTCTAATAAAAATGTAGAGTCACGCGTTCTTTAGCGAAGCGAGGAAATATGGCTTGAAAGGAAAAGAGAGGAATAACCTACTTTTTACTTTGGGAAAACCTAGGACGGGGGAATCGAAATGCAACTCAACTCGAGGTTTGCGGTCAGCACAAAATTTCTTTACTTTCAGTAAGTTTTTCAGTTTTAGTCGATCTCCAGCTGGCGAAACGTACGGACCTTTGACTGAAATAAACATTTTGTTTTGTACCGTCATTATCAATCGGCGAAAACAGCCATCCCTCCTCGAAAAGAAAACGTTCCTTCCCAGTCCTCCGCCCCATTACTCTCCCCGTAGACGTCCTTTGGGGTTTGAATACGTGACGAACGAACCCTAAAGGACGTCTGTGGGGAGGCTACCGCTCGATCAGTACGGCCGGGTCCCAAAACATGTAATTGGAAGACTTGTGTAGCTGCGTAGTCCAATGCGCGAGTGGCGGTCCCCACTAGCACTGCACACGGCGCAGATGATGATGGAAGAGGGGAAAGAAGAACTGTTTTTGCGGCGAGCGCGCCGCTCTTCAGCTCTCTGGTGGCGTCTCACGTCTGTTTTCTCGATTCCTTCTTTCCAATTCACTCTCCGTCTACAGCACGATCACTCGCAGTATCGTCCCAGTTCTTTGGATCAATTTCGCATGCTTTGAGGTCAGGAAGCGTCCATGAACCATACGGGGGGGGGGGCGAAAACATGACATCACCTCAGTATAGTTGTTGTTGTTATTGTAAAACATAGTAGACAAAAAATCTTTTAAGTTTTCTCTGTCAAATCTCTAATGTGGCAGGTACGCCCTGTGGCCTTAACTAGCTTAATTCGGAAGTTAAAAGAACCTATGAATTTTACTGAGCCGAAGGGAACGGTGTATTTTCGTTGTAAAATTTCTGGCCAGCTTACAGGCTCAAGTCAATACCAGAGGGTTATGAAACGTGGGGGGGGGGGGGGAGCCAGGGGCTCATCTTCCACTCAGCCATACGCATACCCCGACTCGAAATGCTCTTAATTGTTTGTTGGCACAAGCAAACCTCTTTGCAATCTTCACAGTGTTAATGTCGGTAATCCATTTGTGACAGCGCATCAGGTTGCAGTTGTTAAGGAGGTCCTGTTTCATGATGCTTCTTAAATAAGTAGTTTTTGAGTCGACTGAGTGCGGAAAATGGGCGCTCTGAAGTCGCCGATGTCACAGGTAATGTCAGATACATCCGTAAAAGTGTTTTTCGGTACCAAAAGGCAAATTTTTGTTTGAGGGGGCTACGGACCCCTACCCCCCTGCCCCCCTGCTCCGCCGCTAATGTAACATAACGTCAGAATCGTATCACGGGGCTCCCATGGCATAGCAAAGAGGTTTGGATTATGAATTAAAACTCCCTTTTAAACGACAAATTTACGCGGGGCAGGGTGATGCCAAAAATTACCTGGTGCTGTAAGTCCTCTAAGAAAGATGTCAGACTTATCAGCGTACGTGCAACAAGTCAAAATACTGACCCAACTGTCAAACAATGTTCATACTTAAAAAGGAATTTGTTGCTTGACTGACATGACGCGCTTATCTATGCTGATTTAATAAAGTCGAGCCTAAAAAGGGACAAATTTTACCGCCAAGATTTGATTGAGGTGTGCCCTCGTTGAGTTAATGAGCGATAAATTAGTTAGACCTACGCTCATGCTGCGGATGAGATTGTCAAAAAAATACATATGTGCGAGTGATGTAGGATTTAGGCGCACTTTTCAGCCTGTCATTTATAGAGGTATGTCTGTTTTCGGCATTTGCCGCTTTTTTAAAAATTCACAATCCCCAGAAGCTTTACAGTCTCTTAGCTCCAGAAGTTACAGGTCTAGAATATGATTAACCTAGGCTGTGGAGTACAGAAAGCATTGTTGTGACTCTATAGTCTGCTCTGTTGTTTGATACTCTAGGCTTGAAGAACTGAAACAGACTGTGTTGTTTTCAGCTTAAGAGTATTTCATCCATATAACATATAAATCATCACCCTGTAAAAGATTTTCTTTATTATTAAATGGGAGAAGAATTCATGTTAATCAGTGGGAATTAATCAAATTCATCAAACTGAAGAGTCAGACGAGTACAAGACTGAGCCATTCGACGCGCGAAAAAATGAAAAAGTGAGTTGTTATGTGTAATGCACTCGTTACACACATTTTAAAAGTTTAATTTTTTAATGATTTATATTCATTTTTTAGCGAAATGATTCCGCAATAATGCGTAGTGCTTAGACATAAATCATTAAATGGCGCTTCAGTCTGGGGAATAACCTGTTTTGTTTCCAGGGCTATTCCTGCGTGGAATCCGAGTGGACGGGATAGGGAAAAGCCCTGGTAAAGAGTTTGGTGAGATCCTCATTTGAACGAAAGAAATTTGCATAGAATAGATTAAAACCGATCAAAACAGACCACCAAATGCAAACAACTCCACAAATTTGAAAACCCTTCCTTAAAGTGAGTAAGCGCGTTCGGTTTGATTGAAATAATATAATCGATCTAACTGGGGTTTCTTTCTTGAAATGTCTGCTTTTTCAGAAGAAAAATTTACACCCTTAAGAGATATGTCTACCAGGAAAAGCAGTTCTCCTGAGTTTGAAATGCGATTGCTTCATCGCCTCGAAGGACACGGCGGAGCAGTCAGGTATTGTACAGTTGATCCAGGAGGGAAAATTCTTGCGACATGTTCAACCGACGGAAAAATCAATCTTTGGTCGATAGCGACAGGAGAAAATATAAGAACTCTGAAAGACGGGCATTCTGCTGAAGTGACATCTTGTTCCTTCTGTTCGTTTGGATCGATTTTAGCATCATCTTCCCGCGATAAGAAAGTCATTTTGTGGAACTACCAGACTGGAAAACGAGCTTCTCGTTTAGGTAGGTTTATGACCTTGTATATTGAATTTTTGTTAATGAGGTAAAATGAAAAAAGATGGGAAAATTATGGCATTTTCTTCAAACATAACTTAGTCTGAATCCAGACATAAAGAAAGATAAGGATTATCATGGTTAATAGTTTTCACACGCTGTCGGTCAGCTTTATTTTTTGGTCAACTTTTTTCCCGGTAAATACAGAATCAAGGCTGTAGCGCTAAAAACAAGCCTCGATTTTTGAATTATAAGAAATCATGTTGAGTTTACTATTCAGGCTAATATATTATGTTGTTCTGTACTTATTGAACAATGTTCTAGTAAAAATACTAGAATTTCTGCTCTTTGGAGGCTAACACATAGTCATAAACACAACTTTGTTGGAAGAAAAAAATCCGCCAACGCTTAATTTTACGATACATTCGAGATCGATAGTTTCCCTTTATAGCTTTATTGTTGAGTACATTTTTATTCATCAACTTTCCTATGTAGTCCGAGCTGTATTTTTAAAGTTTCGAATTCCCGATGTGAATTAAGTTTTTTTTCAAATTGCAATTGTGCTTTTTCGAATGTTCATTTTTCTATATACGAGGGTATTACAAAGAATTTACCTGGTGCATCGCGCGACAGAATTTCATTTGCCTGAAGTAATACAAATATTGAATGATTCCTTTGTTACTTATATTTAAGAAGAAAGCATTTGTCAAACACGATGCACCTGTTTCGTTATAAATATTAATGTCCTGAAGGCAAACCTGGATGCGTTACAAATTTGCATTTCTTTTCTGTCAACTCATGAAAAGATTTACTTTCTTTTGTGGTTAAAACTGTTGCAAGACCTTTATGCCTAAAGATCCTTCAAAAACGTTGAATACTTTACTCGATCGATCGCTTATTTGTAAACACAATCATTTGTCATCACGCCGTTATCAGTTTTTTTTTTCAAGAAGAATAAAATGAATAAAACCCTTTCCGCCACTTTGAGTTAATAGAAATTCACTCCGAGATTTAGCTACTGAGATTTAGATTATAAATTACAATCATACAAAAAAATATATTTGATTTGATTGAAATGAAATATGAAATAGCGGAAAGGGATATGACAATATCATTTCGAGGTTTTTTTTATTTGGGGTTCATGTCCGGCCCTTGGTAAAAAAAGTAAAAAAAGAAAATCCAGGCTCACGAAGGTAATTCATTAGCGTTAACTCAGATTACATATGACGCAATCATTAAGCCCATTTACAACAGCAAGTTTTTCTTTTAAAGGGTCGTTGTTAAGGTGACCTAAAAGCTTATAACACTGACACAGTCACAGTAATATGATAATTACCAGACTCTTAATTCTTGGGTTGGTTATTCCCAACAATTAAGATTCGTAAACGCTGAAATGATCTATTTTGCAGTACGTTTCTTCTTAGTTACAAAAGAAACCAATTTTGATAGGCGCTTGAAAACATGTCTCTTTTTTTTAAAGTCAGTTTGGAAACTTTTTACGTAAAGAGTGAACCTACTCCCCTACCACTATCGATTGTAGGGAAACCCGGCGCCCAACGCGAGTCAAAAATTGATTTAGGGTGCATTTCTACGTGTGTAAATAAAATAGAGGCAATGTATGAAAGGCTTCGTGTAAACGTAAAAGTTGAGCGAGGTTTAACTTCTACTTTTACGATATTTTATTACGCGTGTTAAATTTATCTGCGTGCGCACGGGAAAATTACGGACTGTGGTTTTTATTGATTGACAAAAATGTCATCTTTTATTAGTTGTCAGGCCCTCTTCTCATGCCGAAGGTTTCCGAGATTTTCCCTTTATTATCGCTGTTTCCATCCCAGTTTGTCGCCGCGTTAGCTCTATGTATTTTGGCAACTCGCGATCGCTCGCACAAAAACAACGGGTTGAAACCAACGGCGATTTACAGCGATGAATATAAATAAAATGCGTTGTGGTGGAGAAGAATGTATTAATCCTTTCTTCTTCAATACTCCCTGAATGCTTCGCCTCTTCCTCTAACTCTTCTACTAAATTCTCTGCACGTACAATGAACCATCTTCGATCGTCCTGAATACGTTCTCTTAAGCTTCCTTTTCTTTTGTCACATAATTTGATTTTCAGAGCTCCATTCCGATGCCGTCCTTTTCTGCGCTTTCTCCAAAGATGGGAAATTTCTCGCGTCTGCCTCACGTGATAAAACCGCTCGTCTTTACAAGATACGCTCGGAGGTGGGAGAATTTGTCCCTGGAGCGGACGTTAGGCAGCTCTCCGGCCATACCGCTGCGGTGAATGTGGTTAAGTTTTCATTGGACGGTGCCATAGCTTTGACAGGCTCAGACGACAGAACGATTCGTGCTTGGAGAAAGGAAAACGATTGGGCTTGCGTTTGTACATTGACCGACTTTTACGGACCCGTAAAAAGAATTATATTTTCGCCGGTGAAGGACCCTGTGTTTGTAACTCTGGCTGGCTACAGAGCTACCCTTTGGACCATGCATGGCAATAACTTTACGCCCAACTGCAGCGTTGATGTGAGAGGCAGTGACAAACAAATTAAGGTTAGGATAATCACTTTAGTGCGAATGGACACCCTTTTTTCCTAGACACATATATCTGGCCGGATTTTTTAACAAGTTACCACCAAATAGACCTCTTTTAATTTCCGTCAAACAGTTTTATCGGCCAAAAATCATCTCTGAGGTAGCCATTATAAAACCGAAGAGTAAACCCTTGCTCTTTTCTCTTCTCCTCCTTTCTTCCTCCTCGCTATTTCTACGGTAAAAAGAGCAACAAAAACATGCAACTTGTTTTGCAACATTGCCGCACAACGAGTTGAAAAGCAATGTAGCGCGTTTTACTTCACACGTTCAAACCTGTCTTGCAACAAACAAGGTTGCTGTTGCAAGCTGACTCCTGATTGAATAAAATTACGCGGGAATGACGCCATACACTGGATTTACGTCACTTGCTGCAAAATACGTTTTCCTTGGGCCGGTAAACCTCGCAACATGATTACAAATTACAGATTTTCTTGCAAAAAGTATCATTTCTCTCTACTTTCTGCGACAACTTTTCGCAAACTGTACAACCTGATTTGTTGGAAGACAGTTTGTTTCGTGGGTGGTAAAACGCGGAACATCACTCTTCAACTCAGTTTGCAACAAGTTGCCCGTTTTTGATGTCCGTTTTATCGTACCTTTATCTCCTGGTTTCTATATTCATCATCACTAGAAGAGAACTTTTATGTTCTCTCGTCATGATAGAGAGGGCAGTAGAGGCTCGACTATATTTTGTCTTTTAACCTTTTTCAAAATATCATCTGGAAATTTTGTCGAATGTTGTCTTTGGCCACTTCTGGGAGTAAAAGGGTTAACATATACAGTTAAGCTCCATTACTTTAGGATTTCATCCAGAACTTTGAAGATTTGATGGATACATCTAAAACAGAGTAATACTGATGGAATTGTTCGCGCAGTAACTTTCATTTCTATATGAAACTTGAGGATTTCTCCCAAACACTCCAAAGTCACAAACATGTTTTAACACGTTTTGAGAGAGAATTTTGAAGAACAATACCTTGTGTATAACTGGAGGATTTTTTTCCTCACTTAGGATATTACTTTCATCCCGGATGGGAGGTACGTTGTAGGAGTGGCTGTGGACGGAACTGTCAACATATGGGACTCTGCTGTGGAAGAAAAAGGAGCTTGTACAACCTGGAAATGTTTATCACACAATCTAAGTCAAGCGGGAATGAAGGAAGGTGGCCGGTGAGTGTGAAGTCTGATGCACTTTGCTCGAGATTTTTTGTTTAAAACTTTTAACTCTTTGCAGTGAGGGTTTTAGTCTCCCACGCAAAAGTTCTTTTGGCTCGTCACCCAATCCTCCCCAACGAAAATAAAAAGTAGATTTGGGGAAGGAAAGCGTGATGAAGCCCTAAGAAGATCAGTTACAACATTTTAGCACATAATGATTAGTATAAATTCGTGCTCACCAGCTGGACTAAGTAATAACCAACGTACACCAAGTAATAACCAACGTCTCCACGCACGGGAGGCTATGGGACCTTCACGTACGTACCGCAAATCCTCTATTAAGTCCCGGGGGCTTATTTATTTCAAACACATTTAACGGGGCGGGGGGGTAGTTAATAGAGACGGGAGGCTTATTTGAGAGGGGGGCTTATTTAATTTAGCAAAGACGATGGTAGTTCACCATAAAGAACTAAGGATGCAAAGTGGAAAAGCTCAAGTCACAAGCAAATCAAAACTTCCAGCTGGTGAATAAACCATTTTCAGTCCACACGAAGTTTTACAGTCGTGATTGATGAATACAATCTATCATATTAGTGACTAATAATAATTCGCATGGTGAGGAGCTAAAAAATCAAACGCCGTTGAAGTTTCTCCACCGATCAGATCGGAAACCAAAACCACATCATTTTCCCGCGCTTGGTACCCGAAACATAGACTCGCGTCGAGATCTGATTGGTTTATTCGCCACTTCAGAAACGAGAAAGAAACTGGAGGCGAAGTATGCCCCGCACTTAATTCTGGGATCGTTGCTGGAGACGTGTCGGTCGGCTATTGGCCAATATGTTCCCTTTCCCTAGCAACAGTCCCAGAAGTCTTTGCGAAAGTTTACTCGAGCTAATTTCCTTCTCGGATTCGATTGATAACGCGTGTTTGTCATCACTAGTCATTAGACATCATGCTGAAGTGAGTGCTCTAATATTTTCCTTTATTGTTTTTCCGTAGGGCAAACAAACACGAGGAGGCAATCGAGCAGACTTGCTGTATATTCGCACGAAGGCATTTTATTTCAGCTGATTCCAGTGGTTTCACGCATATTTGGGAGATTGTTTAAGAAAATATCTAACGTTTCACGGATTTTTCACGACAACGTCTGTGAACTCTTTACTGACATCGAACATCTCGAAACTCTAGTCTTTCGAGCATGCAAGGATTTCTAAATGTTACTGCACTTCCAGACTGTAATGAACATTCTTTTTCAGTAACGTAATTTTGTGGAAATTTTAACGCTGTTGCTAGTACAGGGAAAAGTGGAATCAGCAACACGTCTGATACGAAGAAACGTGGCCGATAAACGAAGTTGCCTTATCACCAAGCGTGATTACAGTAGATACTTTCATGATCAGTTTCATTTTGTCAAAATTTGGTGAACCTTTGACTTTAGTGACAGGCTTTTGGGCCATGAAGAATACTTTCAATCAGCGGGTTACAAAGCCCTTGCATTTTCTGTGGTACCCCGGGCATCCCGTTTAAGGATTGTTTTAGCCTGCGAGCAAGCTCTCCAATTACGGTGAGCGAAGCGAGACGCGAGAGAACGCGCGCATTCTTTCTTCGCCCCTCGCGCTCGCGTCTCCTATAGCGTGCGGCTCTCGCGTGACTTCCCGTGACTCCCCCAAATGGAGAGCTTGCTCTAAGGCTAGGATTGTCTTATTGCGTCGTTAATTGATAGCCTAAAGGGGTGGTCCACGGTAGAGATAAAGTACGTACAATCGAAGTATCTTCGTGTTTTTGTTGACTCTCTTTAGAAGTCTTTGTTTATCTGTCGAAAATAAATCCAGCCTTTCGATAGTCAAAGCGGTTTTGGCAGGGAGTTTAAAGCAGCTATGTTTTTGAGCGACGCACGGCATGCCACTTATGTTAGCATGAATTGGACGTTCTTCATCTAATATCTATTCTTTAACGCATCAGGTTTAAGTTAAACTCGCACTGTATTATGGGTGTGATGCTTACGAAAAATGGCAGCTCTTCACCCCACCCCCTAAAGGGCGGCAAGGCGAGAACACGTTGGGGCTAGGGCGAAGGAACGGATGACATTTCAGACCAGAGAAATGGCTAAATTGATTTATTACTAGCTTCAACAGGAGTTAGCCAACTACTTCCAGCTTACAGGAGCTAAGAAAGGCTTTGATTCGCTTTATGATTAATTATAAGTGTATAAACTTAATATTGAAGAAGAGACAAATTAAAAAAGATTTTAATTTTTATTATTGTAAAATACGAAAGATGAATGAAATATACTCGAATAAAGTAAACGTGTTGATGATTAGCCTAGTGAATTTTTGTTTCCCCTAGGAACGACACTGAGTTTGACAGTTTGATATCGTTAGGCTTTTAAATCATGTCAGTCAAGCTCACGGCTCTTAATTTGCACATAATAGTTTTTATTGTTGCTAATAGAAGCCATAATGAAAGATTTTACAGCGTTTTCCAGTAAAACTGTAAAACTTAGAAGAGTAGGCTAGACGTTCTATTTTTTCTTTTTTTGGCATTCACTTTCCATATATTTCCATCCTAATTTTGGCCAAAAAAATTTCATGGCATTTTTAATTTTAGCGATGAAAAATGACATTTTGTCATGGCCAAATAATAACGATTTTCATTTAATTGGTTTTTGTAATGGATGAAAAGGTATGTGACATGTTTTTGAATTAGTCAATTAAGTGCACAGTTACTAGCAGTTCTAATTATTGTTTAGGTAACATTTGAATTATGTTCCACAATGGTACTTCGATTTCGCCACTCCTTTCCTAGGCTATGACCATGCACCTTCAAAAAATCTCTGCGACACAGGAGAAATATATGAAGTTGCAGTATAGCCACCAAACGGAACGACTTGATTTCCTTGAGCTCTTTGTAAGATAGCTAAACTACATGGACAGGCCCTGCGGATTATTAGTTTTGCCTCTCTCCTAATTTCTTTGATTCGCCAACAATACACCACTGGATTGAGAGATGAGTTCAACAAAGCGAGAACTGACGTGATGTCAAAGGCTAGGAGCTGGGGTGAACTACTGAAGCCTGACGCGGTGGCAGCAGCTAAGGCGCAGAGGAAAGGCAGATACGTACCCCAAAATATGCAGAATACAATGAACATGGTCTTTAGTGATTTTCCGTAATGGGAAATTCTAAACGAAGATCGACTGTCCATTTGGAGTTTCTGTTTACGAAGTTTGACGTATGTCTTAAAATAGAAGAAAAGAGACAACAAAAGACAAATCACCAACATCATGTTGGCGCTTAGCCGTCGAAATGTGGCACTAAAGAATCGAGAAGCTGTTAAGGAGGCAGAGAAAAACCAACCTGTTATAATAAGAAGGTTCACTCGTTTGAAAGACACAGTCGAACGGTACCTTGTTAGAAGACTCAAAGCAAGATATCTGTCTAGAGCCACCACCATTTGTGTCCAGAAAGACGCAAGACCCAGAAAGGTAGTAAACAAAGTGTGAGGTAGTCCAACAGTGCAGTAGAGTCTGGCATTATTCCAAGCTACGGCGAAAGTGTAAGCAGCGTAGAGCGGTTGACTAACAAGACCGACGGCAAAGTCAGATAGAGCCAAGCTGAAGAAGAGAGCTTTGGATGAAAAATGGAGTAAAGAACAGCGGCGGAGGGCAAGTAGAATTATTGCGTTGCCCGTTACAGCTGAAATTGAACACAGTGTGTTTCCTATACCAATAAAAAAGTATAAAATGGATGGATTATGACGCGACAAAATAAAAAAAGAGATGTCGATGGAGCAAGAATTGTTGTCGTCGACTAGATGCTGTGAGCTGCTCATGGTATGGACTGATGTGATTATCAACTTGTCGTGGTGAGGCCAAGAATACTGTCATTGCTAAGTGTCTATACGGCATATATAGGACTGATTATTGACAATGATTGTTAGAAAAGGAAGTGCTTTCTTATGATGATAAAGCATTCTTATTAAGCAGTAAAGGAGCTGAATTGGCAAAGTGTTTTTAAGAATTTTACGTAAATTCATTGGCGAAAAACAAGACGATTGTGAGGCCTTGCTTTCAAACAAGTGACAGAGTAAAGTGGAAAAAAATTAAGAGCCAATACAGACTCTGTATTAATTGCGATAATGTTGATTAACAAAAGAACAGCATAGAGAAAGGTGGTTAATTTCAAAATGTATGACGTAATTTACATTTGGAACGAGATCCGCGTGGGTAGGAAGATTAATTAAAAGACAGTGCTTTTTGCCTGTAAGTTGACATTTCGATATGCCAGACTCCGCAAACTACCGATAATTTGGAGTAGAGTAATATTGGAGAGTTTTGTGTCAATCGAAGCAAAAGGACTTAGACAAGGAGGCTACTGGTTACAAGCCTCGAAGAGCTCCATGTTAAGCCCAAGCTCAAAATGCTAAGTAAGGGGGACGGAGAATTTTAAAATTAACAACTAAGTGTGAAATATTTTTAATTCAACATACAAAGCAGCGTATAGCCTTAGAGTGTTGCAGTGTGGATCAAAATACTTGTCACGTGACTTTTTGAAGCGCAAAACCTCAACCCGAGACCAGTCCAAACCCTAACTGTTGAACTAACTCACTTGGAGGTCAAAGCACCAATACTTATTTCACAATCCCAAGAAAGCCTCTTGGTTAGAGTCAAACTGGTCCTTACATTTCCAAATCGTTCCCAATACTCCTCTGAACGAATATGAAAGATTAACTCTTTTATCTTTTATGTCAAATCTCCCAGAATTCAATTAAGATTCAAGTTGGTTCGAAACAACGGTGATGTGCGGCGGTTAGTATTGAAAAAGAGCGTTGTGGTGGAGAAGAATAATTCAATACTTCTACTATATTCTCTGCACATACAAGGAACCATCTTCGATTCTGCTAATTACGCCGAGTCTCTGTGAAAAGCTTCCATTTCTAATATTTTTTGTCATTTACTTCGATTTCAGAGCTCCATTCGGTTCCCGTCCTTTTCTGCGCGTTCTCCAAAGATGGGAAATTTCTTGCGTCTGCGTCACGTGAAAAAACTACTCGTATATACAAGATACGCTCCGAGGTCAGAGATGTACCTGAGTTATTTAATTATATATAGCCCGCTAAGCAAGCGTTTTCGTGCGAGTTCGTCGAGAAAGTTGGGAGGAGAGCTAAAAATAATATAGCTTCACAGCTGCCAGGCTATATCATAAATCGCTCTAAATCATGTTAATTCCTTATGAGAGATGGCTTGACTTCAAATATCTAGCTTATTACTTCAACAGAAGGTAACATTACCAACCCGCCACTGCAGCTTACAGAGGCTTTGATTTATTTTATTCCATTATTACAGTCGAACCCCCATTAAGCGGCCAGTAATCATGCATTTCAAGAATATGATGAAGGAAAATACAGTCCGAGTTAAAAGGTGATGACCGATTGTGGACCACTAATGCTTCCCTAGTCGCGCGTTTGTTTCAAAATAAAGTGTTGTTTGTACTTAAGATTATGCTAATTTACAACAAACCTCTATTGAGCGGCCCGAGAGTGGCCGCTTAATTGGGGTTCAACTGTGTAAGTGAGCAACCTAAATATAAAAGAAGATTTTAATTTGCAAATTATATTATTGTAAAATACAGAAGATGAATAAAAATATTCTCGAATAAAGTAAAACTGTTGATGATCAGCCTGATCGAATTCTGGAATTTTGTTTTTGTTTTAGTTCGATGGTAAAAACGTTGAATTCAACTCTCCGGCTTCTCATTCGTCGCACAGGAGACCCCATAACCTAAAATCGCAAAACAAATCTTTATACAATTTTGTTCTGTTGCTGATTCTGTATAATTTCAAGAGTTTTATAACATTTATTTCCCATATCTGCCTCCAATATCATTTATCTTAAGCATTAAAATAATATTTGTAAGTCTACATATCAGCTTCTGTATTGTTATGTTGACTCATTTTCATTATTTTCGATACGAATACTTTTCCCTGCCTTGAACAGCGTTTCTTTGCTAATTTGCAGGGCAACTGTATTTAAGTTTAATATGTATGAATAAAAGTTTTTTTGTTTGTTATGTTCAGATGCTTTAAAAAAGCCATTTGAACTGACCAGCAGGAGCGATCTGCTTCAATTTATATTAGCATTCAAGTATATTTTTTCGATCTCAAAGCATAAAAGCCGAACTAATCTAATGTAGCAAAAAGGAACCCATTATTTTTCATGACCTCATAAAGGAACTGTCAAATTTAGATTATATTTTAGTAACTACAGGTTACAACGTTTCATCCTCTGCATTTGTATTCCTCTCTGCATATTTTCATCATTTATTCATTTTTTTATTTGTAATATATATTTTTAAACACACAAGACGATAAACATAGATGAAACATTTTGGCTCATAATCGCAGCTGCTGTTTATATATTCATATATAAGTGAAAAGTTGAATCCTGTCTCCGGATTTTCGTCTTGAAAATTTACACTATCACTAGCGCGGTCTTAGCAGAAATAAATAAAGTTCAGAGACTAATTTGCCACGAAAACCTTTTTAGAAGGAAAAAGATGGTTAAACATGATTAAACCCCCCACGCATTGCTCAGAAAAATAAGCGCTTTCTTGGGGAGTGTGAGAGTATTTTACCCGATAAATGCACAAGAAAAAGTGAATGTTGACCAACAACCATCGTCTAAATTATCGGTAGGAGAAAGAAGAAAAATATCGTTTTGCATTGTCATTTTGGATGTTTTTTCGATGCTTAAAAAATTTATGACTAAAAAACGTTTTTGACAGTGCTTTCCAATTTTACTCGGTTCCTTCATGGAACCGAGAAGAGCTTCTTAGCTGATACCTTTGCTAATACCATAAGATTTCTGAAACTTATTCAACACATATTCACCAAAAGCAAATGGTTTGTTTAGAGGTAAATTCGTGTCACTTTCAGCGGACGTGTCGTCGTTAATAGGCCTGATTTCACAATCGAGTCTTGGCTGAAAGAAGAATGGTGCTGAGATTCTATGCTTCGATGGCGAGTTCTTCACCCTGTGCATTGTGGCGCGAAACTTCCCTTTGGTCCAGGCCTCCACAACATCACCGATGTTGACAACTAATGTTCCTGAAACAAAATGATGAATGTGAAAGTAGGGCTTTTGTACTAGTTAAGTGAGTGGGATTTCCCTTTGATCTGTCGGGGAATTGGCTTAGACATATGACATAGATGATATATTTCAGTCATGACAAGCACGTCTAATAATTTTGTCCACTGATAGAGCTCCCTGTCTCTCACTGCTGGCTGTACTTGAGCGCTCTAATGTTTTAATAGCTAAATGCTCACATGGACTACAATAAAAACCCGCGACTAAGAACCTGCATTTTCTTAAGTTAGCCTAGATAGGTTCTTACATAAATTGTAACTAGCGCATATATTTAGGTTCTTAAATAGGTTCTTATTTTTGAAGGAAAAAGACCTTGTAGGTAACTAGAGCATTTAGCGATATTCAGCGTATTTCTTTTACATAAAATCTGCATATCAAATACATTGCAGTTGGACTAAGGCACGTTTGTCTTCAAAGAGGACCCTGAATGTTGACTTATCTTACTTGCCCAAGTGTACAGAATTTTTTAAAAGAGTTTAGAAAATAGGAACCTGTTTCAAATTTTAGGCTAGTCAAGTTCTTGTATAGAGGGGGTCTAACTGGCAAATTTTAGCCGGTTTTTTACTGTAGCACAAACCCCGGCCTCCCGATCGGTATGAGAAACCCTGGTGGGAAGAAGACAATAGGAAGTAACTCGAAAAACTCTGTCTAGCTCATCTCTGCTGTTGTAAGCGCGATAAGTCTCTTTCACAATGCGCTCGGCCTTAATTTTTGAAAATTTCAGTGTTTAATTTTGTAAAAGCATTACAAAGTATGCTTTAATTACCTGGAATGGGAGGAACATCGATCCACTTCCCACTCTCTGTCTCAATCTGGAGTCCTCCAACGTCATCCTGCATCAGCAGCGTCAACACGCCATAATCTGTGTGCGGTCCCACCCCCCAGGAGTCTAACACTGCAGGGACGGGTGGGTAGTGCCACAGGGCCAGAAGAGGAAAAGCGGGGTTGAAGATATCGTGAAAAAAATCTTCGCTCAGTTCCAGACTAAGTGCCAGACCTTTCATCACAGCGTGCCTAAGTAGAACGTAACGTTGAGAGGGTAAGCGTGGATCAACTTTTCAATAAATGATATTAGCGAGCTATGGTAACTACTCTCTCTCTCCACCGCACAGGCTCCCGCTGAGTATCCCACTGAAAATAGCAATAATAAAAAATAGCAAGCACGCGGGGGACGATGGGAAGAAAGAAGGGGCTAGAAAGGCCTCTCTTCCTCTCTTTCTCCTTCCCATCGTGCCCCCCGCGCTTTCTTTTTTACTTCTCCCCAGCCTTCCTACGACACAAAGAGGCCTCTGAGGAGGAGAGAGTAACTACTACTTAGTCGCTTCGACACGCTGAAGATCAATAACTCACATTTCACTTATATTAGTGAATATCACGTTAAATCGTCTGTACTGAAGTATTAATCCTTTGGATGAAACGTTTGATTTATTGAATCTATTAATAGCAAGGAGTTGGTCAGCACGTGAGAGGTCTGCTTGGTATGAAATTAGAAATTTATGCAACAAGCAAGGGTCCTCATCATCGTCGTCTCTATGTGATCCTTTATCTTTCTTGCAGAGAACAGATCAGAACAGAGTCAGAACAGAGTCGTCAATCCGCTCCAGCTTAGGCCCCGTTAATATCGACAAAAGTTGTCCAGGGTATTTGGATCACTCGCCTTCCCCAGCTACCCTCGGGGAACCAACATTTCATACATTTTCTTACAAAACGTGGCGAACCGTTTACATGAAAAACAAACGACTACGTTCACTCGGACGATCGTTCTCAACCTACTTATGAAATTAATCCTGGGTTCAAACATTTTACAAAGATTAAGTCACTTACCCCGCTACAGACATTCTCTCCATGTACGTTTCTACAAGGGCCTTGAATCCAGGCAACGCCTTCTCATCAGGAAATTGATTGGCTCCCATCATTGGACTGATAGCCGCTACATCTTGGTCATCAGTTGGTTCTGGACCGAAATAAATTCCTTCTTTGTTGTCGATTCTGTTTGCTGTCACTTCAGAGCCTTGAAAAAAATAATAATAAGTAAGAGTCCAGTGGTTGAAAGACGCCGGGAATTATCGCTTAATTAATTAGTAAATTTGTAAAATATCAGAATTCGCGCACTTTCACCATTTCACCCCTAGATCGGGTTATTCTAACTTTTGATCGTAAATCTATGGACGATATCCTGTGGTGTTACCAATCAAATAAAACCTGTTTGGTAGAACTTTTGCATTGTAACATATAGTCCTTAAGATTTTAGAAAACTATTTTTTTTTTTGACTTTGACCACTATCAGGAGTGAGGGGGTTTATCTGTTCTCGGATTTTATTCTCGTTCTCGGATTACTATCTTTTTCTTAAATATTTTTTTCCAGTTGAGAGAGTAGTTGGTTGCAAGGACCGTGACGAAAACTCATGAATTATCTAATATTCCTGTGACAGTATTCCTTGGCCAGTATAGGGGCCAACCCAGGACAAGTAAGTGACTGGGAGTACCTTGTAGGATATATCCGCGATATGCAGGGCTTTTCTTAAGGCTGATACTTGTTTTCACATCCTTTGGCAAGTTGAAGAAATTATTTGCGCATTTCAGAAGGTTTTCCATTAAACTCTTTTCGATTCCATGCCCCTTGATATAAAAACACGAGAGTCCTTGACACGCCATCTTGATTTGCGTGATGACATGGCCTATATCATCACACTCACCTGAAATAGATAGTAAATTGTTCTCGTAAGACACAAAGATGACGTTCGCGTTATGTACCCGCAAAAAACTGTCCACGTACAACACAATTATTCAGTTTGCACGCAGATGGTGTTTCTATCCCTTGCTTCTGTGCGTCAGCTAGCGGATCAGCTCATATTCGTATAATGCGCGGGTTCTGTATTTGTTTAACTCACTCTGTAACCTTTTTTCGCAGTATTTTAGTCAGAAAACAAAATGCATTTTTGCGTTTAGGTCGCCGAATACTTGATCGGATGGTCTTTCAGTTTAGAATACTTTCCTTTGCGCGAAAAGTACTGTAAACGCTATGGCGGTCTATTGAGTAACAACTTGGCAAATTGGGCTAGAATACCGACTTGGGGCCTAAATACTCCCTTTCAATCAAATAATAAAAGATCATGAATTAGCTTGGAACTAATAATGACAGCCATCACTCGTAATAAATCGCTGTTTTTCTCCGTTCTCTTCAATTGACCAGACTGCTTCTCTAGTCTTGTTTCGATTCTTGTGGAAAAAGTTCTCGAAAGAATCAAGTTAAATTAAATACATTAGATCAATAAATGAAGTAAAAATCACCTATGCACTATATTTTATGTAACTGAAACTCATAGGGCGAATAGTTCATTCTTAGGTTTTTTTTTCGTTCTTGCTGCAAAAATTTTACTCACTTTTCGGGCCGGCTGTTTCGTTTTCTAAGCTTGCGGGAAAGGAAAACTGCGAATAGTCTAGGAGATACAAAAAACTGATATTGGTTTTATCTACTGCTGACAAGTAAAGTCAATTTACCATTTTAAAAGACTCAAAGCTAAATGTTTTGTTCGATAAACCTTTGTCAGTCTTGAGTCAGAGCAATTCGCTCTGATCAAGGTAGGGCTGACCACGCTTGAAAAAAACACTAACCCCTTAATATATATTTCCAAAGTACATAGACTAGTGTGTTAACGATCCTTTTCTGTCACTGGGGGACTAGCATTACTTCATCTCATCAAGTTGGTGCAATAAAAAACCACATGAAACAAATTTCATTTGGTTGTTCAACGAGAAGAGTAAATCAACCTACTTTCTACTGTTTTTAAATAAACAAAACAGGTCCCACTTTAATTGGTTCGATCATTCCAAAGAAAAAATGTATTTGAAACTAGACACTTCCTTGTGAATGTGCTCTCAGCTTCGGCTGTAAGTGAATTAGCATATCTTTCGATGTTTCGGCATTTACCTTAATTACAGGTGTAACTATCGGCGGAGACAAAAGAGTCAAAAGTAACGAGAGAAAAAAATTCGGATTAAGTGAACAATAATGTGATCATATAATAAGATGATACAGAATGCAGGAGATGTCAATACCATTTTTTCTTTCTGGTAGAAAATTTAGCGTTTTGAAAGCTACAAAATTATCTCTGTTTAAAAAAGTATGGTTCGCAGGCGTTTACCATGTTTTTTTCTGTCATCTGAAATTTGTTAGTTCTTTCGAATGCTGAGATCTGCTGTTCTGCTTGTCTTGAAAACTAGGGATAAAAACTTACCGTTAATTAAAGGTGAGATATCTATTTGAGGAATTTCCATGAGAAATCTGAACAGTTCCAGCCTTATGCTACTATGCAGTCACAAACGAAACTGACCTTACTCTTGTTGTTTTTAACTTTAGGGAACATTTCCATCGTCAATTGCAGGTAGGACAAAATCCATGACGTAAACTGCGTTTCCATAGAAACTGCAAACAATATCTTTGTTAGTGTTATTCTTCGAATCTTCCTTATAAGGAGATAAGATACCTGTAAATCACGTGCTAAACTAATTTAAAATTGTGATGAGGCGACAGCTCGTATTCATAATCTACTGAGTACCATGCGCAGTTTGATTGGTCATTTAATGGCGGACGTTACGTCATGAATGGACAATGTTTTTCTCTGATTCTTCCAATCAATGTTTTTAAAATATAGACGTAATTTGCTTCTTAAATTTGTCAAGTTATTATTATTTTATTATTTTTAGTTTATCTTATTATTTTTGTTGATAAAGGAATCCAGTGAAAAGCTTCATAAAAGCTGTTGTCATGAAATTAATAAAAAAAGACGAAACTATGGGGAAATGTATTCTTTCTTTAAGCAAAATGTGTCTGAAATTAGGAAAATATACGCTAACAGTTAAATTAAATAACAGTGGAGCGCAACGAGACTTGCCTCTCTTCATTAAAACTACATAAAACCGATAAATTCCATCTCGGTCTGGGATTGTTTAGTTGTATAGAACAGAACACGTCAAACATAAGACATAGTTCACTTCACTCGTTTTCCGTCATTCCACACCAGTCGACTGAATCTCCATCCCAAATGCGACTTGATGTTACAATTTCACTGGATAAATTAAGTAAACTACGCAAAACATGCTGGTGTTGGAACTGGAAGAAGTTGCTCTTAGTAAGAGAAGAGCCACATTGTTAGAGATAAAGATTTGAAAACCAAGGATGCAAAAATAGATGTAAAGGCGACCTAGACTCAGTGGTATGCTGATCCTAATCCCAATCTAAGTGGTATGTCAACCCAAACCCCAGTTTCAATGGTATGCCCATCGCAACCCTAGTCTAAATGGAATGTTGATCCCAACCCTAGTCTCAGTAGAATGTCCGTCCCAACTCTAGTCTAAATGGTATTCCGATCCCAACCCTAGTCTCAATGGAATGTTAGTCCTAACCCCAGTCCCAGTGGTATGCCAATCCCAATCCCAGTCTTAATGGTATGCCAATCCCAACCCTAGTCCCAATGGTATGCCAATCCCAATCCCAGTCTCAATGGTATGCCAATCCCAACCCAAGTCCCAGCTGCATGCCAATCCCGATCCCAGTCTGAATGGTATGCCAATCCCAACCCAAGTCCCAGTGGTATGCCAATTCCAGCGCCAGTCTCCAGGATATGCCAATCCCAACCCCAGTGTCAATGGTATTCCAATCCCAACCCTAGTATGTTGACCCCTATCCCAGTCTCCTTAGTATGCTTATCCCAACCATAGCGTCAATGGTATGTTGATGCCAGTTCCAGTCTCAATGGTATGTTGATCAAATTCCTAGCCTCCAATACTAACACCAGTCACAATGGTATGTCAACCTCAACCCCAGTCTCAATGGTATGCCAATCCCAACCCCAGTCTCAATGGTATGCCAATCCCAACCCCAGTGTCAATGGTATGCCAATCCCAACCGTAGTATGTTGACCCCTATCCGAGTCTCCTTAGTATGCTTATCCCAACCATAGTGTCAATGGTATGTTGATGCCAGTTCCAGTCTCAATGGTATGTTGATCAAATTCCTAGCCTCCTTGGTATGCTGTTTCCAAACCTAGTCTCAATGGTATGCCAATGCAGCGCCAGTGCCGAAGGTGTGCCAATCCCTGCCACAGTCTCAATAGTATGCCAATCCAAACCCCAAACTAAATGGTATGCCAATCGAGGCCCTAGTCTTAATGGTATGCTGAAGATCTAAACCCTAGTCTTAATGGTACACTTATGTCAACAAATGCACACAATGGCAAAAATGGCGAAAATTCGCCAAAGTTTGGCGAATATGTTATGACAAAGCAAAGGGTTCCCATTGAAAGTGGCGATTTTCGCGACAATGGCGAACATTCGCCAAAGTCTTAAAAAATTTAAATGGACATACTCTCCAGTGGTATGCCAATCCCAACCCTAGTAACATTGGTATGTTGATCCCAATCCTAGTCTCCTAAGTATGCTGATCCCAACCCTAGTCTCAATGTATGGTATGCCAATCCCAACCCTAGTTAGCCTCCCACGCAAACGTTCTTAGGGGTTCGTCACGCATTCCTGCCCCACGAACGTCTGCTGAAACGAGCAGCCGCTTCTGTTCGTAGATACGGACCAATCAAAGGCCGTTTTCCAACTTTGGGTAAACTCGTGTTTGTTGTTAAAAATATTACCCGGGACAAGATAGCGGGCTTAATTGCTAAGTGCCGTGTTGATGTCCGAAACGTTTGGTATTGGGGAGTTGAAGCCGGATCAAACAGAAACCAAAGTTCAATTTTTGCAGAGGATTGATGTGTTAGTAAATCCTCTAACTGCATGGATGTGCTAAGTCACCTATTTATCAACCTTTACCGTTTGTTTTCGACTCAATTTTTGAAGCTGCTGGCCATGTTGTTGTTGTGGTTTCGCCGCTTGTAAATCGTATCCAAGACCAGGTCCACAAGCTGGCAAATGTTGGAATTTTGCCGCTTCTCTTAGTGATATCAGTGAACAAAATGCAAGAGGTGTACGGGCAAGGAAATGGTTGAAGTAAAACCTGCAAGGGAAGACAGCCTGTTTTTCTTAGCCAGTATGAGATTTTACATACTGCTCTAACGAGATCTCATTCAGACTTTTTGCATTTAAGAAATGTACAATACGTGGGTCATTTGTTCTTTGCTGCATCTTTTTTGTAGCGGCCAAAAATCCACTTGAAACAGTTTGTACTCAGCGGTGGAAAACATATGCTGGCCTCGCGCGTCGCAGATGAAAAGGTCGCTCGCCAATCGCTCTTTTGATTAGGCCTTTAACGTCGTACCCTGTCTTTACCTAAGATGGAAACACAAAGAAAAGGATCTGAATAATCTTTTCGAGAGTTGAATGAGAACATGAAATTTGATGGATATTTTGGTGAGAAGCTTATCGCGAAAATTACTTTACGGGTGAGCCTCGAGTCTCGATTTCCCGTTCTTCACATTATAGTGATCGGCTGTGCGTATCACAGTCAGTCAGTGCAGATTGGTCTCCTTAAACAAAAGCAAACGGGCAAAGAACGGAAGTGGCTGCACGTTTGTGATGCAGGAACGCGTGACGAACCCTTACGAACGTCCGCCTGGGAGGCTAAACCGTAGTGTCAATGGTATGCCAATTCCAACCCCCGTCTAAAGGTACGGCAAAACGGGCAACAAAAAACGTGCAATTTGTCTTGCAACATTGCTGTAAAACGAGTTGAATAGCGATGCTGCGCGTTTCACCTCCTACGTTCAAACCTGTTAACAACCTGATTTGTTGCAAGACAGGTTTGATGTTGCACGTTTTTTTGTTGCCCGTTTTTCCATACATTAAGTGGTGTGCTAATCCCAATCCCAGTCTCCATGGTATGGTGATCCCAACCCCTTTCTCAGTTGTATGCTTATCCCAAACCCAGTGTCAATGTTACGTTGATCCCAAACCTATTGTAGTCTCGATGGTATACCAATCCCAGCCCCAGTCTCAATGGTATGTTGGTCCCAACCTTTGTGTCAGTGGTATGCCGATTTAATTACCAGTCCTAATTCCAATGATAAGCTAATCCCAACCAAGGTCTTAATGGTATGCCGATCCCAATCCCAGTTGATCCCCCAATCCTGGGTCCAGTAGTATGTACACCCCAGTCCACCGCCGGTATAGGGTGCCAATCTCATTCCTAGTGTGGAATTGCGATGGGATAGTTTATGATAGTATTTGGCTGAAGACAGGGTTTTAGCCCCTCTTTTACATGATATGGTACCAGACAGGCTATGAATATCCAACATTTATATCTGAATTCCATAGTGGCCGCCTTTCACTTCAGCCGAAGTTCTATGTAATCTTAGTCTTCGTTCTACTACCTTTCGATCACTACCCACCAATGAAAGTAAAAAAAGTAAGAGGATACAGTGACAACACAGTGTCGTGAAAAGTTCAATTAACTATGTTGCTTTTCTGCATGGGTGGTAATATGAACCATGTTGAAGCGACTTTTGCGGCAGAGGATTGTGAGTGCGTTAAGTAATCATCACTATTAGCCACCCTTCTGCATGGTTTAATTTTATTCATTTATTGTTTTGTCAACTGACACAAAATGTCACTACATAATTGCCCCTCAATAATATGATCTAGCAATGGAATGTCCGTTGAAACATCATTACGGACAACTTAAAGTGTTGTAACGAGCTCTTTCCCAGGGACTCTCCTCTTCTCGCCGTGTAGGGTACGAAAGACCCTGGGGGGCGAGGTTGGTCCCGGTAAGAGCGAAACCGTAAGCTACAACACCAAAGTCACAGTAAATAAAAGACAATCTACACAAGTGAGCTAACCGTCACTAAAAGTAACGTTTTCTCTTGCAAATACCTTGCATGGTCTAGAGATTTAGCCTGCGAATACAGCGCTCTCGTCGTCCCTAGCGGCGAAGAGACGGCTGTATTCGTAGGCTACTAGAGATTGAGCAATTGTAAAACTAATATACGACAGTTTGTGAGAAAGGGCAAAACTTAAAGTCAAAATAGACTAACTTGATTTACAAAAATAAATTAAATACTAGATTGTAATTAGTAACTCCAATCAGTGCTCAGTAAATCTACTGCACCCTTGGTGTGAATACTTCTGGTAACTGTGGCGATGGTGGTGTGCATCACGCTTCCTGAAATCCTGAGCCTGTCTCAGACCAAAATATGATTTTCCCTATCCTATTTCAGACCCAAGCAGTTTAAATCTAGTGGCAGGAAATGCTCGAAACCGATGAGAACCACTACACGTGTAGCGCACACCACCCGACACTAGTGCTTGAATAATAGTTAATAATATTTCTCCACACGTTCCGTCAAAAATTAAATTTCTAATTCATATAGTATCCCACATCATTGAGATAACCTAAATAAATAATAGAGTTCTGGTACTCTCTAATTCTTATAGTTCAGATTATAAGATATCACTTTTCAGATTAATGTTACCTTAAAAAATCACCGCAAAAATCAAGCTGTATGATCAAAAAATGTTTTCCTGAAGGAACTAGCAGCTTCTTCAAGGCAAGTGTTACTGACATTTAGTGCTTCAATATTCTTGTTGTATTGTACACCAAGAAGAAATGTGGTTTGCCACGATGTAATTTACAAAGCAGGTCACTGCAAAATTGTTGTTCGAACATCACTTGATCAACTTGATCAACTCGACATTTGTGTAAGAGCTGATTGCAAGTAAGGTATTATTTAACTTGAAATGTTTAGGGTAATTCTTAAGACAGCATCAAACAAGAATGTATTATACAGCAAAAATACGAACAAAAGAGTAAATAAGAGACAGGAACAACAACAACAAAAAAAAACAACGATAAACATATCTTTAAAACACCTGCCAGTATTTTTATGCAAATAAAAGGTACCTGCCCCTAACAACTCTTGAATGTAAAATGCAAAATACTACAATAACCCTTTTTAACCCAAAACAAATAGAGGTACAGAATGTACTGTAATATGTCATTCAATACCGGTTTTTGAATTTGTCAACAAAATCTTGGGATTTACCCTGGTCTGAAGAGATTTTCACTTTTTCTTTCTATCAAAATTTTACACTTAAAGGTTGGAAATATGCATATTACAGAAGGAAAAAGAGTATATCTTGATCAGTTGTCTCAAAAATGCAAATTAGTGCTTTAAGAAAACTGTACAGGGCCCATCAGCTCTGAGGCCTCACATAGTTAGGGGACCCAGGAGTAAAGGTTTATGTAACAACTATGATTCCCTTGATGCTTAACCCTTCAAGTCCCAATAGTGACCAACATCAATTTTCTCATAACAATATCCATACAATGTTAAGAGATTAGGTTATGAGAATTAATTAAATGATCACCAAAGAGAAAATGCTTTGATCTTTTCTCAAATTCTCTCAACTCATTCTTTAAAGAAATGTATAGTTTGGAGAATTTGCTTGTGGATATTGGGACTTAAAGGGTTAATGACTTACAGGCAAATCTTAGTCACAACGGGCCATTGACACTGTTCAAGGTTCTCATTAAGTGCTGGCAACTGGGTCAAAAATAAGCTACTTCAAACTTTGAGCTGCCTACTCTTTGCGGAAAAAGGGTAAGTTGAGAGACAAAGTGCCTGAAATTGCCTTCAGCACTTGTAGGTCGAAATCTTGGTTTTCTTAACTGAGTTGAGAAAATTTACCACCCAAAAAGATAGAAAGCTGACAGTTGGAGTGCTAGCCGCTCATTAGAGTGAATTACTCTAAATGTTAGCTTTTAAAAAGTTTTATGATGGTAAATTGACTTCAGTGGATAAAACCAAACCCACACAACACCACAATTTCTTGGGAATCCAAGCAATAATTGCTTAGATAGATTGGGCTTAGAGAGGTGTCATAACACAATCATAGTAACAAAATCTAGGTAGACAGATGGAGTCACTTATTTAAAAAAAGTAAAATAATTATACTTCTTTTAATAAGTGACTCCATCTGTCTACCTAGATTTTGTTACTATGATTGTGTTATGACACCTTACAGTTCTTCTACAATCAATCAGGAAGAATGGGCCAGGGTACAAATGGTATGAAAATAAAATAAATAAAATGAAAGCGCATCTCCTTATTGTTCGCTTTCATCAAAACTAGGATTCTTTCAGAATTCTGACTCTCAGCAGTCTTGGAAGTAAAAGGGTTATAATCTTTGAAGAATTAAGGAATAAGTTTTTTTATGGTTCAGTGTGGACTGCAGCATACTGGGCTTTACGGTCAGCACCTCTGTTTCTGTATTTCGATACAAGCATTATAGTTAGAGCCAATGTTAGACTAAGGGCAATAAGACAAACCAATGTCAGACCGATTACCAACCCGACAGGGACTGGCTTCTTTTCAAGTAAGACTTCTTGCAAATTAGTGCTGCCTTCATCCTGCTTTAAATGCATCTTTCCAATCGGTTGCAAGATAAAGTCCTCCTTTGTGGCCAGCCCATCATTGACTTGAATATTCTTTGTGACGGGAAAATACCCACGTTTGCTCACCTTCACCTTGTATTTACCTGGAACAAGCAATCGCCAATAGTCACCGTCCTTTGCACTTTTCACAGGATGATTACGATCAAGGACATTTATTTCAGCTCCCTCAATCCCTAAAAACATTAAAGTGACAACAATATTACAGCAGGAAGCTACTAGTTAACATTCATGTCTCTTCATCAACAACCTCTCCATTAGTAGTGTTCCGATCATCCATTATAAACATTTATTGGATGAGGTTTTTTTGTGATATCTGGAATCATCAAGGTCGAGGTAAGCATTATCAGCCGAGCTGATGGCTGAGGCTGATAGCACTAACTTAATGAGACCTTGAGTATTCCGGATGTCACAAAAACCGAATCAAGTAATTGTATTATTATACATTGTTTTGAAGAAAATAATGACAAACACACCATCACACAGACTTTCCTCTTGGAAATCATGCATTGTGCGGGCAACCTACAGATTAGTCACTAATGTGCTAGCAGAATAAAGATAACTAACTAATCTGTAGGTTGCACTGATTTCTAAAATTAACTGTAGGTTCTCACACATTGAGAAGACAGATAGTATTGAAACCTTTAATACTCAAATGACCCAATAATCAAGAAAAGTAATTTTCAATCAATATTGTTGTGTGGAAAAAAAATAGAATTTCTTGTTGGCATATTAAAATCTTGTGTGTTGTTGTAGAAAGAGAATTCAATCGCCTGAAAGTACAAAAAAATAATATTTCTCCAAACAAGAATCAAACTCATAACCCTCCAAGTTCTAGGCCAGATGTTTGTATTTCAAGTACTTTGACTTGCACAAAGATGAAAAATAAGTAGAATTCTTACAAAGAGATTCTTCTGTTTATAGCGGAGCTCCCATGCGCAAAGTGCACGTGGAGGAGCCCTATTGCTAAGATAAATTGGTAACATATGAAAGCAAGAAAATTTGGTTATGACGTAGCGTACAAATGCCGACCGTCCGTACACCCACTTCATGTAAGCCAATGCCAAATGTCAGGTTATTTTGGTAGGAAAGCGTATGGCCACCCGCCTCTTGTGAAGTAGAGACAACTAAAGAGTCAATAAAGACGAAAACTGAAAGCGGAAAATGTTTCTGTATCTGTGTTGTCTAAAGTATTAAGTTTAGATTAATTGTCATGCCCACAAATTTGGGAAAGAGAGAAAGAGAAAGACAGAGAAAAAGAGAAAGTAAGGTGACAGGCCAGCGAAGTTCAATGAGAAAAAGATCTAGGGCGAGATAGAAAAAACAAAGGAGAAATTTCTGTTGGAGGAACAACATGAACATTTTGTAGCGTTGGTGAGAACGCTAGCAGCCACCAGGGTGAAAATGAGCAACAGTGGAAAAAAATTGAACACGAACACGTGTGACATTTCCTCCATAAAATGTGTAACTAGGAAGTTTCTGGAAGTTTCACGCTGTAGTCGTGCAAGACAACAGCAAAGAAATGTACAAAAAAAGTGTGATGCTCATGCAAAGTTGATTTTCTGCTAATTAGACCTATTGTTGTTTTTTTTTCACCATTCTTGTTGCCTTCGCCACTTAGCATTACACGATTTCTTGTTTGAACAAACTATAAATATTATCGAGAGCTTTGCTTTTAGTCCTGGCTAAATCTACATATTAAAACATGTAGATGATCTACCAGGTGAGTCAATCTGATTATTTCTGATGATTGATTACGAAATCTCAGCCAACTGACGACACTACTCTCTATAACAGAGTATGAGTGGCTACCAGTACAAGAGTACTTCAACTTTATAAGGGCCATCTAATAAGTGTTTTATTATGAAAAGGCAACAGAAAGCTTTACACCATCAGAGACCCAAGGGCCAGTATATGAGAAAGGAAAATTAAGTTTAGAAGTGAAATTGTTGTTAAGTTTTTGAAAAGCATTCCGGCAGACTTGACGAGTGGTAAAACAAATCAGTCTCCATAATACAAACTGTACCTCTTTCTGATTTCTGGTCCTTGACAAAGCCACTGAGACCAGTGTGAACAAGCTTTAGATATTCAAGCAGGGATTTCTTGTTTTCCTTCCAAAACCGTTCAAGTGTAGACTCAGATGGAAACTTGCAACAGCTGACTTCAACAGTAATTTCAAAAGCGTTGCTTCTAACATAGTTGTAATCTTGCATGCCACCGGTGACTGAATACCATTCAGCACCATTTGTGATGCCTGGGAAAGAGTGACCAGGAATTAGAACCAAACATTTGAGCAAACATGAAAATTAGGCATGGATCCCTAGTGGTTTTCACCATTTTAACAAAAAGTGATTAGGTTCCAGTTGTTCAAAAGTACGATAAGGCTTTAAGGATAAGGATACAATAAGGATTTCATCATCATTCATTCAAAATAATTATTGCTGTTTCTGTTTAACTCAAATCCCCTGGCTAATTCTTCATTACCAGCTGGTCTTGACCAGTGTTCTCCCTAAATTTTAGTTCAGCAGGAAAAGGGACTGTTCATGGGTGGTAAGGCAAAAAAACTGTGTGCCAGAAGCACACTTTCCTGGGGTAGGGGGTTAGTGGAGTGAGGGATGTGGCTTTGACCTTGCTGTGAAATTTAGGAGCTAAGTTCTCTGAAATGTCATTCCCTCATTTAAGACCTATTTTAGGTTAATCAGCCATTGTTATTTTTAGACAACACTAAAAAACGTTTGATTCCAATAATATTACACTGTCTTCAATGCCCTAGAAAAATTGTGTGTACTTTAGTACACTTCCATATAATCATTAATTAGCTTGATCGGATCAGATCACAACTTACGTATTTTTTAAAACAACTTATTTAATTTTAGTAAATCTTCAAGTGGTTGCAGGCGGTAAGAACTGTTGCTTCAGACGGTAAATTTCACCGGTTACCGCCTGATAAGGAAAACGCTGGTCTTGACCAAATTTGGAAGATGGAGCCATATGACATCAATTTGATGGTATATTTGCTTGGAAAAGAGGTTGATCAATGTATATTTGTCTGGAAATGAGGCTGCTTGGGCAATAATGAACTAAAAAAAGTTGTGAATCTGCAATTCAAAATAGCTGAATTTCTGACAAAACTGAATAGTTCAGAAGAAATGTAAGAATACCCAAAACATATTGCTTGATGCATGTTATCTACTTTTTGAGGAATATCTGACAGTAACAAGCAACTGTTAGTATCAAGAAACTGTGCCAAGAAATGGGCCAAAGTTTTAAAGAAAGTCTAGGAGGAGGTATGTTTGTTAAGAACTTAGAAATATTTTGAATGGATAGAAAAACAATTATTGAATTTGGCTTTCCTATGATGTGAAGAATTGGAATTATGCTGATCTTGCAGGCTTCATCCACTAAGGCTGATAACAAATTCTTCTTGATCTGCATAATTCTTCGCATCATACTCAATAACAATTGTTAACTATCCATTGGATAGTGATTTAATCAGTGGATAGTATTTCTCTCCTTTTAAACAACTGCAGCCAGACAGATGATTTACAGTTTACAGTTAGCTTTTTAAGGGTGCATTGAAGTGGGAAATCTGGATTTAGACTTTAAAGTCCAGATTTGCAATCGAACAAGAAATCTGAAAACGGATTTTAACACTGAGATATCTGTTTTTGGATTTCCTTTTTACCGTTTGATTGGCAAAAACTGAAAAAGGACTTGAAAAACTGTCCTTAAGAACAGCTGTCTTGCACATGCATAGTTAGCAAAAAGAAGAACGCTGTTGATGAGAATAGTTTTGCAAATCTTTTTTCAGATTTCCCAGTCAAACGGTAAAAAGGAAATCCATGAAATCCTGATTTGGATTTCTTGATTGAAATCCACCCTGAGGATGGTTCTCTCGGAAAGGAATTAATCCGTTTTGGGTTTTTAAGTTTGATTGCAAATCGGAAATCCCAATTTCCCAATCGAACGCAATGTAAAATTTGCAACTATTTCTTGTGATGGAACCTAGTAGTGGTAGGAGCATTTGCCAGTTGTGTTCATTCAGAAACTCCTAAATTCTTACCTAAAACTACATCTTATAATAATTTATTGGTCAAGTACCTTGTTGGCATAAAGAACATGAGCAATGCAACGCGCCTTTTCAAAGAGCAACAATAGTTTGTTGTTCCTTTGCACAATGACTTTCACACTACCAGAATCATGCCATATGAGCCTCAGAAACATTTCTTTCAATGCAAATTCTTGTACAACAATAGGGCCATTTATACGGGGAAAAATAAGACGCATCCTACATAAGACGCGAACTTTCTGTATAAACAGCACATTTCCTCTAAAATAAGACGCGGCTTAGCTAAGACACGTCTTATTAGATAAGACATGCTCGTATTAATGGTACAGTTGGCGTCTTAGAAGCGTCTTATGTAAGACGCGTCTTATTTTTCCTCATATAAATGGCCCTAATGTGTGTTTAATTTTTCTGATGAGTGGTTAAGGTGATTGCATTTATTTTATATTATCATTTAAAGAGTCAACAGCTACTGGCACCCGGACAATCATGCTCAACCTAATTGTGAAATAAAGCAATGTTATTACATGTAGACCTAAAGATAGTATACAAATCTTACCATCCTTGAAATTATCGCCAACACATTGTGCTTTATTCAGATGCATTGTTGGGTGATTTGAAGAATAAGTTAACGCCAACTTTCGAAAAATGTCATCATCAGTTGTGGCACTATATACACTACGCTTGTTGGGTGTATCATCATAGGGGTAATTTGCCACTAAGGAACCCCCATGGAAGTTAGCTGACAGAACAAAGGGATTTTCATCGATCCATTTCTTCACAACAAGAGTTTCTTTTTGTAATCCACTTTCAACTGCTGCTTTGTTTTCATCAAACTGGTCTGGAAAATTTCTGGATGAAAACAAACAATGATCGGAAGCATTTTAAAAACAAAACATTGAATTATTAACCCTTTAAATCCTAAGATCAAAATTTGAATTATCATTTGTTGCCCCTATTTATTTCCTACAGAGGAAGTGAGGAGAAGTTGATAAAATATCAAGCACATTCATTTTGTGTGATCATGTCTTTAATTCTCATGACCACTCTGTTTTACAAGGCACTGATATTGCATGTACAACGAGAAATTTGATACTGATCACTCTTAGAGCTTAAAGGGTTAATAAGAATAGAATTCAACGATAACATTATTAGTATTCTGCTGTCATTTTCTGATGCTCAACAATTATAATAATTACATGTATTTTTGGAAATACAGAGGAACTCCACCTTACAGCCACCTAGGTAATATGGTCACCTCATTATTACGGCCCCCTTTTTTCTGCCCGGCAAAATGGCCTTACTTTTCCTTATGAAAACCCCCCATTAATGTGGTCACCCATTAATCAACCAACAGCCTCATTTTAAAACCCCAAAGGGTAGAATCTCTTATAATTTTATCCCGTTAATGCGGCCACTTGTTCAAAATTTACAAAATTAAAATTTCTGTGACATGTCAATTTTACTGACCTAGTACTCTGAGCCTGTTCTTGTAATGTTTTTAGACTACAGTACACATAAAGTGCAGTCGTTGCGATTTTATCGCCAAATTTTTAAAGTGTTTTATGTGATGAAGGAAAATTTTAAGTAGTTTTTTCAATGTTATTACTGTACACGATATCTACATTCTGGTTGTTTATTTATGAGAACAGTTGTTCAAGAAATGCGAATGCGATGTACAGTGTATTTGTCATTACGGCCCTCAAGTCATGAAATTTAAGCCAGCCCCAACAATACGGCCAAATTTTGTCTACCCACTGGTGACCCTGTTAACAGAGTACCACTGTAGAACCATGTTTTTTTAAACCCTTTTCAGACCAGGCCTTTTTTGTTTCCTGTGACCAGGGTTATTATTATCTTGGTTGAAAATTTTTGATTCCATTTCACAGAACTATTTCAGTAATTAGAGAACTTAAGCAACAACTGCAGCGACGGCTACAAAAACGTCACTTAAAAAGTGAATTCGTCACTGCTTAAGCTCCCTACTAACACACAAAAACCCGATGTCTTTGTATCAAAAATGCGTCCATAATTTGAGGGCATAATGCAATAATATTCACTACAAAGACGTAATTAAGGATTTTTTACTCAGGGAAAGAGTTCTGTTTGTTTTCCTTCCAAATTATTTGACTAAACTTCATGTTTTTTCTTCTTTTTGTCAAATCCAATACAGGTACAGACAGGCTTTTAGCCAGACATTGAAAACTGGCCGTCCAGAAGGCATGTTTTCCCATAAAATTATAAGAGATTAAGTGAATTTTCCTTGTATTTCTTCGAAAAATGGATGTCAATAGGATGGCTGGACACCCTTCTGGCTAAAACCTTGGGTACAGATCTTTAAAACTTTGGAAAGCTGTAGGAACTTTCACAATATTTGAGTCTCCGGGTGAACATCCAAGCTGTTTTGGTCCTGACATGTATGCCAGGATGTATGTAAAGGGTGTGTTTAACATCATGTTAAAAGGCACCCAGCGACACAAGGTTATAGAAAAATACAAAAAGCCAAAATTTTGAAATTTTAAAAAGTACAATCAGGCCTTAACAATCAATAACAATCTTTCTATCTTACAAGAATTCCAAAGCTTAATTGAACAGACTTCACATAAATATGTTGATGAACCTAGTGACTATGCTCTTTGGCAAAGCTATACTTTGCTATTGTAGGTAAACTGACTTGTTTTGTACAGACGACTTTTGTTATCATGGACACACTGAGGATCAAAAGATAGTGTCCTTACAAGTGTGAGTCCACAATAGCAAGGTACAATAAAAAGAATTTTTTTACATCTGGACGTTCTACGGTACCACTTTGTGTCTGTTAAAAAATGTTATAACAATAAAACTATGGTGATGAGGAAAAATGTCTAGAAGTCCATAAATAATATTATAGCAAGAACTAGTAACTTTGGGAGTTTGTTTCATGTAAGTCAAAGTGGAAACATTTGTAAGTTTTGCTGGAGATTTAACTGCTGTTCATGTTTTTAAGGTCTATATCTGTGCGTTAAAAAAACAGTTGGAAAAAATTGTTATTTTATTATCATTTTGCTTGGTTTAATGAGGATCTCTGTTTAGCAACTAATAAATAATTTTTTTCCTACGAGTAAAAATGCTGGCAGAATAACATTTTTAAATAGGCTTACCAACCAATCTTCTTTTTAACTTGTCAGTTTTTTTTTCCCCAATAATAAAATTCAAGATGAAAACATTTAAACACTCTTATAATCACCAGTCCAAGTTTAAAGTAAAGGGGATTGAAAATATATTTGAAAAAACTATGATGAAAATACAGGTTTATGGTGGTAATTAATTGACGAGAATGGAATAAAAAGGAAGAGTTTCTGCACTACAATCCTCGATTCGATAGAGCCGTTTCTGTGATCGCTTAAGTAAGGGTTGACTCACCTATTAAGATCAGTATTATTTGCATTTCTTCTCCCGACAACACCAGTACATCTCTCGCTTTCATCGTTCCTTGGAACAGTTTTTGCCTGTTCATAACCATCAGGATTCATAGAGGGCATAATGGAAATTCTTGTATTTTTAATCAAGTTGGTTATTTCCTCATCATTTCTTTGATATCCGTCGAGTAAACTTTCAATGAAATGAAGTAGAATTTCTCTGCTCACGACTTCGTTTCCGTGCATGTTGCCGATGTATTTGAATTCAGGCTCGCCAGGTTCGTGGACGCCTGGATTGTCTGAAATTTCTAACACCCAAAGAATTCTGTTTTGGACCGATTCTCCCAGCGGATGAAGTTTAGTTATCGATGGGTATTTTGTCGCGAAGGTATGGAGAATCTTTGTCATAGCATTGTAATCGTGATGCGTGAAATCAACAATCTTTTCTCGCATGGCACCGCGACTGTGGAGGAACAGTAACGCCAGGAAAGCAAAAACTCGCCAATATACCAACATCTTCGATTTGGGTGACGTCTGAATGTTGGCGAAATGGTAGCGATCCAATAAACAAGAAACGCCAAGGAAAACGTAAGGTAAGCTTTAGTTTTTAACGTAATACGATCGACGAAATGTCCTTGCTTTCAACTTCAATTTATAAACTATTCCCTTTTTCGAGCAGCTGTTCCGAGATAATTACTTGCGTCACAAGTTCTGCGTCGGATGTTCGAAACCTTCAAACACGGCAGCAAAGTAAAGTCAAGTTATGAGGAAACAGATTCAACAAAAGATAAATATAAACAACTCTACCGACAAACTTTTCGTCCGCGCGCGCTGAAGCGTCTTTAAATTCCAGTTCCTCAACGTTGATCTCAGCGAAGCAGGAATTTGTCTTGGTCTCATCCAATGACCAAAATTCTAAAACAAGAAAGGCTGCGATTCGTAGAATCCGCTGAAAAACCCCACTGATCAGGATGTATTTTACTTCAACCGAAAGGCGCCCACATAAGCTGATAATGTCAAAACACCCTCAACACCCTGGAACGCCTAAATTAGATCCTTCCCGCATTGAATGATGGGAACTCACATACTGGCACCAGTCTTACACGGTGCGCGCCCGAAAACGCCTGGTTGTTTTTGTATTGTCAACCCAAAACACGGCGCGGGAATATATCATGTTGACGATCACAAGAAAATTAAAAGAACTGCGCCATAGGAAAGTTGATTTTGAAGTTAGCCTGTCTCAAAAGAGTTTGGAGGAGGATGGATTGCAAGGCATTCATTTGCGCAAGTACCAGCTGGATGGCGTTTCGTGGATGAAGTGTTGTTTCAAAAGTGGCCATGGATGCATTCTTGGAGATGAAATGGGGCTTGGAAAAACTATACAGGTGAGAAAATGCATAACGAAAAGTTAAAGGAAATTCCTTTTGGATCTGAGCACCAGAAAAAATGGCTTGATCAATGAGGCTGTTGTTTCATCTTGCAATTGCCCAGCTGGGAATCCAGCTGTTTCCAGAGGTACTGCTGATCAAGAGTGTAAAGATGCGCGAGGACGTTCCTTTTTTATTTTCTGATCGCCCGCTATGGATGAGTATCCTCGGCAGATAACTAGTAGGAATCCGTTTTAAAAGGAGGGGGGTGAATAGGCGAACGGATAAGCGGATTTTGAAAATATGTTTGCCCGGATTTTGGATTCAAAGTGATATTTTAACTGATTTCTGGATCCTGCAATTGTAGCGGATTGGGGATTCATCAATTTTTTGGGCCCGGATTTTGGACTTTGCATGTAATTAAAACATTTTGCCTGGATTTCGGATTCAGGGCGAAAATGGAAGGGCAGATTTGGTAAACAAATCATAACAGATCAGCGGATTTGCATACTCCTATTCACCCCCCTCTCAAAGGGACTGACAGAAAATTAGGGAGTAGGAAAGGTTGTTTCAAAGGGTTCCAACAAAAAAAATCGAGGTAATAGGAATCTGCTCATCCACAGGGGCGGTGTTGGAGGGAAGTTTCGTAAAAAATGGAAGATCCCAGAAGGTTCTAGACAGCTGATCAGCTGTTCCACTCAACCTTTCCACTCTTTAAACAGACTCACCCTCATTCCTCAGAAAATTGAAGGGGTCGAAAAGAGTCTTATCTGGTCATACATGCTGGACAAGTATCAGTCTTGCTAGGTTTAATACTCATAATATGTCAATTATGTCGTAAAAGTGAGTCACTTTTATGGATAAAGACAAACATTTTTCAGTTTATTTAGTCAATACTAGCTGCTTATGAACAATTAGGAGGGGGATTTGAACCAA